TGTCAATTTGTGCGTGCTTTTGACTTTGCCATGAGACGTGCTTGACATGCTTTGCTGCGGCTCACGCAGCTGCCGAGCTATGACCGCATTGTTGAACCCTGACCTGACTACACCTATCTCACTATCATCCAACAACTTGCCGTCCATCATACCCACACAGAACTGATACTGGCCAACTGCTCTTATCTTGCATACCTTTGGAATAGAATCTGCCGTCTTCGAATACATCTACTGCCTCTGCTGTGATCGTCACATAAGCTTGCTCCCCAGATCAACTTCTATCCCGTCGCACGGCCTCGCGCAGCATCATGGCTCAGCCGTGGGACTACATAGCCAAGATTGTGTCCTTGGGCGACTCGGGATGTGGCAAATCAAGCGTATGCGACACCATTTCTGCCATCCAGCGCTCCCATACTGACGGCTCACAGCTCACAGTCCGCCTTTGCGAAGGCCGCTTCTCACCACACCACGACGTGACTATCGGCGTAGAGTTCGGATCGCGCATCGTTCCCGTCGGCCCACCAGCCTCTCATTCCTTGAGCATCAACAACCCCTCCAACTCCTCACAACCGCAAGCGCCCGTATCGCCGTCGAAACAGAAGCAGGAGCAAAAACACATGAAGCTTTCGCTCTGGGATACCGCAGGACAGGAGACATACAAGAGCATCACGAGGAGTTACTTCCGGGGCGCATCGGGTGCGCTGCTTGTATTCGACATATCGCGCAAAAACACTTTCCTCTCCGCCACGTCATGGCTGCATGACTTGCGACAAATCGCCGAGGAAGGCATTGTAGTAGTGTTGGTGGGCAACAAGTCCGATCTCGCAGGTTCGTCCACCGTAACCGACTCCGACGCTGCCAACAAGCGGCAAGTCACAAAAGAAGAGGCCGAGGAATGGTGTAAAGCGAACGGGGTCATGCAGTATGTTGAGACTAGCGCCAAGAGTGGAGAGGGTGTGGAAAGAGCCTTCTTGGAAGTCGCAGAGAGAATATACCAGAATATAGAAGCTGGAAAGTACGATTTGAATGACCGGAGGAGTGGAGTCAAAGGCCCGGGAGGTGGAGCGAATAGAGCGGGGGTTAACTTGAACGATGCGAGTAGAAAGGGAAAGCAGCAGGGCTGGGGCGGATGTTGTTGAACTACGGTCCACGTTGACACGGGTATATTAAGTTGGCGTACATTATTCGGCGTCCAAAGAGCCATACTCGGCCCGTATATAGTGTTATTGTAATGAACATATCATCACTTCTGCCGACGCGTTGCCTCGGCCAGGTAGACTAGATGGATCCCATTGCCCTTCCACCGAAAGCGGCGTGACGAGGCTGAGCGACATATTTGGAACTCTTCGCGTCTTTCCAAATAAGCTCTAGTGGGGTGTATTCCCCAATGAGCGTCAGTCAGATCTCCTAATGAACATGTTGTGAGGCAGGCACGAGTGCCTCTTCTTCTTCTTCTTCTTCTTCTTCTTCTTCTTCTTCTTCTTCTTCTTCTTCTTCTTCTTCTTCTTCTTCTTCTATCACTGTATGTTTGTATGATGTACACACGCTGACTATGCCCAGCCTCCAAAACGAAAATCAACAAGGCGAGCCAAATCTTCCCGGCAATTATTTCAAATATGTACGTGGTAGCGCGCTGGTTCTTGTACACTGAATAGATCGAGTAAAACCGATGATCTAAGCTTCGGTGCGCCATCAGGCAACTTACTCAGTCCCAGACGTTCAATAAGCTATCTCAAACGAATCCAGATATTGCCTCGCATGAACTTGCCTCTTTCGAACGTCTGGAAACCAGTCGACTACTTTGCCGTCGTCCCAAGCACAGCGAGCGTCAAGCTCGCCAACGATACCCACCTTGTTTATAGGTGCAACAGCATTCTAAGGAATACTTGTTTACGGTGCAGTTGTTTGTCAAAGGATCTACTAGTCGCTAGAAATGCCAGTGACGTGAACTGCTAGCGCAGGCGACATCTGCCTCTTGCTGTCGTCCTCAACTTTTCAACATCCACTGTTGAGTCTACCACATGCAAGTGGCTGACAGGTTGTAACAATATCTCCATATCAGAAAAGAGGTTGTTACTGGACGCATGATTACATTGGCTGATTGAAGCAGAACATTGTAGCCATATGCATGGGGATAGTGTTAAGAGCTTCTACTGTCGTCTGCAGGAGAGTCCACATAGAATTGAGACAACGCTACATGCAAAGGCGTAGATTTCACATGTTGTCATTCTTCGCGTCAAAATGTTTCAAGAAGCCCTAAAGTTTCTCACATGATAGGATTCTTCCAAGCTACCTTAACATGATGCGTGTTCCAGCCTAGGTCTCATTTAGTTCGAATTATCTAGCTGATGTCTTGTAGAGTGCTTCAAAAAAAATCAATACAAGATGTACGCGCTACCGGTCGCATAGACGAAGCAGTTGTGCCATCCGAGAGTTACATTACTATATGTCCATGTTAGATTGAAGCAGTAGAACCTGGAGCATAACCCACCGTTTCCTTGGACACATATCAGATCTCAAGTCTCTCAAGTATGGCAAGATACATGTCGACTCATCAGCTGTACTTATCACTCAAAACTGAACAGGCAAGCATTAAACAGCTAGACACGTCGCGAATGAATTTGCGTCACGTCCAAAGACTACTGAGACGACTCTTGACGATCTTCATGCAACTGGGTTGGAAGCTACTGCATCAAGCACTTTTTCGATGTATTACTATTCAATCCCTTGAAAGAACTGAGACCAACAGAATAAAAAGCGCAATTCCGTCGAGTTTTCAGCCACAGCCGGCGAGCTCGAAGGACTGCTCGATAACGACGACTACAATTGCCAGCACCAGGAGCCCAGCATAAACTGCACTGTATGTAACGAATACAAGATTCTCTAGCAAATGCGTGAGCATATCGAATTTGTCTTACCTGCGATCGGACTTCGTGGCTTATTTACGGTAGCTCAGTCAAACTTAGGGACTATAACTTTGACTAACACCAATGAGACTGTACTTCGTGAGCCTAAAGGTCTCTCAATAGGTTTATATATCGTGGCCATCCGGTGTTTGCGCGCACCTCATGACATTCTAATTGTTGTCAAATGCAATCATACCGCAAACGAGCTCGGTATCGCTCAGTTCGCAGACTAAACCTACCTTCTAAACCTACGAGCTTTCTTCCCAGAGACCACATATCCCACACAATCTTATCGAAATTAGGGTTGTGGATCAGTCGGTCTGTAGCTGAAGCCGGTGTAGTAATAGAGACTACCTTCAATATTCAGATAATGCATTTCATCATCTAGCCACAGCAGAGTTAGATGCATCCAATTAGTAGCTTAATAGATGTTGATACTGCTGGAAGATTCGATATCTTCATAGACGCCTTAACGAGCCTTCCCTATCTGCTTTATAATATAACACCGTTGAGTAGTGTTATCTCTCTCTTGTACAGTCAGATCGAAAGCACATTACCTCAGTTCTACGACAAACGGCAATGCCACGAATAGAGAAACCTAGGTCTACAAAACGTCAGCGTCGTTGTTGATCGGGCGTTACGAGTGTTGCGGATACGTATAACGATCACGGCAACGTCTATCCAAGTGCTGAAGGTGGTTATGTCGAAAGTGAAAGAACGCACTTCGCACGAGATCTCCCCACAGTTATCTTTATATAAGTACCTTCGCAATATCTCAAGCACCTACTTCACCAATACCAACACTAGGCAGATTACCTCTGTTAGTGCTACGGCACGCCTCAATAATACTATTGCTAGCAGCAAAAGAACAGTCGCTAAACTCATGGACTTACAATCATACTAATCTAGCGCTGACTTCAAGACCTTTCTCCGTCTAGCCTACCAGAAGGATGCCGTCTTGGCTTACCTCTTGAAGTATGCACCTGCATATGGGAAGATATCAACAACTTTTCATGTGGTGCATACCCAGATGTTTCAACTATCAGAGACGGATAACGGGTCTATTAGTTTTTTTGGGTTCGATCTGTATATGCGTATACAGATCCCTGGAGGTTTTCAACGATGTTGCCGTGGGAAACAATCCTGGGTGCCCGGACGGCTTTGCAGCGAGTCCGGGGCGGAAGCCGGTTACGGGACACGGAACTCCGTGATATGAGGAGATGCGGAGCATGCTGCGCTGGAACTGCATACTAGTAGTTGTTTTGAGTATACAACGTTACCTAGATACTAGGGCTTGTCGGGCTCTGCAAATCTGTCAATGAATACAATAGCTCAGTCGTCCGGTCAGCTGACCTCGTCGACATCATGAAATGGTGCTTGCTGAAAATGACCATTAGGAGTAATGATTATCAACCCCCTTCTTGCCCATTTCCATCTCTTCAAACCCGACTCATTGTTCTAAACGAGGCTAGCGCAATCATCAATAGCGCTGCCAAGATCGTTCGATAACTTACACGTACTCGTGGGATAGACTAGCTTTCTTCCAAGAAACCTTGAATACTCAACAAAGCAAAAACACAAAACACATCGTGGGTGCATCGACGTAACGTCATGAAGAGTTACGGCTCACTCCACGGACTACTGCCCACGTTTCAATGCCTCAGTCATATGATTCGTGAACAGGCCCTCCGGCGCTGATACCACCCGCCTAGAAGCAGTCACGAGGCCATGACCTGGCCAAAAGTAAATGAGTATTTTGCTGACATGGGGCTTAGCGGGACGCTAAGCACGTATCGAACTCATCTCCCGCGATGGCAGAGGTATTCTCCGGACTGCCCCCATGGCATGGACCAGCTGGTTCTCATGGTGGCTGCCCGGGAAGCAGGTTCAGAAATCGCTACTTCTTGCCTCTCTCCAGGATATGCGGCATGTGGAACCCCCATTAGCCATGACAGCCCGGACCGTGGACGTGGATCTCCATGAGGCTTATCTTCGGGCTTGTTCGTGATTGTGCGATTTCCGGTGGAGATTAGGACCGGTTTGCAAGGTTGTCGCATCCCCACGTCTACAAGTCGCCATCCATGGGGCTTTCGGATTGTGCGAATGCAGTACTACCGCTGGCAGTTGAGACGCTACTGACGCGGTACAGGTAGCGCGGAAAAGCTAAGAAAGTTCCGTTGGGCGGTCGGTATGTTTAGGGCTAAGGCTAAGGACGATCTGATAGCTGCGACGCAGAGCTATGGCGGGGATGATGTGCCGTGCTGCAACAGCATGCATGAGGCTCAGCTGCAGGTTGCAGATCGTTTTGGTGGCCGTTGGACAGGATCCTCGCAGAAGGACAAGTCGGTGAACGAGTCATGGGTGGATCCAGAATCGAAGAATCTGGAAACGAGGAGGCGAGGCGGATGCGCGCTGCTGACTTCATAGCACGTCTAATCACGGATACGATGGAGATCCACTTGATATCACTAATTCGCGTGTGCGTCGGAATAACCCCCAGCCCCGAGCTTCGACCCCATGACCCGCAGCTTCCCCAGGTGCATAGATAACAAACTTGACAGCTGAGGCCACGCGGCTTGTAGTCGCCACGATGTACGTTGGGGGTTGTCGCATGTATTGCCAAGATGGATGAAAACGCGGTCTGGTCGATGCAAGCCTTGCGTCGGCGATGCAGCCGAGATGCTTGCAAGCTTCGGTGTTCCTGGCGGTCCGCACCCCCACGCAAAGCCGGCGGCGGTGAGGTTCTGGTGGACGCAAGCCACAGCGTTTTCAGTAGTCCCTTGAACATCCTTCACCTAGCACGCAATAGTTGTGCACATCGCACAAAATCGCCTTACAACAGACACTACGGCGCAATTGTGGCTCCTCCAAGCTGCGAGCGGAAGCGGGAGCGCAAAGTCTGAAACCCCTGTCCGGTCTAAAAACTGGGTCTTGTGTAGAGACGCGTCAGGGCAAAAAGTTTGAATCTATTCGAGGTGTCGTGAAGTCGCCCAGATGTTGCGGCTCAATCTGGGCGTTTTGGCACGCACCACCAGCCCGCGACGTACACAACACAATGCAAGCCGCAGCCTCCTTTTGCCAACCCACGTTTCCCAAAGCACAGGCTATCAGCTTGCGAATCCCGACTCATAATCCACCATGTCTAGACCCTCCGAAAAAATAGGGGCCCTAATCCGACTTTTTTTGGCACCATGCTCAAGGTTCTACGCATGTGCCCACAAAAAGGATTGAGCTGCTGCTTTATAAATACTTGAACACCACGTCCTCTGCCTTCTCTCATCCACGTATTCCTGTATTCCCATTCCAATCTTACATTCTTCACCATGCCTCCCCAAGTACCCAGGAACTTGCTGCGCGCTGCCCGCGCTCGCGCCGTTTTCCAATCCACCAGACCCTCCCGCCCTGCTGCCGTCAGGTTCCAGAGCTCCGAGGCCGTCCGCCGGACACAGGAGAGCAACAACGTCTACAACGCCCCTCCCAGAGCATTCTCCCAACGTAAGGAGGAGAAGTTCACCGCTGGAACCGCTTCCACATCGCAGCGCCAGACATCAGCAGCTCCCCTAAAGCTCAACAGCAAGAATCTCTCGCAACTCCAGAATGTCACCGTCCCCACCTACCAGCGTGAGGGTGTCAAGCAAGGCATCGTCCACGTCGGTGTTGGTGGTTTCCACAGGGCCCATCTCGCAGCCTACGTTGACACTCTTCTCGAGCAATTCAACGTCCAGGACTGGTCTATCTGCGGTGTTGACCTTCAGCCATTTGCTGCTCCCATGCGCGATGCTTTGAAGCCCCAAGATAACCTCTACACCATCATTGAGCGTGCTGCTGAGGGCACCACCGCCCGTGTTTGCGGAAGTATCACCGACTACCTTTTTGCTCCTGATAGCAGCGAGGCCGTCATCGCTAAGATGGCTCACCCCGACACTCACATTGTTTCAATGACTGTCACCGAGAGCGGTTACTACATGAACGAGAACACCCACCAGCTCCAGACCGACCACCCTGATGTCGCCGCCGATCTGGCCGGTGAGCAGCCGCCACGAACCGTCTTCGGCTACCTCTATGCCGCTATGGAAAGGCGTCATGCCGCCGGTCTACGACCTTTCACTGTTCTGTCTTGCGATAACATGCAGAAGAACGGTGACATTAGCCGGAACATGTTGGTTTCATTCGCTCGTCACCAGAACCCCGAGATTGCCGACTGGATTGCCAACAACGGTGCTTTCCCCAACTCCATGGTTGACCGCATCACCCCCCGTACCAACGACGAGGACAAGGTCAGCCTCGCCGAGAACTTTGGTGTTGAGGACGCATGGCCCGTTGTCACTGAGCCCTTCCACCAGTGGGTTCTCGAGGACAAGTTTGTTGACGGCCGCCCTCCCTTCGAGAAGGCCGGTGTCCAGATCGTCCCCGACGTGCACAAGGTTGAGGAGTACGAGATGATCAAGCTACGTCTCCTTAACGGCAGCCACTCAGCTATGGGATACGCTGGCCAGCTCGCAGGGTTCACTTACATCCATGAAGTTATCGGACACCCTGTCTACCGCCAATTCGTCATCAACATGATGCACCAAGAAGTCAAGCCCCTTCTCCCCCAGATTCCCGGTGTCAGCGTCGACGACTACTGCAACACCCTCCTGGGCCGATTCTCCAACCCTACACTCAAGGACGAGCTTCCCCGTATCTGCCTCGGTGGCAGTGGCAAGATTCCTCAGTTCATCATGCCTAGCATCGCTGAGCAGATTGTCGCCAAGGGCCCTCTTCGCCGCCTCACCCTTGTGGCTGCCGCTTGGTTCCGCTACAACAGCGGTATCGACGACGCTGGCAAGGCCTTCAAGGTTGACGATCCCATGGTCGAGGAGCTCCAGGCCAAGGCCGCAGAGGGTCCCTTGGCTCAGCTTGAGATCAAGACTCTATTCGGTAACGATCTCCGTGAAGACGAGCGTTTCGTTTCTGAGCTCAAGGCTGCTTTGGAGGGCTTGGAGCGCGAAGGTGCTTTGGCCATGATTGAGAAGTACGCTTAAGTGTGCGTTAGGAGAAAAGAGATACCCCAGGGCGACAAGCGTTGCGTCGCCATACTAGACTTTGTGTCTTTTGGATTGGTTTATGCGAAGCATATAGATGATAGATGTTGGGACATTTGCAGCATTGGCGTTGACCTCAAAAAGAAAGTGTTATAGCAAGCGTTTTTTTTTCATAGCATTTTAATCATAGCATTTGATCGTTCATGATATCTACAGATGCACTGCAATAATTGACCATCCGCGAATTAACTATTTTTTTCCCATGCGACTAACATACTGCAGCAATTGAGCGAGCAACATCTTCCGGTCGATATGTGGGCGCCTTGCTAAACCCTCACAACGTAGGCATAACCGCGGAGACCGATGACGTCACTATGATCATCGTATCATTGTCGGTGCCACCGTGCCCAGATGCGTCGCTACATCTGCAGCCTTATCTTCACGCTACGCTTCCTCAACATGATCTTTGTTGGTGTAGCATGCGTTATCTACTGAGGCCTGCAGCGCTCTTATCTCTCGTACAGGATCAAATTTCAAGACCAAATTCCATGCTCGTACCCACTGTCTTCGCAAAGATTACACAAATTCGCCTCTGTGGGGCAACTGCAGCGAGATGGAGTGGAGTTCGCGTACTGTAGCTGCTCCCTCCAAACTGGGACGGGACCCAGAATTTTGGACCCTGTGTTGAAGCGCTAATGTACAAGTCCCACTGCGCGGGCTCACTAGAATTTCTCCAGCAGATCTTGCCGCTTCTAGTTTTCTCCAGCTTGCCGAGTTGCGCCACCCAAAATACCTAGGTACATGTATTCAGCCTTCCTTTTTAGTCCAGGAATCTTGGCGCTATGCCGAGTCTGCTTCTGGGTGGTACGCTTTGTATACCTGCACGGCACCCTCAACACTTTGGACCAACCCGAAGAAGAGGGTAAGGCCTATCGCCACTATTGCTATCCATGAGTTGAGCCAGTGGTCGCCTCCCTTACTATCTTTCAGCGCTTTTAGCAACGCCTTGGAGGTTGGCGTGGCTTCCTCGACAGCCTCTCCTAGCAGAACCAATCGATCTCGCCAGAACTGGAATCGCCCAAGACGTCTGGATGGATGTCCAGGCCGAAAATGGCCACATTGTGCTAATGTGCTGTCTACCGCCGTCTGCGTTGAGTTCGCTCGCCGCTTCTCTGACAACCATCGTCTCGTTTTGCGATCCGACTCTGGAAATAGCAGGGCAAGCGTGTCTAACGTTTCTTCGATCAGGCCGTCTGGAAAAATCGGACTATGAGACTGTATAGTAAGCATCGCTCTCTACTGGTCTAACAATGTGTTCATACCTTTCTGTGGCTATCATCTTTCTCAAGAACGATGCATGGTGGAACACACACAGCTTTTTGTCTCGTTCGACAAGACGCAAATGATCGAGCAGATTATCGGTCAGTATCACCTCGATGCCTGACATTCGCTCGATATTATAACACGTAAGATCCGAACTAACGACATCGTCCTTCGAATCCAGTTCAATATCTAGGGGTTGATTGAAATATTCATGTACGGCATCTGCGAACGAACAGCCTTGGCTCCAGGGTAAGGAATGTTTCGCGGATATCTCGGAAGAAAGCGGTCCAGTGCTGATCATTGTGAATATGCGAGTCGCTAGCTTCAAAGAACCGTCCAACATCTTCTTCTCGTCTGACGTTGATCTTTGCGTTGTGAGTGTTTGACGGAGCCTTTCTCTGATTTCTTCTTCGTCAGCCGCGTCTTCCAGCAAGTGCGCAATCCGCAAAAGACTTCGATGCGACCTAGCGCAGAGATGGGCGCCTTCATCAGTGAGGGCTGCGTTGCATTCCCGTGTATAGTATGCAAAATAAGCGTCCCATACGAAATGGAATCTTTTCAACGGTAGCCCTCTTCTGTCTCGCCATAGATGCTGAATAATCTCCGCTCTAGCCTGTGGTGTAACGGTGTCCTGGAGAACTTCGTCAAGTGGACCGATGAGTATTGACATTTTGAAAAGATAGGTTATTTCGGTATCAATCACAGACCTGCATATATGTACACGAGAGGCTCGTTTATAGGTTGCCAGTCCTGTAGGCTCTGCGCCGCTTTCTTCGTGGGCTTGCAGCTTTAACCGGTCTGGCTCGCGCGTCTTCCAATGGCTGCGCCCCTCGACACCTCCGCACAGCTGAGCCTCGTTATTCAAATTAACACAGGCCCTCGTTCTGCAATCTTTCGATCGATCCTACGCCTACTGTATATTTTCGAACTACTCTCATCCCTATCTCCTCTCGATTTGGATTGAGCTGCATATCCAATGCCGTTGTTTCGTCCTGATCGGTGCGGGATGTGAGGTCAACATGAGCGAACGGTATCTCAGCCGAGCCAGATTCTGGAAATCCGCACAACATCCGTATCCTGACGTCGAAGCATGTATCGGTACGGAAATCGGAATATTTCATGACAGATACTGGTGGCATGCTGTGGGACCCGCCCGGCAGCATTTCAGCCTTCTCGAACCCGAAATCGTGGAACAACTCAACTCAGTATTTATTGAGCAGTATTCAAGCATTTTGCTCTTTCATTTGTACATGATAGGCCGATCAGTGGAGGCAGCGTCGCCTACTATCATGTTTTTTAGTGAGGAGAAGGAAGCACGCAAGAGAGCCAAGAAGGCTCTCGATCATGGAGGACTTCTCGAAAGATTACCAGGGTTCCGAACAGCCCATCTGGCTAGACAACCTGGTGTGGGAAAACTGATACAACCTGCAGCTGGGAGTGACGATACTCCACAATCGAGCGACTCTGACATGGTAACCGAAGTCTATTTCGATGCTTCGTACCCTGTCAAAGCTATTGGAATGCCCATTTTCATTAAACATTCCGATGAGACTTTCCGAAAGGCCACAGCCAATGCTGTCTTTGAAGAAGACAAGTGCGTTTATTTGTCAGTCTCTCACGTATTCTTCGACGACATCTCTTCAACACCAAATGAATCAGTTGTAAGCGACGGAGAGTATGACTTCGGAAGCGGAACCGAGTATGAGGACGAGGATGAATGTCTCAACGCTACATCGCGGGCTAGCGTCAGTTCATTTGGGGGAAGCCTCAGCGACTGGCCGGGCTCAACCACATCTAAGCCCTCTTCCTCAATGCACTCGCCCAACACTAGTTCCGTAGTCTCTTCACCTCTTGGAGATGACAGATTCTCTAGCATGGTAGCAGTACTTGCAGATTCCCACATCGGACAACAACCAGCTCATATTGCCAGCAATCAACCTCCACGAGGAAACTTGGAGTATCTGGGCAATATGACGCGGCATTCAGTAAAGCTTGATTGGGCATTGATCGAAATTAGCAATGCTAGAGTGGCTTCTACTGTCCATAATCTCAAAGCGAGTGTACGAAAGGAGGATAATGACTTAAATCCGGGCACCGACAAAGAACCCGATAATGTTGTTGCGCACACTTCTCGAGGTCCAATCGTTGGACAGCTGTCTCGTGAAACAGTTTTTATGCGACTACCCAACAGCACCAGCTTCCAGAAAGTCCACCAAATTATGCTAGATTCTGCTCTCGAATGGGGCGATTGCGGTGTTGGTATCTCAGATGCGGCGACCAAGGAGCCCTACGGACACGTCGTTGCAACTTCGGCAACAAAGGAGATAGCATATCTCGTACCAGCACAAGAGGTTTTCCGAACATCCGGAACGCAATGGGCAGCTGATTTGGAGGCTATATCTGTTTCTCCCAGATTGAGTGAAATACAAGGTTTGTGACGCTTTTCACGACATGACCTTGGAGCGTCATTGTTAGAATACTAACCAAAAACAGAAACCAAAACTCGTACCTTTTCAAGTTGTAGTATGGAATCTTCGGCAGAAGAGAAACCCAACAATAAAGGATCTCCGAGCTTCCAACATCCGTTCTGGTTCAGTGAGACGTTAGGTGAAACAGCAGCATGCTTGAGTCCAGTCTCTCCAAAATCTATGCTTGCACAGTACACGACAACCGTACCGATAAAGAAAGAGGAAGACGCACCTCTTTCAAGCATCGCGTTTCCCAAACAAGCAGGTGTGTTCTCTTGTTAGTAAATCAATGCGATTAAGTGTTTGACGGAGAAGATTCTGAGTTGAGCTAATCGAGCGTAACCTAGATCCAGATCCAGAGCCAACCTTGATTTACAGTCCTTCGCGACATAGTAAAGTCCCTAACGTCAAGCGAATGATGGATTACACATCCGGAAACGTCAATGCTGCTTGTGGAACGGCACCTGCCCCCAAGGAAGTGACGGCCAGCTACTTAAGATCGACCAAAGACAGAGTGAACTACTCCATCAAGCTCAGATCATCCCCGATAGTACGCCCTGCAATCGTTGACAACTGCGAATCTTTGTTCAACAAGATAGTCATACCTCAGTTATACTCGCTTGGTGAGGGTTTGGAGCCTTTTGGGACAATGTTCGCTAGCCGGGACGTCAGAGTCAATTTAGAGGGACTCAAACATATTTGTATGTATATTTCCCAAAGAAGCCATCATTGTCTGACAACTGGCAGTTTCAAAATACTTCATGACCTGGGAAATGGAGGAAGTTTGGATACCAAGATGTCTAGAACGCTCACATACCTTCCTTGGCACTCTCTACATAGCATCGGCCTACAACGATGTTATTTCCAAAAGTATAGTGGAGAGTCTTGAGACTGCAGCATTGCGACAAGATGTGATTCATCTTGTTTCTGAGCACCTTACTAGGAGGGAAGAATGCGTTGCTGATCACAACATTCTAGCAGTACTGCAACTTATTACTGGAAACGTCATAGTTTGCATGGAGGCAGGGTTGTCATTTCATCAGAATGGGTTGCAAACTATGATTCAACAACGCGGAGGCCTGCAAAAACTCGATTCGACATTGGCATCAATGGTCTCATGGCTTTCGTTAGAGACGGCCATTCTTCTTGAGAATCAGCCAATGACCGAGTACCTTGAGTACTGCGTGTCCCAATCGACTAAGATGTACCCATCAACATTAGCGATACCAGAATCGCCGATCTGGTGTCCCCATGAGGATTACATCACGTTACGTATGTCCGGTAGTTGTAACGAGCAGACACTACAATTGGTGGTGGACATGCGCTATATGATTGATGGTCTGATGAACAAGGTGAGCTTTCATATTGTCAGCAACTTTCGCTTTATATCTTCGCTAAAATTGATATCTAGAAGGAATCAGCGACTCGAGCCTCTGAGTATTTTGATTTTCTTCACAAGAAACTCACTACCATATATATTCCAGTGTCTCAACGGCAGATTTCCGAAGAGATTAGGTGCGAAGACTGGAGATATGAAGCGGTCCGCTTAGTATCAACCATCCAAGCCACATCTCTTGCCAGACGCATCCCACTGAGTGAGGCACTTGCTCAAGTGTACGTAGCCGACGTCTCTTCGGTTCCGCGGCTTGCCAGTGACCCGTTTTTTCCTCACAAAAAGATGACGACCTCGGATGAAGACCTGTTCGCGTCCTCAGTTAGGCCATCCGCAGTATCTGTTGTAAGCTCGGGATGCACTCCCATGACGATAGATTCCGGACACTCTGAACTCTCTTCCCTTCCATCTATCTCCACGTCCTCGGTTAGTTCGTCGGCTTTTCTATCTTCTAATATCTTGGAAAAGCGTTCTTCTCAGTCAACATTCCTCCAGGAGCTCAGAGATGCGCTTGAGAAGTCGGACATGTCTAATTGCTGGGACAACATGGCAGGTGTACTTTTGTGGATAGCTCTTACGGCTGGTGCGGCCAGTAGTGATAGTGATCACAAAGTGCTTCGAAGGTACTTCTCCGCCCTAGCGATCAGAGTTTCAATGTTTCTGTGCTTCGAGCACCCTGAAGCTTTGCATGCGACACTTCTGCGGATGACGAATATTCTTAAGGCATTGCACCAGCCAGAGGAAAACCAGCGGTTGAAGAGAAGAAAGGTGTGAATCATATTTGGCAAGTTGAGAGCTCCTTATGAGATGATTGAAAGCTCGTAAAACTATCTGCCCGGCGTAGTCCTTGCTCATGTACCAAACAACAACCTGTGTTCTGTCAGAAGACCTCGTTGAAACCACTGCTTTCACAAAAAAGGTTTCCCTACCCTACCATGTACTAAAAAAATTGAAGAGGGTATCACTACGCCGATTATCGTACAAAACCGTCCCATCGTACGTGTACATCCAAACGTCATATAAAAATAATATCAAGATCCTACCATGTTGTCCTACGAAGGCGTCATCTTGACGACTCCAAAACCATCGTCTTTGGGTGTCGCTCTTCCTCCGCCAACCATGAATGTCCCACTGCCCTTCTCGTCGAACCAGCGACTACTCCTATGCCAGCTAGGGAGGTTTTCAGGGTCTTCGTCCTCATTCTTGCAGCCTCTTCTGCAGCCTCCATTTTGCCGCCACTGCGTACCAGCCCACTTCATACAACGTGCGTATTCAGCGCAACGACCGGCTCTTCGTTTCTTTTGTTGCGAGAAGTCTGTGAGGGTCTGTCGTGGCGTGAGACGACGGAGAGTTATGACAGCGTGCGCACAGAGGTCGGGTATAGGAAGAGGTAGATGGGTAAGAGCGAGCGCTGTCGTTTCGAGCGATTCGAGGCTGTAAAGAAGTTCGTCTGGTGCTGCAAGGAGGAACGACACTGGCTGTTGGACTGTAAGAGAGTTTGATATGAGACTCGAGGCTTTGCGCCTGAGTATGCGCCTGGGTCCGGTTTCCAGCTCTTTTCGTTGCTCAGGCTCGATAGCGGGCGTTAACGGTGTGACTGCTCTAACCATCGCATCGTCCAGTTCCTCGAGCGCTCCGATCGCGGCTCCGTCCACTTCCCACTCCAGCACTTCCTTCTCACAGCCGGCCATGCCCATGTAGATCAAGTCTTTTAATTCCATCAGCAGCTCGAAGATCATGCGTTGTGGTACGGGTCGTTGTTCGAAGAGCGTCTGTATCGGTGGAAGGAATCTTTGCGCTATCTCGCCTCCAGTGTATAGGTTCTTTCCATGTGCAAAAGGGGCATTGTCAGCCATCTGTATTTCGATCTTTGACATTTGACGTGAGAGGCCAGCAGCAAGGTGACGGATTTGGATAAGCGGGTTTTGTGTGAGAGAACATTGAAGGGTCGAAGAGAGGTCTAATCGTTGAGAGTCAGTATATGCGCCTTTCTGGACAAACTCCATAAATCACAAATCGTTGGGCATATACCAGTAAATGCGACCTCTCCGGCAAGGGCAACGAGCGCCTCCGCGAGCTCTTTTTCCTTTTCCTTCAGTTCACGTCTTTGCGCCTGCATAGCCCGCCATGGTACGACGAAGCCAATGCTCTTTCCGACATTGTCTACTGCCTTTCCATCTGCGATCTCTTGCGTGCTATCCACGGTACTGCCCTTGTTATATTTCTTGCCCTTCTGGCCGCGAGCATCTTCTTGGTGGTACTGGAATGCGAGGAGGAGATCGTTGTTGTCTTTGGTATGGCGGATATTGCGCCAGACGCTTAGGACGGCATTGGTGGAGAAGATTTGTTGATATGGCGACATGATGGTTGCGCAGACAGATAGGCTTTCACATTGCTGATACAAAGGTTGTCAAAGATGCGACCGAGTGTCGGCGTCGTGGATCTACGGCGAGATCAGGCGTAAAGGGCGCTTTGTTAGCAGGTTGGTAGGACGTGATGCGATGGAAGGAGTAGGATCCATGTTTGTCAACAGAGTTAACCGCATTAGGATGCAACACGTGGGGCCGCGTGTGAGGGGCAACGCAACTACCACGCGCGACCCGTGATAGCGTGCCAAACGCGTAGGACATGGTATTTTACTCGTAGATTTCTGTTCTCATCATGATTTCGATGCTGCTCGTGTACATCGACTTCGGAATCGTGCCTTCTGACTCTATAGTACATTCATATACCAGCGCTCCGTCCCAATCAATCCTGAAAGATCAAACACAGCCCCAACCGATTCCGAGTATGCTGATGCGCCGAAGAACACCGAAGTATGCATCGCTGCGAACAATGACTGAACCAACTCACCTTAAACTTATTAGATCATGCCGGCCATGCCACTTGATGCATATGCCATTGGCTTAATGTTCGGATGCGCAACAGCATCGAACTGAGTGAACTTGAGCTTATACTCGGGGCCAATCTTGATGAAAGCACCCTTGTTGTGAGTGCTGTCGCAGTAGTTGGGCGCTGAGAAGACTGTGATGCAGCGTCCATCGTGTTCGACCTCGTAACCTTCCATGCGTACTTCGTGTGACCGGATGATGGCTTCAAGGCCGTTGTTCTCACAGAATCGCTTCGTGATGTCGGGGCCGAACTGCAGACCAACACCGCGCTTGCTGGGTCCACGGCCTGGATTCGTTTGGGGATCGGTCCACAGCATCTCCATCATAAGTCCAGACTGTCCCGGTTGACGCTGCTTGAATCGGTCAAGCTTTCTTACGTCGTCTAGTGTGATCTTGTCATCTGAGAACAGACCACCGTGAAGCACAAAGTACTTCTTGCCAATGAGGGTTGCCAAAGGAAGCGCGGAGAAGGACTCGGAGAACAATTTGAACACGCGCTCAGTGTACTTGGCCCTACATTCACCCTCGAAACCGTACATCCTGTTCATATCGTCCGTCTCGTGATTGCCGCGATTCAGGAAGAAGGTATTGGGGTATAGCCATTTGTAAGCGTATAGTAGAAGGGCGATTTCGGTAGACCATGAACCTCGGTCAACAAAGTCGCCGTTGAAGAGGAATGCGTGCTTTTCGGAGGGTTTGCCAGCGAGGCGGAAGATCTCCATGAGGTCGAAGAATTGGCCTAGCCTTGTCAGTATACAACGAGTCCATGAATCTTTTCCTCAACCTACCGTGGGTATCTCCACAGACTGTAATCTCCTGACCATCCGCAACATCATGCTCGACCATAGTGGGCTCTTTCTTGACAATGTCCATTACGGCGATGATGATCTGGTAGACATACTTCTTGGCCAGCTTCTTCCCGTTCTTGAACCTCTCAATCATGTCTTCGACGAACTCCAACGTCATCTTGTCTCCCAGCTTCGCGCCATCGTATGAGGGGTCGACAGCCATGTGTTCGAGATCTAGTCCCTCCGCTGCCGATGGCGCGTCTTCAACTTCGATGGCCTTGAGGAAGGCGTCTCGCTTGACGACCTTGTCGCACTCGGCCATGCGCAGTTTCGCGTTCGCATCGTTAGGGGCTTTCTTGACGACGAGCTTCCAGTCGCGGAGTGCTTCGCGGTGCTTGAGGATGGCGGTGTTGGCTGAGGCGCGGCGGTAGTATGCCTGGTGCTGTGGTAAGCCGTCATGTCGACTAAGTGGGTTTGCGACAATGGTACCTTGACATTGTTTGGGTCCAGTTCAATTGCCGTGTCGGCATCTTGTATGGCGTAGCCATATTGTTCGAGCTTGATGTATGTCTGGGAGCAGGTTAACAGAGGCGTGTATGCAGCAGGTGAGACTCGGTACTTGTGCGCGGTTGGTGTAGAAAGAGGGCTCTGCGTTGTATGCTTCTATCGCCTTGGTATAGAACTCCAAAGCCTTGTCCCACTCCTGGTTCCTGAAGGCATTGTTGCCCTGATCCTTGAGCTTGGTCGCTTCGTCGGTCGGGGCACCCATGATGTATCGATGCGGTGCGGGACAAACTGGGGTATGCGAGGCACGCGGGTGTGATTGCAGAAGGCGCGACGGGTTGCTGCACCTGTTGATTGACGGGAGAGGGAAGCTGCGTCCCTGCGCAAAATACGATGACCTAACAAACAAGTGACGTACGGCGAAAAGAGAGTGAACTGTTGCCCGCACTGCCCGCCAAAAGTTATCAAGCAATTCGGTCCCGCCCTCTCGCCTCGCCTTGCCACTAACGCCTCCGCCAGCGCTTCAACCAACCAGCGACCTCGGCTCGCAACTAGACATCATGGCGCGCAAAGGTGTCGCAACGGTCAAGACGCCTAACAGAGAAGATAGGTACATGACCATCGATTCTGACGGCGAGGAGGTCACTCCCGCTGCCAGTTCTCCGAGCGATAGAACTGTTTCTCGAAAGAACAGCAGAGCAGATGAGCATCAGTACTTTGCGCATGAGCTGGAGAATGTCGATCCCGCAGCCTCACGCGAGCCACTAAACCCCTCTAAAGTGGCCGAGTCAGGTCCAGAGCCAGAGCGCCGACAGCCTCGCCAAGCTTCCGGAACCGTAGAACAAAGTAGGACACTTGCGAACGCACTGTTTCCTGCCAGCTTCAACAACCCCGTCCTTCCTTCTGTCGAAGCGTCCGAGTCGCCCACGTCCATATCTGCCCACCAAACTCCGCATCGGCATCAAGAGCCCGTACAGCAGCCCCGTTCTCGACTTCAGAAATCTGCTACGCCTTCGCGCGCTGCTGGTCGAGGTCGCGTCAACGCTTCTACAGACGCCAGTGTCTCCAGTCCCATTCACCATCTCGGTCTCACCCCCGAGAACCGCCACCAAACAGGTCAAAACTCGCATCCCAGCCTTCCGTCCTACATCGACAACCCCAACTACTTTGACATGGCACAAGACATGATTCAGGGCGGCGCGTACATCGCGCCTGGCCAGCAGCGCAACATGCGCGCCTGCATGGTCTGCTCCATCGTCCGGACTCAGAACCAGTTCCTCACCCAAGGCTGCCCGAATTGCGAAGAGATTCTCGAACTCGCCGGCAACCCCGAGCAGATCAACGATTGCACATCGCAAGTCTTTGAAGGCCTCATTACGGTTGCTGACACCTCAAGGAGTTGGGTAGCTAGATACCAGCGCCTTGAGGGCTACAAGCCAGGTGTCTACGCGACCCAGGTTGAAGGCATTCTCCCAGACGACGTGATTGGCCTGGTGGAGAGTGCAGGCATCAACTACGTGCCTAGGGATGGTAGCGAGCAGGATATGCTACCAAAGGACTAAAAGTGGAGAAGCGAAGAGGAGGACCAGACACACATATGACTGTGCAGAGGAATACAAGGGAGAGGAATACTTGCATTGCATATTCAGCGCTGGAGTTATGGTAAAAGTGCATCCACGGGTGCCTCAACAAGACGATACAACAGCTCGAAGAATCGATTTCATTACACATGGAGCTCACAACATCGCCGGTACTCTTGTGCCTTTGTCTGATGATATACGTGTCTTGTCGTGGCACGGCTGGCAGGGTCTGCGTCTTGCACTCGAAGCAGGATGCCATCATGTTTAATCCACAATACAACAGAGTTAGATAAGCAACTCCTTCACATACGACCATAGTTTCAAGACTATAGCGCTTCCCGTTCGCTCAGCGGTACTCAAGCTTGTAAACGGCGGATTAGTAGTCAGGTGGGTGACCACTGGCGAATCCCCGCTGTTGTATGTTTTTGTCTGTTTGTTTTTGCTTGCTCAGGTCTTGAGCTTTCACATACCAAGCATAATCACATTTCTGCTGTCCTTTTGCATGCAGAGGGGCTGGTTGGTGGTAATACTGCATGCATCATGTCGATAATTTGCGTGATTGGGCGCTGGAACTCGCCAGCAAAGGAACATACAAACCAGCACGGGCGCATTGTCTTCGCTAGTTGAGTCGTTATAAGACAGATCAAAAGATCGCAGACATCCATCAGTATTCTTCTCGTTCTCAGAGACGCTATGTTCAGCGCATCATCTGACTATCACACTGACTGTCCACTACTCTCCAGCCAAACAACACTTCTCGGACTACCCACACCCATATCCCCAATTCCTACTGTACTACTCCTTACATCTGAAACGACCACAACGTTTTCTCCATAACTCAGATAATCGGTCTCGCAATTCAATATATCCGCCTCCACGACCCCCGACTTTCCCTTTTCCTCTTCTTTAGGCTTGATCTTCGCCCGTATGTCCACATTTGGCAATAGCGTATTCCCAGGCTTGAGCGGAATGAGCATGATCGGCCATTCATGCTCTTCGTCTTCCTTTGCGGTGAAGTGCGCGCGTCGTTGGCCGGCAACGAGCCATACTTCAGGGTTTGCATCGATGGTGTAAACGAAATCTATGGGCTCGCTGACTTTAGTAAGGTTTGCAGCGGAGAGTAGACTGGAGGGTGAGGCCCAGCGGCGCGTATGCGAGATACGCAAGGTGGTCATAAGAGGCTGACCAACTGTTGCAATAACGGAGTCTAGAGACGAAGAGGGTGAGTTGAAAGACAGTGATGCGGTGTGTAGGATGTGGGTCTGAGGAATTGAAACTGTGATAACCATCCGGCGGGGTGGGTTTGGCGATGGCGGAGCGGTCGCATGTTGCGTCGTGTCTGACACATCATCCTTGGTGATCAGAATAGTCCTGTGCTTCTGTAGGCATGTTAACATATACTATCATGTGAGAGGAACCACTGCTTACTTCATGCCACTTCTGCAACCAGGTCTGCGTATCATCACGAATGATGAGCGGCAGACTTTCCAGACAGTCTGCCCAGCCAATGTCCTCGAATGCACCTAGGTCAAGCCTTTGCAGCAAAGCAATCTTTTCGTACTGGTGTGGAAGGATGTCTTGCTCCAACCGACTGGCGAATGTATCGGTAAGCAAACGAGCCAGCCGGTGCACTGGGCTTTCTTCGACAGCATCAGTGAACATCTTTCGCACTCGGTCAAGAACATCCTCATTCAAGCATCGGTACTCAACAGTCAAGGATAGGCTACCCGTGGTAGAGATCCGGCTTTGTCGCTTTTTCGCAGCGTCCGTTGCCTTCTTAGTAACCTTGTACGTAACCGCGACAGGCTGCTTCGGAAACACATGTACGGACTCCTTCGGACGCCTAGGCGCGTGGACATCGAACTCTTCAGACCCATCTAATGCAACATCCAGGAGCTCCAATGGCACATGGTTGGCGGTTTTGATGTTAAACTTCGAGAACAATGACTTGCTTTTGAAGTGGTCATGGACATTGACGTCCAGAGGCAACTCGACGGGAATAACGAAGGTTGAGGTGTACTGGAATTGGCCTTCATCAGTGAAGTAGTCAACGTCTATCTTGACTGTAAGGTCTTGCAATATCGTCTCCATATCATAGGGCACTTTCAATGTCGCTGTGGAATTTGCCGGCATGCCACCAACAGCGATAACTCCTGGTGTCGGCTTGCTCTCATCAATCGTGATCTCTCCGGCGGCCACACTTGAATTTGCCGTCCGTAGTCGTAAACCTGCTGAGGCAGACTTGAGTCGAACCTCTGCACGTGCCACCTCATTCCAGCCAGTCGAGCACTCGACCTCTATGTGTCGCGGCTTGTCGATATGGATGAAATGCGAGAGATATATCCTGGCTTGGAACGCTTCACTACGCGGGAAGCATAGAATTCGGGCTTTCTTCGCCGCTTTGAGAGAATGCGCAGAGACCGAAGTAATGATGCCAAGGGGTGTGGTTGCTTCAGCTTTCTGAAAAGGCTCGTGTACAAAGACGATGCGCTTTGCTTCCAGGACGACCCTGTCAACCATGTACGGTCCAGTCGTGTTCACGTTGCAGCCGATCCACATGCGATTCAACCCTCTCTTCAATTGTATAGCTCCAGTCTCTTCAAGCCATATATCCTTGGCTTGATTTGAAACTGCACTGACGAGGCAAATCTTGGCTGCCCGGATCTCGATCTCATCCTCAAGGTGGTGTCTAAACTGGAGGCGTAACTGGAAGCCATCTTTGTCATCGTAGTGGCGAACGTAGGGTTCTACGGAGATATCGCCAAAATACTTCGGCATCTGGACGGTAACATCGTACGGTAGCTGCTGCGAATAGCTGATGAGCTCGTGAAACACATCAGTAGTATCCACTTTATCATCGTTGAGCCAGTCGCGAGGCATATCATCTGCATCGGTCGTGCTAGCTCGCTTGACCGAATTCTTGAACGCCATCCGGCTCGCTGCCGACTTGGCTAGAAGATCAAGTACTGTTCGAACATATTCGTCCTTGCGATTGAGCTTCTTTAAGCAGCGTGCGTGCATCTTGAGCATGGTTGTCTCGACCGTGTTCCATCTGCTTTCTGCGAAGTACGACGCCATACGCCCGAAGTACATAGCAGCTGCCGCAAAATCACCAAGCTCGCTATTATAAAGTAAGCATCTAACACGCTAAACCTCAAGGGTCAAAAAACATACAATCTAAGTGCAGCTAGGTCTCCAAGTACACTTTCTGCTGACTTAGTCTGACCTGCAGCCATGTAGTGCTTGACAATTAGATCGCTCAAGGTCTGTAAAGATTAGTAAGTATGTCTAATATTGCGATATCGTTACTGACCTCGTAAAATTGTCGGAATTGCCTGATCGATAGCATTGCGGTGACTAGTGCTCCAGCAGATATGCCAAGGCGTGACTTCGAGGTTTCGGTGTTCGGTTCGGTGTTTGATTCGTCCTGCTTCAACTCACTCTCCTCTTCCTCCTCGTCTTCCAAATTAACGTCAGCTAGCTCTTCTTTCGCATTCAGAGACGCCAAGATAGCATTCCAACCTATGTTCCAACCCATGCTCTTGCCTGCGTGCTCGAGCAGGCGTCGCTGAATAGCAAGCAGTTGTGCTCTAGTACCGGCCAGTTCTTGCAAGCCGTTCTTCGCAGAAGGAATCACACTTTGTTGGTTCGGCGGTGGTCGATCGTGATATTGGCCATTCTCGAACACAACCTGTGCATTTGCCGCAGGTTGTGCATATGGCATGTCTGACGCAGGTCGTCCATGGTTGAGAGATGTTGACCGAGATGGATGGATCATTGACTTGGGCTCTGAGACCTTCATCTTTTGTTCTTTGTTGCGGCCGCCGAACGAAAGACTCTTGCCTGAAGAACCGGTTGATGGATCTCTAGAGAACCTAGTAAATGGAAGTGAGCCTGTAGAGGTTTCGCGCAGCACTTGGTCCAGCGCAGCAAATGTCCACGAACGAACAACGTTCTCAATTAGATTGTCGGGCAATGTGGTATCGTGAGCTTTCGCGCTAAACTCATGAGTAAGTACTTCGAATCGGCGGACGTGAACTAAACTTACCCATTGATCAGGTCATCTCGCAAGAGCCGTCCGGCAAAAGTGATAAAGTTCAGTGCGCGAGAGCAGAGTTCAGCTAGAGAAAAAAGATCTTCCGAATCATTGACTTGACCCCCAGACTTCATACCAATAGCGCTGTCGTCAGTCGATCGCTGAATTATGCTGGCATTTGGTCGAGGTTGTAGTTTAGCTGCGAGGTCAGAACGTGCTGAGACGGAATTTCCGAGTCTTAACAGCAAGAACATCTGGCGAGCGAAGATGTACAGCCTGAAGTCGAAGATCGAGATGTTGTTCGCGAGGATGAGACCGCGGTAGTCTTTCTTTAGCGCGTTGATTGGCCTATCGTCGTGTATGGCCGATGCTGATTCGTCCTTCCCATCCTGTTGCGCGATCTCGGCCGCTATCTGATACAGATCATCTGAATGGCTGAGTAAAACACTTCCTTGTGCATTCTCACTTGACTGATCACGTATAACGCTGTCTAGACCGATGGAAAGCTCGTCATATCCGAGCAGAGCATCTTCGACTAGGCCTACGCTTTCGAAGCCTCTTGCCAAGCCTTCCTTTAAGATGAAGAACGTGTTGAAATTCCAGCCAGGAAACGAGCGCTGAGCGTCATTCTTCCGGATGTCCTCTTCGTACTGACTTACCCGGAGGTCAAACGAGAGGAGTATCAACATCTTGAACTTAGCTATGACATCAGCCCAGGCACGCTCTTGTTCCTGAGGGCTCTCAGTGATAGGTGGTGAGGTGACAGGCGCTGCAGCTGGAAGCATGTGCTGTGGAACTCTTTCTTTTGGCACCCGTATCTGAGCTACGCGATCAGGTGCCGATTTTGAGGAGACATTGAAGTCTGCGCGAAGCTTTTCGAGTAGGGTCGTCGTCCCGCGCGTCCATCTAGAAGCTGCCCCAGTCTTCTCCTTCTCGCCAGTCATGGTATTTGAAGACCCACGAGGCTGACTTGCTGCTGGCGTCTCAGGTACGACCACATGTAGAATCAACCATTCGTATGCATCATGGTTCTCCTGAGTGTTCGCCGTACTGCTTTGAGAAGGTGGTGTGTGTTCTTTCACCCACTCGCGGACTTGCTTCCGTGCAGTCGCCTTATAAGTCTCTGAATCGTCACATCTCAGAAGATAGACCTTTAGATAAGGAGTTTGACGCAGTCCTGGGATTTGATGTCGCCGCTCTTTCTCTTTGTTAGGTGCTCTGAAAATCTCATCCATATTCCTATTAGGCGTACCTTGACCAGGTGCTGAAGCTGACGAGGCCGCACTTGCAGCTTGTGCTGATTCTTTACTGGGCACAAGGTCAACATGCAGAGAGTCGATGGATCTCAGTGGCCGTGTAGGAGCTTTCCAGTGCAAGTTACGAAGGGGCAGGCGCGCAGCCAAGTCCTCTTGTATCAACGAAAAGACTCCAGAAGGGTCATGGTACTCGACTGCGAAGCATAAGCATAGGGGTGGTAAATTTACAGGGGTGCATACCCGTCACTTTGGAGCTTGATAGCCCGTCCATCACCGTAGGTTCAACTTGAGTTTGCCTAGAACCATCCTCTGTGGCACCCAGGGCTGGCGCACCATTTCCAGCCACACTCATGAAACGTGCACGATGAGGAATACGGTATGACGGCGGATTATGTGATTGATGACGTTTGTTCGAGTGCGCGGGTATTGATGCCGTCGCGAGACGAACGTTGCGCTTTGGGTGGCTTCACCGCTAGGCGCGACTAACCCAAATTCGGCGAAGACCCGCTCAGGCGTTGAGGTCTCCGCCACATCACGTGTGGTCGTCTCTTCTATGGCCGTTGTGCGAGCCTCTCAATCCATCACCGGTCAGCAGCGATTTTTCTCGCTTCACCCTGCCACCAGTGGATGAACACGCTCGTTCAGCCCTGCGCTATGCCTTGTGGGCTCGTGATGCGGCATTTGAGCGCCCCGTGAGTTTTCGCATTCTTCGCATTCGTCTTTCCGTGAGGGGTCTGACATATGCGCCTCTATTGTGCACCGTCGTAGGTCCCATGCGATAAATGTTAGGCAGTGTTCGATATTAGAAAGAGAGCAATATGTTATCAACTCTGTTCGGATCTTTCTAAGCCTTATTTCGCATGTTTCTTGTTTCTTGGGATACAACATTTGACTCCCATCTTTCAGCTGTCGCACTCACTGGACTTCACTTTCTATATCTATTGAACAAAACCATCAGCTCTCAAGATGGGCATGGGAGATTATTCACCTGGCAGTGTCTGGTATTACGCACCAAACAAAGCAGCGCCAATTGTCTTCATCGTCGTCTTCTTTGTCTCTGGAGCGCTACATGCCTGGCAGACAATGTAAATACTCCGGTTTCTGCTGATTCATTATACTGACTTTTCCTAGCAAGCACAAGTCATGGCGAACAACACTATTACTTCCATGGGCCGCTCTCTTGATGATCAGCGGCTTCGCAGTGCGACTCGCTGGTGCCTATGACACTGACAATCTAGCTTATCTCATAGCTTCAACTGTACTGATTATGTCTGGACCTCCAGTGTACGCCCTCATAAACTACTTCATACTGTCACGGCTCCTCTATTACATTCCCTACCTGGCGCCTCTTCACCCGGGACGTGTAGCAACAACTTTCATAGGTCTCGATGGCGTGTGTGAGATCCTTATCGGACAAGGTGCCTGGCGCATGGCCGACTCCAGCTCTACAGATGCAGAACGGAAGCTCGGCTCAGACCTTGTCACCGCGTCGCTGTGTCTTCAAGCAGCACTCTTCGGTGCTTTTGGGCTTCTCGCAGCACAGTTCCACCGACGTGCTAACAAGGCCGGAATACTCAAGAAGGATCTACGAGTTGTACTCTACGTCATGTACTTGAGTGCCTCTATTGTTACTATTCGTTGCATTTACCGCCTCGTCGAATACATTCTCGGCTGGGAATCCTCTATCTATCAGAACGAAATCTACTTTTGGATCTTCGAAGCTGTCATCATGGCACTCAATACTGCTCTACTCAATATCTTTCACCCTGGAAAGCGCTTGCCTCCTTCCAACACCGTTTTTCTGGCTCGCGATGGCGTAACTGAACGAAAAGGGCCCGGCTGGGGTGATGATAGGCCGTGGATCATTACCATCTTCGATCCCTTTGACCTTTGGGGCTTGGTTAAGGGGAAGGATAAGAAGACGCAGTTCTGGGATATGAGTGATGCAGAGTTAGAAGCAGCGAGAGCAGAGAAGAAAAAGAGGAAGAGGGGTGTGCTCAAGGGCTTGTTGGATCCTTTCCACCTTTGGGGTGAGCGAGGATACATTAGCAAGTACTTTAAGAAAGACCTGAATAGCGGGTCAAGGAGCAACGAGGTCGGGACCCAGCACATACACGCCGGACGATTGAGGCGCAATGGTAATGATACGCACGATACTGTTTGATAGGTGTACGAGGTTCTCAGAAGTTAGGGACTCTCTTCTTTTCTACTTTTTGTGCCCTCTTTCATCCGGGTCTATCCTTTCCTTGACTTTCATTCTCCTTGTGTAGTCTCCTAATCTTTAGTATGCGCTGCTATTGAAACAAACATGGACGGTATCTCATAGAGCAACCAGTCACACGACCGTAGGCGCTCTCGTTCAATCCTCCCATGACCAGACATAGTCTATACTGCCTCAGCTATGATTGGCTCCGCATGACATGCCACTGGTACCTGGACGCCTATGTTTCCTTTGTTCTTGTCTTCTTTGTCATCACCAACAGGCTACGCTACAGATGGGGCAGGCTATGTGGAGCACCATGTGGAGCAGAAGCATGGCTTTACGACCGCATTCAAAAGTCAAGATCTCAACAAGCACAACCTAGACAGCAGGCAAACAGCGTCGTACATGCACTCCATGTGAACCCGGCCCCACCGATGCAACATTCACAACCGTGGCAACCGAGCAGGGAAATAGAGGAATTATTGGAGGAATCGTTTACGTCGTCAATGTCAGGGTTACATGCTGATTTGGGGAGGCGTGATCAAATTGAAGGTTCAAGTAATGGGTATGACTGAGTGGTGAGTTGGCTTGGGTAGAGGGACAGAATGCGGCGGGTATGGCCACTTTTGGCAGTCATCTAGTAGGGGCTCAAGCCAAGAAGAACGCTTACAAAATCAGTAATACGGTGGCAACTGTACGCAGACTGAGTTATTGGTGGAAATAATTAACGATGATTTGAGCGGTCCAGATCTTTATGCAGGTGACGATGCGCAGCTGTCGACTTAGTGATTTCCAGGCGATGAAACTATTACGCGGCAAGCACCACGCGTCCTGTTAGGCGTCGTCACCATCCAGCCAGACGCTGCAGCATTACAATCACCAGTGCATTTCAAGAACAGACAAATCGCTGGAAAAATATTAACGTTAAAGTATTCATCATATATGCTATTTACTCTTATAGACGCCATACCTAACTCCAGGTAGGTTGGTTAATATGCAAGTCCCCCTGGAAACTGAGAGGTTGTGATTCCATGCCACTCTTGAGAACGCCAATAATGCACGTATGCATGTGAAAGAAAAGTTCATTAAGCTGGACAGGTATTAGGAAAATTGTGATCTACACATCAAAAGCCGTTGAAGCCCATCAGAATACCTGCGCCAGCGATCGCTGCACCGCCAATCCAGGGGTTTGCAGTTGCAACAGGCATGGCAGCGGCAGTGGAAGTTTCAATTCCACCGCCACCACCTGTGACACTAGGGCCATTGACTCGGGGTCCACCAGTGCCGACTGCTGCAGTTGATACCGCACCAGCAACACCGGTTGCGTTGGGTACACCGTCAGAGCCTTCCCGGATTTCCTGAATATTCTCAGAGGTAGCGTTAAAGTTGGTCTGGGCGAGAGAAATTTCGTTGTTCTCAAGGTCGTAGACGACATATGCGGATCGTAGGAAGGTGTCACCAAGAACAGCGACAGATTGTCCGGCAGGTCCGATACCAAGGATGCAGACGGGTCGTCCGCGGCTAACAGCAGCAACTATGACAAGCTCGTTGAGCGGGACGGAGATCTGGACACCAGAGAAGTTGAACTCGAGAGAGCCTTGCTGGTTTGCAAGATCACAGTCAACAAAGGCAGCCCCCTGCGAAGCGTCGTACTGAGCGTCAAAGGTTTGGTATAGCGAGCTCGCGACGTTATCAGGCAAGTACATCAACGAAGACCCAGAGTCGAGCAAGACGGGCACGTTTGAGTTCTCGAAGATGGAGCCATTCTTGCCATCGCGGCCCATTCCAGTCAGGGCAATTATAAACTCAGCATATTGTCCTCGCTCTGGGATGATAGGTAGTGTCTGAAGCTCGCCTTGGTACTTGTCCGTGTCCACGCCACCGAAGAGAATGCTTCCAGTAGATGCGTCCAGATCGTTCAGCCACAGAGAGTATGCGTTTGAGTTGATGGTACCATCATCCTTCAGCTTCTGAGGCAAGTTTGGGTATGGGTCCAGTCCTGCGCGGCCTACAGCGACCTCGTTGATGGTGTAACCGATTCCAAGGATGCCCTCTGGTGAGCTTGATACGTAGCCGATACCAAACTGCAGATCCTTTATTGTTTGTCCGCCGAGGCGGAAAGTGTCTGTCGCATAGTCTCCCGATGCGCCTGATCCATCCACGTATGATATGTTGAAAGCGCCGTTGACGTAGTTGTATGTTGACGAGTCGTTTGCGTTGTATGTGCCAGATTGGCCGCACTGGTTGCCGCCTTGGCTGCACAGATTCGAGTTGACCGAGTTGACCCAAAGATCGCTGCTACCTGTGTCGATGTGTAGCCGGAAGTTTTGCTCAGGAGTACCTAAGCTTGCGTTGGCGAAGTAGAGCGTCTCGAGATTGTCCAGTGTCTCCTGGACAACCTTTTGCCGTCTTCGTAGCTGGTCGTGTGCGACGGGGTTGACGATGTTCCGGCGCTGAGTATCTAGGCGCACCACTCGCGGATTCTAGGTGTACATTAGTATGATGGCTCGCAGAGACGCGTCTATACGCTTGTATGGGAGGACTTCGGGAGGATCTCGCTTCGGACTGAAATGCTGGGGATGCCAAGAGCCGCACTTACCTCTCGTGGTGCAAGCCTCACTGCCGCGGCCGACGACGCCAATTGCGCCGCCAGGAATGTCGAGTACTTCATGATGTTGTTCCTGGAAATGCGATGCTAGGGCTGTGCGGTGGATGTATACCACGGATTACAAACAGTCTCTGGTGTGGCTTGGTGAAACCTGACGCGCGAGTGGTCGGAGCTGAGAGAAGGCAGCTATGAATCGTGTTTGAGATTGCAGTTGAAGTCGCAGAGAGCGAAGCGTTGTACAAGCACACGAGAATAGTGGACAACAGGGAAACAATAGCAACAGGGGAAGGACGACTGGAGAGCGACTAGGGATAAAGCCAATATGTAGCAGAGGCGCAGGCGGGTAGGCTCTAGTCGGCGAAGGGGGCGTTCGAGCCTTGTGATGACGACGCGTATGATGAGGTCAAGTCTGGAATTGTTACGGATCCTGTGGCCCTTAGTGCAGCTGCCCACGTAACGAACATGGGCAGCCGCCGACATTTCCGGGGCTAAAAGCCTGCAGCCAACAGGACTTGTGTGTGCCCTGATGGAAGATCCGCAGGGCGTGGCGGTGCCTCTATTACGAGACGATTCGCCTTGACGCCGCTTCCATGGCCCAGCCAAGCGCTTGGTGCCGATCTGACAAGCCTTGCCGCTGTGTCGCATGCGCCTTGTCAGTACATAGTAGGCGAATATGGCGCAAACAGTATCAACACCGCAAAACATTCATAGCCTCATGAGAAAACGTCGGGAAATGCTGCTTCACAATAGCTACCTCGTGGTATTTGAGTTTGTATTGTAGGCTGCGCGTTCGGCCGGGCTTCCGTCAGCCGCGTACGTCACATGGTCTACCACAGTGTCTTGACGCCGTCGTTCATCGAAAGGCTACTAAAAGATGCGATGCATAATCCAGTAGCCTAGCGGCCGGTGAGTCCCCAGATGGTATCCCCAGGCGCCCGGAGTCAAGAGATACCGCGTGGTCAAGAGACGCCTGAAAGCGCTGTGCCTCTCGAGAAAAAAGACGTTTGAGGCTGAAACCTGACGCCCCTGCAGGAACCGGTACCTGGGATCGTATCTATGTGGCGTAGCATCGTCGTCGGTAGCGAAGAGCCCCGAGAAGTAATTATCTCGGCCCCTACGTAAAGAAAAAAAAGCCGATGAGCCATGATGAACTCTCGCTCTCCATTGGTACTCGACATGAGAAAAGTATGTCGCTGTAAATCGGTCGTACTACTTACGATTCCTGCAAGGGTGACGTCGCATCCGCGCACGCACATCGCCCTATCTTTAGTGCGAAAGGCTTGATGGGCTGCGGGTCGATCCTCGCTGCACGTGAGCACTAGTCCCAAGAAGGACGACCCGTGAAAGCGCGTTTGCAGAGCATCGCGTGTTTCGCGTCACCCCTCCAGACCAACACCCACAGCCCAAAATGTCCAAAGCCGAATCTTCCAAAGCAGCTGCCAGCAATGGTGTCAAACCAAATCCCAACGCTGCTGGTGGTGCTAACTATGAACTGCCATGGTAATTGACTACCCGCGCCCTTCGCAGCTCATCCAAACTAACAGGCACCTAGGGTAGAGAAATACCGTCCCGTCTACCTCGATGATGTCGTCGGCAACACTGAAACCATTGAACGCCTCAAGATCATTGCCAAAGACGGTAACATGCCACATATGATCATCTCTGGCATGCCTGGTATCGGCAAAACCACGTCCATCCTCTGTCTCGCACGCCAGCTCCTCGGTGACGCCTACAAAGAGGCTGTTCTCGAACTCAACGCCTCTGACGAGCGTGGTATCGACGTCGTACGCAACAGGATAAAGGGCTTCGCGCAGAAGAAAGTCACACTTGCACCAGGCAGGCAAAAGCTCGTCATTCTGGATGAGGCGGACAGCATGACCAGCGGTGCGCAGCAAGCCCTGAGGAGGACAATGGAGATCTACAGTGCAACAACACGGTTTGCATTCGCTTGCAACCAGTCGAACAAGATCATTGAGCCGCTGCAGTCGAGATGTGCCATACTCAGATACGCTCGCCTTACCGATGCGCAAGTCGTGCGCCGCGTTATGCAGATCTGCGAGGCCGAGGACGTAAAGTATTCAGACGATGGGATTGCGGCACTCGTCTTCTCCGCTGAGGGAGATATGCGACAAGCTATCAACAACCTACAGTCGACATTCGCTGGTTTCGGCTTTGTAAACGGCGACAATGTCTTCAGAGTGGTCGACAGCCCGCATCCCATCAAAGTGCAAGCCATGATCAAGGCGTGCCACGAGCAGCGCATCGATGATGCCTTGGCGTCGTTGAAAGAGCTCTGGGATTTAGGATATTCATGCCACGATATTATCAGCACAATGTTCAAAGTTACTAAGACCATTGATACGCTGAGTGAGCACGCGAAGTTGGAGTTCATCAAGGTAATTGCTGTTAACTCAGACGAAATACAATGGCTGATGGGGAACAGGAAATTGGCTTCACCCACATGCGCATCCTCGAAGGCGTGCAAACACTTCTACAGCTATCCGGCTGCGTTGCGCGCTTGTGCAAGATCAACATGCAGCCGCAATTGTTCGCCCTCCCCACGACGTCGAAGTAAAACAACTCCTTTGGAGCATCTGCAGCATTTAGCATGGAGTTTGGCGTTCACATGTGGCCAAACATGGGCCTATCCTAACGCATCATGGTATACACGCTATCTGAGAACTTCTAATTGTAGTCCTGTCTCGTCGCCCGCCTCCATGCCTTGTGACTTTTTTCAGTCCCTTTCGCCGAGTCTGGTTGTCTTTTACCGGAGATATTGCACACACGTTCGTGTGCTTGCCTACATGCTGCAAGATTGCAACAGAACCTTCTCAGTATGTTTGACACAAATTTGCTCTGTTTCGTCTATATGCAGTTTTTCTCTGCAAGCGAGCAACTACCCGGGCCTACACTACTATTTTACTCACACATAGAAACTAAAGCTTGTCAACCGTGCCCACAATCATGTCTCAACTGCGCCAGAAGCTAACCATCGTCGTATAGTATATCTTGCCCATCGCCCATGACCTACTAGCAAAAACTCCTGTTTCGAATTCTTCACAAACATTATCGTGGTTGTTGTGGCAACCCGTTTGGCACGGTTGCTGACCCAGCCTTCGAAGCAGAAGAAGCGACCCGCTGCCATCACAACAACACACACTGCCGCCACCAGCGCAGGTCAATTGACTCCGCAAGGTGAAACTGATAAGCTGAACTGCGGACATAGAACCTTAATCCGATAGATTCTTCCCTCGACAGCACGCACCAGGATATCTTGCGACAGGACTTGAGCATTAATGACAACAACTCTGAGCCTGAAGAGTGGAATTCAGACTACCATGCATTACAATATCTGATACAGGTATAGCGAAGGCTTTTAGCGACGCGGACTAGAGTCCATCTAGACAGGGTAATCGCATCCAAACGTAAAGACTGCTATGGTTCAGTATTCGCGAAGGGAGAGCACAGTGTGGATAATGGGATCCGATGTCGGAAAAACGTTGTGGAATTGATGGCCAAGACTACAAGGTGCGCTGATTAGTACGATGTGTTCTGCACCCGTGTACCATCCCATGTTGGAGGCAAGGTAAGCTGTGGAGGAGAGGCCCGGGGCGAGATGAGGAGACTAGCGTACTTCGGCTTCGACATCCGTGGGGTACTTCACATTTAGGGACCCCACTGTGCAATGCGACTCGGATCAAGAATAAAGCCTCAGACAAATAAATAGTCGAAGAAGTACGTGGTAGGCCCTGACTCGGAGAAGCAGATACTCACAATATTCCTTTTCCTATACACTGTTCCTGCTTGAACCTCACAATTTGCAACTTACCATGGCTTCTTCAATCGCCCCCAACAACCTCCTCAGTAATGCAGCGCAATCGAGGATATGCACCGCATTTGGTATCAAGATAACGCCGGATACATCGATAGTACACATTGCCAAAGCAGCTGGCTATGACTCGTTGTTCATCGACCTGGAGCATACAGCCATGACAATCAAAGATGCCAATCAACTATGCATCACAGCAAACTCAGCTGGGATCACGCCCTTCGTTCGCGTGCCACACCAGTGCGGTAACGGGTTCGTACAACGGGTCTTGGATGTTGGAGCCATGGGTATCATTGTTCCACATATTCACACAGTCGGCAGGTCTCCCTCATTACCGCTGACCCTTTGGCTAGAATCCCGCTAGAATCATCTTTCTGGTACCGAATATGGCTAACAAATATGATGTTAACAGATGATGCTCTCCGCGCGATAAACATCTCTAAATATCCTCCCATGGGCAAACGATCAATCAGCGCCGGCTTCCCTCACTTCGAATTCGCCCCCGTACCTACCACCACCATGACTGCGCAGATGAACGCAACCGGCTCTACTGTCTTCATTATGATAGAGACGGCGGACGCTCTTGCAGCTGTCGACGATATCGCCGCGCTAGCAGGCGCCGATGTACTCCTCGTCGGCTCCAACGACCTAGCTTCAGAAATCGGAACTCTGGGCGATTGGGACGCACCATGCTTCCTAGCCGCGCTGGAAAAGGTGGGTGCAGCTGCGAGAAAACACGGCAAGATTATGGGTATTGCGGGATTGTACCATAGGCCAGATATATTGGAGCGCGTGATCAATGAGTTCGGCGCAAAGTGGGTAGTGGGTGCTCAGGATGTTGGGTTGTTGTTGCAAGGCGGAACGGCAAACTCTGCTTTATTAAGAAGTTTACAAAAGTAAAGCAAAAATGGTTTCTTCCTTCATCTTTTTTTGTTCTCTCTCCAGAGATCTTTTGTATCTGCTCATTGATTGCGGGGGATTTGTCGCTCGAATTCCTCCCAATCTATCTCGTCGGCCCCTGTCAGCATGAAGTCGTTACCAAAATCGAGGTTGAAATCGCCGATGTCGTCAATAGAGGGTATATCGTACGATTCGTTGTCGAATCCCAGACTGTTTGAGAAGCGAGTAGTATGATCTGGCAGTTCGAAGAGAGCTTGCCGCCAATTAGTGGCTAAGGTAGGCTCTTGGTACGTATCTGCTGCGTGTGACTTGTTGGATATCGTTGTATCTTCCGCAGACGGTAGACGATCACATAAGGCTCCATGATCTAAATTATCCGATGGCCCTTCAGCAGCAGCAGGACTTCCGGCAATAGTGGGAACACTAATTCCAATACCGAGGTGCTGACAGATATGTTCAACATCTAACATGCGTTTCGCAGCAGCTTTGTTGCCATGCTTGATGAGATATTGAAGTATGCTTGTCGCACTTCGGATGCCATGGAGTCCTGAGCGAGATGATCCAACAGACTGAAGGCTTTCAACAAGTATGAAAATAAAAGCGGCCGAGATTGCTGCATCCAAATCGAAATATCCGAATTTAGCTAGCAGTTCCTGTTGCTTGAGCGAGAGCAGAACGTCCAAAGTCATACCGGCAGCTTCTATACACGTCGCTGCAAGCACGTGCAGAGTGGAAGATGCAGTGCTTGAAAGGTCTGTGTCGTTACCTTGAAGCTTCGATTTAGCGAGATGGAGGAGAATTGGTCTTGTTGTCAGTATAATAGCCTATAGCACCAGTTAGCGTGCTCCGGATGTACTCAGACGTCCATTACCTGGAATAGCATCAGATACAGTGTCGCACCCGTCCTTGTAACGGTAAAAGCTTTCGAAAATTCTAATGGAAACTCAGCTGCAAGGTCTCTTCTCACTGACTTAAGCTCTCCAAGGAGATCGTGTACAGTGCGCAGGAATTGTCCTTCAGATCTTCCCTTGAGTCCATATAGTCCTGGAGACGTTATGCTGCGTGATCATGAAATGAAGGATGACCAGCAACTCACCCTGTGTTATCAAACCACTCAACCTCGCGATCTCGATATTGATCTTCAGTGCCGGTGTCGGTGAGAAACCCGCGGATTCGATGGGCAATTTGGTGGTTATGTTGTCGTCAAGAATACCAACAGGGTTACCTGTTGCGGCAGCTAGTCTCCTATGACAAGTCAGAAAATGCTACGTATCCAGGTTGGATGAATGACCTCTCTTGCATATATATGGTCCACCATAAGCGGTTGCGATGCGTCTTCTCAGATCTCTTCATCTGAACTGTGGCATCATCGCGAGAGAGACCATTGGACATGGCCAGCCGCAGTGCCACGCCAGCCTTCGATAGTGTTATTAGGACGATAGTAACAGTTTCAAAAGACGAGATTTAAGTAGCTTACATAGACGTACGCATCGTCTTTCCGATCAGAGCATTGCAGAAAGAAAGCGAACAAACCCATGATCTCGATTGCCAACGTACCCGATTTTCGTAGATCACACAACGAAGGTAGGCAGCTGACAGCCTCGAGGAAGTAGGTGGCTCCAGGAAATGATGAGCCTTCTTCCATCTTACCCTGTAATAGTTCACCCAAGGCAAAAACCATGAGAATTTCAATGTAGCAAAGATCGTCAATGCCTGTTCGGTTCGAGTCTTCTTCATAAAAGCTACAAAGCTTGTCAGAAAACGATCTCGGATCAATCAGATGCTGCAAGCTCCCAATAGATGCGAGGACTGTATTGAGTAAGTCATGCGCCTGTTCCTCGCTCGGCCATGTAATATCGGTGGATGTTGTTCGGTGCTTAAGACCCCCAGGCTCCAGATTGTAAACATTGTCCGGACTGGCATCGCAGATACTGGTAGAACCGACTGAATCTGTTACATTCTCAGAGTGTAGGCTTTTGATACGGGACCCGAAGTTGAGGCTTGAAGACATGGTTGGCTCTAGGACGATCGCTAGAAGACAATAATGAGGCCATGTCACAATGCTCTGGACGACTGTCAGACCTACATGATGTACCCAAACTATGGTCCAGTCCTTCGGTGTTCGCTTGTGCTGTAGGGGCCACTGAACCGGTGCTGCGGGATGTAGCAGCTGGAGGGGTGCCATTGGCGAGGCCCCCTGCAGTCGCGGTCGCGGTAGCAGATGCAAGTTTTCTCTCCAAACCTTCAACATAACTATTCACGTAAGACACTTCCGTTTCCGGCTCTGGAGTCACTCACGTCACCGAATACAGCTTCCTTCGCCCATTGTCCGCAAAAGTGCATTGCAGATTTCTCTTTGTGCAGTAGCGACATGGCTGATTGCCACAGCACTTGATCTTCCGCTCTCGGCAGGACGTGCACCTGCTTTACTATGAGTGTCGAGTTGGCGCGCATGGCAGACCTTTCACTACGCACGCTTGGGGTGTTCGAGCAACTTCCTCAACCGGAGCAGAAAGTCGAGCTCGTTTGGTTGCGGGCTCAAATGATGTCATAGCTCATACATCATGCTGTGGTAAGATCAGATGGAAAGGACACAAGTAAGGATGCAAGAGTTGACGTATTAGGTCGAGTCTTATGGTTAGACATGACATTGTCACGACAAGAAGTCCCAAGGCCCTACTGCAGACCCATTTTACGTAAAGGCCGCTAGCTGAACCCGACCTGGATCTGCTCCGAGTTCCTTAGTCCGTTACATTGAACATCAAGCCTCATGACCTCAAAACACAAGTACCAAATCCCGACCCATTGTTGCAGATCGCAAGCTCTACGCGAGCTTCAAAAACTTGTGTACGTTGTCGAGTGCAGCTATAGATGTGAGCACCTGCGTCTCTGCTGTCGTTGCACCGATGTGTGGGGTGCTGATAACCTTCCCTGTTGCCCACAGCTTCTCATATTTCTGCAGTGTCGGAGGCTCTTCCTCATGGCAGTCCAGACCAGCACCAAAAATGTGACCCTCCTCTAAAGCTTCCACCAGGTCATTTTCATTGACGATACCTCCTCGCGCAACATTGATTAAAATCGAACCTTGCCGCATCATCTTGAATTGAGTGGCAGATACCATGCCTCTTGTCTTCGCATTGAGCGGTACATGAATAGTCAGGACGTCGATGTGAGGCAGCATGTCTTCCCACTGATTGACCCTTGTATGTGGAATATCAGCCCATGCTTCAGTAGACGCGAAGGGATCGCAGGCATAGACTGAAGCTCCAAACGCACCGCTGAACATGCGAGCAACGGCTGTACCAATGTTGCCCATGCCAACAATGCCTATAGACTTTCCAATGAGTGTCATGCCACAGCAATGTTCCTTTCGAACTTCTAACCCTGCTGCCTGTTTTGTGGATATAACGCGTAGCTGTCGCGCAACTGCCATTGTAAGACTGAGGACAAGCTCTGCGACCGATTGCGCATTAACGCCAGGGGTATTGAGAATGGCAATTCCACGTTTCTCGCATGCATCTTGGTCGATGATGTCGATGCCAGTGCCTTGTTTTCCGATCGCGCGTAACTTTCGTGTGGAAGCGATGTCGTCCGCCGTAATTTTCTTCTCCCGTACGAGAATGGCATCTGCGTTGTCGCGCCAGTTTTCGATTTCGGGGTCGCCGGGTAGTATCGTTGTAAAAAGACGTTGGCTATGGTGTATAGCCTCCTCAGGAAAGTTTTCGAGGAGATAGATGTTCTGCTTAGATTTCGCCGCACATCTGTCGACGTCGTCTGAAGAGTTCTCGGCGTAGTCAATTCGAGAGGGTGCCATGTTGAGAGTTCAAATCAGCTGGTATACAGGTAGTTCAAAATGAAAGTACGACTCAAGAAGCAATTGATAGAAGTGCTTTCTCGATATAAATAATGAAAGACTCGTAAATGTTTTGAAAGACGCGACTCAGAATGGGACTATTTCCATGGCTTATATCTTAGGATAGTTAGATGTGCTTTACACTCCTAGTCGTTAGCCTGTGGTCGGGTGCGGCATCCGAGGCGTGCTGAGTCCTTTAGCAGCCATTACGAAGTGCGGCTGTCACATCCGGCGATTGTCTAGCACGCTAGGGGCGTGCGTCTTCAGCATCCGACGTGAACTTGAGCCCTATGTTCTCCGCACACAGATGGCGCCCCATGGGGAAATCGCTAGAGGTTTTCCACCAGCGCAAACAGAGTCTGGAGTTGGCCACACTCTGGAACTATAAGAACCTCAAGGGTCAAAATTTCATGGTAGCATCTCAAGTCAAACTTCTTATCCGATAAAGAGATCACCACACCTTACGACAAGTACACTCATTGTGCGATATCTTACCATGTCCGAGTCGATTGAAAAGCGTGGTATCGAGATGGTCGAGGAGGCAAGCGAGAAACTCGAGGGCGGTCTGATTGTCACCTACCACATCGATCCCAAAGATGAGAAAGCTGTTCTGAGGAAGCTTGATCGTGTCATCCTTCTTCTCATGGCTCTTGTTTACTTCTTTCAATGTAGGCTCTTCCCCTTGTTCTGACCAGGCCTTTTCTAACATAGCAAAAAGACCTCGACAAGCAAAGCATCAACTATGCTGCCGTCTTTGGTCTTGAGGAAGATCTGAAACTGTCTGGTTCAGAGTTCTCGTGGGCCATATCCATCTTCTACTTTGGTCAATTCGTGTCCGAGTACCCTGCGGCGTATCTGATGAGCAGATTTCCTATCACATTGTTCGTCGGAATCACAGTGATTCTTTGGGGTATCGCAGAGATGTGCTTGGGCGCCACCACCAACTGGACAACAATTGCTGTTGCTCGTTTCTTCCTCGGTCTGACCGAAGGTGCAGTCGCGCCATCTTTCATGATAATCACGAGTGGCTGGTACAAGCGCAGCGAGCACCCGATCCGTATCGCGTAAGGCTCCTAAACCTCCTGTCTACATCGTCCACTAACATGCATACAGCACGTGGGTTTCTATGTTCGGTATCTCGCAGATCGTCGGTGGTACCATGATGTACGGTATTGGCAACGGAAACCTTGCCTTGGCATCTTGGAGAGTGCTTTTCCTTATTTGCGGTGGACTCACAGTTGCCTGCGGTATCCTCTTTGTCAGTTTCATGCCACGAAACACGACCACCGCTTGGTTTCTCACTGAACGTGAGCGCGCCATCGCTACTGAACGTCTTGCTGTCGATCGTGCGACACGGGATAGGTCTTCCTTCGACACCACTCAGCTGAAGGAAGCATTCGTCGACCCACGCACATGGCTTTATGCGCTCATGGCTCTCTGCATTACGCTGCCAACTCCCATCGTCAAGTTCTCGTCCCTCGTCATTAAAGGATTCGGTTTCACCTCTTTCCGCACCATGTTGGTCGGATTGCCATCGGGTGGAGTTTCTTTCGTATTGGTGTGGATTGGTGCCCTCGGCCCTACCTACTTTCCCAATTCCCGCTGGCTGGTCGGTATCTTTGTCGCATTAATGCCTTTGATGGGAACCCTACTCCTCCTCCTGTTGCCGGCTAGCAACAGCTGGGGCATTGTCATCGCCACGTGGTTTGCTGGCTCTACGGCGCCCCCGCTGAGCGTGGCTGTAGGCCGTAAGTGTCCTTGTACGAACTGCATGTGAGACATTTACTAACTCCACACACGCATATCCAGTCATGGCTTCGAATGTGAAAGGGAACACCAAGAAGTCAGTAGTGAGCGCGATTTTCTTCGTGTTTTACACAGTTGGTTGTATCACCGGACCTCAGCTATGGCAAAAGGAGGATGCACCCCGTTATACCAAGGGATGCATCACCAGTGTAGTCGCCTGGTGTGCTTTGATTGTTCTTTTTGTAGTCCATTACTTCACAGCGAAAGCGAGCAACAGGAAAAGAGATGCAGCGACGGGAGATGTCTCTGTTCCCCGAGGTGAAGACTCAGATCAAGTTGGCGTAAGTGTCGATTCAGATCTCACGGAGTGGCAGGATGCTCTCTTCAGGTATAGTTACTGAATGCGCGCTCTCAACCAGTGTTATACGGCGCGATGACCCGTTGGAGTTCGAGAAGGGCCTGAATATGGATATTAGCTATATATCTGATTTCTATTTTTGATGTCTCTTACCAATAACACCACCTCTGAGCTCTCACCTCAGCACGCTTTCCACAACCACATGGGCCATTGTCACGTTATATTCCAATACCGGGCACACACACACACATACACACAGAAATGCGTGTCTCGAAATCTGAATGAACGTTGTCCGTTTCGACATGACGAGTTAGGAGAAGCTCTAGAAGGTCCGTCCCAGCCTCCCTGATTTGATGATGTCATCGAAGCGCATGCGAAACTATGTACCAGCCTCCTTTCATTTTACGTTGTGCGCAACATTGCATCCTAGATCACATAACGATTCGTTTATAGTATCATATTTTGATTCAAGAACAAGGTCAAGAATCCTTGATTCGACGCGTGTCACGTTAGCTCGATGTGACACCGCATGGCTTGAGATATTTTCTACCAACATAACACATCAGATGACGTGTTAGTGCGATGAGAATCGATAAGTACGGTTCGTTGGTCATCGTATACGGTGCGAAACAAACGTATCATACACATGGTGTTCATTATAGGTCGTGATAGCTATACACATTACATGAAGAGCTGTGACTACGTCACATGTACTCGCACACAAGGTCGTATCGAGCTTATATAGGGTGCCGTAGCTTAATACACCGACGTGGTCGCAGGGTAAATGGGCGACGGAAAAGCCTGAATGTAGGACGACGTGATCGGGACAAACGAGTTCGTGTGCGTTGCGTTCGCCGGACCAGACGTAGTCAAATTAGCAGTAACCTTCTCCTCGCCTGTTGCGATGTCATAGTGGTAGAGGGTACGGTTGAAGTAAGCCAACGCGGCAACAGCTATACATCCCATGTTAGCGAACACCATCGTACGACTAAGCAGGTCGGAAAGAAGTTGAAAAGAAAAAAAAACACTTACGCTGGTAGTAAGGAACCTCATGGCCCGACTCGTAGACGCGCGCGAAGCTGAAATTGCCGTACTGGCGTACCTCGCCGTACTCTGTGCCATCTACAACCATGGCTTCGTAGCCCGCGGCACGGAACTCATCACTATGCGTGTATTCCATTGCTAGACTGATGGCTTCACCACCAAACCAATTGCCTAACCATATTAGCAGATTTCATAATGTTGTTAGAGACGGCGAATCTTACAGATGTAGTCAGCATCGCCATACGCCAGGCTGACGCGCACATCCTGGCTAAGCAAGTACTCCAGATCAAGCCTGAAGTTCGGGTAGATGAAGTCTCCCGTGTTCTGGAACGCGTAGTAGATACCATTGCTACCAGAGTAGTTGAGCGTAACACCGAGAGCATCTTGTACCTCTCCTAGGTTGAGGTAACCGGGGTAGTTAGAAGGCGGTGTTGGGTCTTCATAAGTATGCCGGATATCATAGACTCCGCGACCAGAATAGTAGTAGTAGGGAGATTCGACGTTGTCACGGCACATATCTGCCGCTTCGTTGCAAATCTGCATCTCACCAGGTGTCAACTCTGCCTCTGTGATCTTTGCATCAGCGTGGTAGTAACTGGTGTTGCCTTCGGCAGCAGCTCGGCAGAGATCGATCTGGTAGAGACAGCCGTTGTACATGTTGTTCGCGAACTTGGCGTACGAGTAGACAGTATCATTATACGCCTTGATGCCGTAGGTGTTGTTAACGGCGAATTCCGGGTAGTGCTCAGCCTGAATGGACTCGTCGATGATACCGTTGATTATGCCGAGAGAGTTGAAGTTAAGCGGGTAGCCAGGCATGCTGCCGTTCTCAATTTTCAAGTTCTGGTTGTAGAAGTAGTTGAAGAAGGCTGGGCCATAGTGACCACCGTATGACTCAGTGAAGAGGTTGAAGTCTCTTGTAGCATTCAGGTCTCCGATTTTCGCATCGAATTTTGGAACAGTAGCCAAAAGTGCCTGGAAGACGTGCTGCATTTTTCGGGTGAAATTAGCTCAAGCCACCGGTGTTCAGCGTAAAGATTCAACTCACCCATACAGCAACTGCAGCAAGGTCAGTAGTGTCAATTGTGCCGGTGTTTAGCGGTTCCAACAGGGGCCATCTCCCCGTAGCAGGCCATTCGCTAGAGTTGTAATGGAAGTCTTCAGAGAACGAATTGAAACTTCCTACACCCTGCTTCTGGTAGCTGAAACCTGTCCCGACAGGCTGCGAGATATACAGCATGTTGGAGACATTGTTCCAGCTGTAAGGATTGTATACTGCTGTAAGGTTGTCATCAATCATGCAAGGTCCATTCTCCTCGAACAGACCGATGAGCGAATCTGAGCCAGGCCCTCCGTTCAACCATAGAGTGAATGGGTCGGATGCAGGGTTGTTGCGGGACTCGAAGAACCAGAAGAATACATGGACCTAAAGGATGTTAGAAGCAGACCTCGAAGCTATTTGTGATGAAAGTACATACATCAGGTGTCAGATCGACATATCCAGAGTAGCTGTCCACGCCTGGAGTAGTCTCACAGATGCCCGGGTTCTTGTATCGAATGGTGACATTGTTCGGAGCGGTAGCGGTCTTGTAGTCGCTAGTCTCTTTCGGTAGGTATAAATGATCGCTCCGCTTGCTCCATTGCTTGTGAGAAACAGCAGCAACTTGCAAGGTGAGACTTGAGAGCGCCAACAAAGGCGTTGCTACTGACTTGGTAAGCATTGTAACAGCTGCAAACAAATTGCGCAAGAACAATGAAGGAAGTGCAGGAGCGACATTACCCTAGCGTATTTAAGCAGTCTTGGAAAAGGCTTGTCAAAGCTTGTCGCATGCGCGTTGAGGTCACTATCTTGACCTGGGCGGGTGTTATCGAATCAAAGTGGCTCGCGCGTCTGACAATGGTTTTGCTCCTGCCTCAATAGGTCTAGATGCTTCGTACAGAACCAGCACCACACTGTATTGTGTATGCGACCTAACCGGTTCGGCCGCACGACGTTATTGCCGATGATAAGTCGTTACGGGCAGTGCAAGGACTTTCCCAATGTCTCATTAGCTTACGCGGACAGTCGGATAACACCAAACCGGTCGGCAAATTCTGCATAGAGATGGTTGTTTTGAATTCTAAGATGTAGTCTAATGTGGATCTACTGATGTGGATCTAATGGCGGAAATAAGGGCTCTCTTCATATTCTTCTGTTTACCTCGCGCAGACGTACCTTGACGATCTGTTCTCCATGCATTGCTTTTGGCCAAAGGAGAGAGCTCAATCGTGACCAACCGATCTCCTCCAAGACACAGCTACGCTCTAGCTTGTGGTTAGCTGAACGTTGAAGTTTCCTTCTAATTTTGTAACGCATTCCGTTACTGCTCCTCCCAGGTCAGGTTGAACCGTCCAGGTGCATTTTCATACTCCTTCAGACATGTCATCACCTCATCAGCACTAAGAGCCTCGGAGAGAATTCCGGCATTGGTGGGTGCAATAAAGCCGTTGGTCACAGCGTTCTTGACCCACTCAATAAGGCCGCTCCAGTAGCCATCCACGTTGTAGACTATCACAGGCATGCTGTGGATGCCCAATTGATTCCAAGTGGTGACTTCCATCAACTCTTCAAATGTGCCGTAGCCTCCAGGTAGAGCAACAAAGCCGCCACCTGGTCCTCCCTTGACGACTTCTTGAGCCATCATCTGCTTTCGCGTGTGCATGTCTTTGACGACAGTAGTGCGTCCGTATATTGCCGAGTCGATGGAGTGGCCGGTAGGATTGGAAGGGTCGTGATTCTGCTCAAAGGCAAAGACAGCGATATTAGTGTATGTCTCACATACATTCCGTACAGTCCCTAACTTACTTGCTCGAGTCGAGTGAGAGCGGCGGGGATGATGCCGTGAACAGAGTCGGGACCGGACAGCGAAACAAGGGTTCGTGCTACCTCACCCATGAGGCCAACCGTGCCGCCACCGTATACGAGCTTGGTGTTTGCTTTGTGGAGGGCATGTGCAAGCGACCTTGCTGCCTCCATGTGGACTGGTGATGTACCACTGGAGGCGCCGCAACTGTATTGCGGTTAGTAAATGGATATGCTGGCTGGCTCTTTATTGTTCGACGTACAACACAGCGACCACGGGCTGGTTGGTAGAGCCGTTGCTGGCTGTCGCGTCGTCGTTTGCCATGTCGATTGCGTGGATGATGAGTGTTCGGAATGAGAAAGCTAGTATCGGAACGAGAGCTGTCAGTAGCAATTGACGTGTTGAGGCGAGTGAGGGGCAGGGACACAAGGCTGCAAAGAATGGTTCAAATAATTCAAGATTCAGGCAACAGTCCCATGCTCCAAGGTGTCAGAGTGAGTCAGGCTGTACCCGATGGCTAATGTTCTTGCCGACTCATGGTTGCAGTCCCTTGGAGAGCGGTAGACCCTAAAGGGTATGCAGTTCGGTAAGCTGCATGTCGTCACTGCCACCTGGGCCGGGATCTCGCTGGCCCATGTGGCTAGACCCTGAGCCGGGATAGGCAGGCACGGACCTCTGGGAAGCGCCAATTCCTCGGGAAGTCTCCAGGTTATCTGTTCAGACCTCATCGCGAGCCCATCATCCTTCTACACCTAGCAAGCTGCTCAAGACGGAATTTCTGTTCCGCACGTTGCCACCATGCCAGAGGCACAAGCAGCCGCCGCACCGCCTGAGGAGGGCAAGAGTGTATGTCGCGAACGAGACCCCTCCATTTTGCGATACCCAGCTAACGGCTTCACAATAGCTCCTCAGGTCGATCGCGCAAAGCGTAGGCATCTTCTTGCTTATTCAGGGTGGCATGAAGTACATCATGCCAAAGTCCCCTCAGACCGCCCCCGCCGTCAACGATGCCGCGCAAACTGGCTCCGTCGCTGCTGTCAAGCCGTCTGGCAATGTCGTGATTCCCGCGTGGGAACAGCGCCCACAATCTCTCGATCCTGGCGCGGAGTGGAGCCCCGTCCCGTATGCTGTTGCGCCCATGTGGCCTGCTGGCATTGAGATGGACATCGCCATGTACATCTCCTCGTCCGTCGCCATGCCCCCGCTCAAGTCGATGCCCAAGGAATCGCTATTGATTGACGAGAAGAACTTCAAATTTGGAGATTACAAGGACAACAGAGAGATCCATACTGAGTTCAAAGTTCCACGTGAGGTGCAACATAATGCCACTCTACTTGCTCACTTCTATGTGGCGCAGAGCGGCAGTGTGCTCGATCCCGCGCAGCCAGGCTATGACACCAGCAAGGCCTATCACTTCATCCGCCCACTGTCCCAATACCAGCCCAAAAAGAAGATTGCGAAGACTAGGAACTTGCTGAGCGATATGCCCGAAAGAGACGCCGTCGAGACTGAAGAAGAGAAGAATGCGCCAAAGATCGTGGCTTCCTACTACCATCCCAACTTCACCGTCTCTTTGATCCCCGACGCGGGCACCATGCAGTACGCCACCATGCATCCCGGTCCAAGGAGATTCATTACAATTGAAGCCACTGGTGCACGAGATCCGACTGGTCAACACAGTTGGTACTATCCCATCGTCTTCACAAACACTTTCTGGCAGCTCAAGAAGCACATGATTGAGCTGAACGACACTGTCACAACCCTCCCACTCAACGTGAAGCTCAACAACCTTGCCCACTGGAAATACAACATCTTCGCAGCAGTCGACGAAAACCTCAATGCCAACGCCAGGGCAGCCGCTGCCGGTCAATCCACCCCCGGAGGTGGCGATGGCTCTGAGATGGAGATGTTTAAAGAGATCCTCATTGACAGCAATTCATACCTACTCGCCATCACCGCAGTTGTCTCCGTCTTCCACATGATCTTCGAGATGCTCGCCTTCAAGAACGACGTTCAGCATTGGCGCAAGAAGAAAGACAATGTTGGAACTTCAGTCCGTACTATCCTCGCAAACGTCTTCATGCAGGCCGTCATCTTCCTCTATCTCATCGACAACAACGAGAATACGTCTTACATGATCCTCTTTGGTCAGGGTATGGGCATGGCAATCGAAGCATGGAAGATTACCAAGTCAGTCAATGTGCGCATTCGGCAAACAGCACCCGGCTCTCTGCTTCCTTACACCATCGTGTTCGAGGACAAGCACGTCCTCTCCGATACAGAGAAGAAGACAGAAGAATACGACGCCATCGCATTCAAGTATCTCTACATGGTCGCCGTACCTCTCCTCATCGCCTATGCGATCTACTCTCTCATGTACGAAACACACAAGTCGTGGTACTCCTTCATCATCACCACCCTCGTCGGCTCCGTCTACGCCTACGGCTTCCTCATGATGGTCCCCGCTCTCTACATCAACTACCGCCTGCAGTCCGTTGCCCACATGCCCGGACGCGCCATGACATACAAGTTCCTCAACACCTTCATCGACGACCTCTTCGCTTTCACTATCAAGATGCCTACTCTGCACCGTCTGGCTACTCTCCGTGACGACGTCATCTTCTTCGTTTACCTGTTTCAGACTTGGAAGTACAAGGTCGATTACAACCGTATCAACGAGTTTGGACAGGGTGGTGATGAAGAGGAGGTCGAGGAGAAGGATGCCAACAAGCCACTCGCTGCACATCCTGGCGGCGATAAGAGCTTGAAGGTGCCTGACGCTGACAAGCTGGAGAAGGTGCAGAAGGAGAAGGCGGAAGCACAGGCGACAGGTAGCCAGAAGAAGAGCGGTGCTACCAAGAGGAAATAGAGCTCTCCTTAAACATGAGGCAATAGGTCTTGTTTAGGAAACTTAATAGCTATACAGTATCGTATGATTTGGTGAAACTCATTAAGGAAAATTATCACTATTATCACTATGTCTGTTATCAGAAGCCTTGTTACTAAGATGCATTTTATCCCTTCGACATCTTGATCCGTGCAATACCAATTGTCAAACCCTGTAGCCTGCCAGAGTGCTTGATTCTCCTCACTGGCCGCCACATCTCTGTTGGGTACGTGCATGTTAGTCATGTGTCAGTATCAAACTCAAACAAGCGTGATATGCAGATGCACGGGATGAGAACTGGGCGAAGATAGAAGATCGTATTTTCATTACAAGGCCAGTAACCAGGGTGGATATACCAGAGATACTAGGGATATACCGCCGAAGCGTGAATGCAAATTAACGTATTGGTACACTTGGCTGGTTGATTTGGGAAACCTTTGGGATATTTTCGCTCCCACCGTGTGCCAGTGCTGGACTGGAAAACAGGTAGTCGCAATCGCAATCGCAGCCGCAACGCCTTGCAATGCTCTTGAACTAGGAAAGCAAGCGGTCCACCGTGGATATGCTTTACCGCGGTTCCGATGATGCTCACAACGTATTCGTAAAGGACAAAGGCCAGAAAGACCCGTGTTGAAAGACTATCACCTCTGGCAGGCTAGTCGGTTGGAAAATAGTTGTGTACAGAAAAGTGATTTAAATCAGAGTGCCGGCACAATCACTGTGTTGAAAGCAAGTCATCCCTGTGGGAGTCATGAAAACCCTGGCAACTGGAACCCGAAGCCAGGAACTGCAGGTGGGACAGCAACGCCTTGCTCAGGCCGGGGCGAAATGTGTCGTGAGTCGTTGACGGCACGATGATCTTGCTTGCGAAACTTGGCTGGACCGTTGTTGTCGAAACCACCACGCCCGCCAGCGAGATCGTTGCGTCCGAAATCTGCACGTTCACTGAAGTCATTTCGTCCGTTGAAATTACCACGTCCGCCATGGTCTCCACGGGCATTGAAGTCACCTCGATTACCGAACCCCCCACGACCACCACGAGGGGCATCAGTCGGTACACGTCGGCTAATGGCTATGTTTCGTTAGTCGTGTGACGAAGGAGGGATCGGTATGCATACCTTTTGAAGAAACACCTGCACCAATCTCGATGTCAGGCTCTTCGATTACCATGCCTCCTTCTAGTTGGCGGCCACCTGTTCCACCATGCTCAGCGGTCAGAGCCCACTTGCGATCAGCATCGGTAAGACGAGAAATGGGAACTACACTAATTCCCGTGGTGTAATCACTACAGTCACGAGGACCAAAGCCGACACCCCATCTCGTCTAGTATCGTTAGTAAATGAGGCAGGTACTCAAAGAACAACATCCTTACCTGGCGCGCTTTGGACTGCGCAGCGGGATCCTGAAGAGTGTCCATACCCTGTTTGGCAGCAACAGCATCCGGGCGGGTCAACATTTTGACGAAGGCATGTCGCTTATCCTGATTGACAATACATGTTTGGACTCTACCGAAACGAGCGAATATGCTTCGGATCTCACCTTCCGTCCCACCAGCACCACCTACGAATAATGTACGACTGAGAACCCTGATGTGATCGCGCGGAAGAGTTTCGTCCCACTCAATATACTTTGACTGGCCATACGCCGCTCTAGGTGGACTCGGTTGCCGCCGCGGCGGAGAACGCTGGCGATATTCATTACGATCATTACGACCTCCCCGCTGTTTACCACGACCACGACCGCGCTCACCTCGCTCAAAGCGTTGTGCATTGCCTTCAGGACCTGCATTGGGATCGTATACACCATATGTTGGACTCTCCCGCCGATTCGGGTTCGGTGGAGATCTCACAGGCGATCGTCGACGTTGATAGTCAGGCGATCTGCTACGATCTCGCATTCTAGTATCGTTCAGATCATATCTGTCTCCCTGGTTACCGTTCTGTACAGCAGGCTGAACCTGTGATGTCTGTGCAACAGCCGGAGGCGGCATAGGCATTCCGCCATTTTGGGCCATAGCCAATGTATTCAATGCCTGTATTGCCTGATCGGGTGGGATAGAGCCAGCAGTCATGGCCTTTAAAATCTGAGTCACGATCTCATTCGTACCAGCAGGCGGAACAGGCATGTTAGGCTGCCCAATTACTCCAGTAGGTGGCGGAGGCATAAATCCAGGAGGTGGGGGCGGTACCATATTCTGCTGAAAAGGAAATGGAGAGGCTGCTGCAGGTGGGGGGTTAGTTTGCCCATTATGCTGACCAACGCCAGCGAGCGCGGCGAAAAGAGCACCTGGGTCCTGCGGAGGTTGGGGCATAGCTACAGGTGGTGGTGGTGGTGGCTGTTGGTTAGTGTGGCCGTTGAAGACTGGGGCTGAGCCGTTGCTCTTAAGCGGCTCTGACGGCGCTGGCACATCTACGTTCCCTACTGGTTAGCTATATGGAGACTGAAGTACGGGCCGTGACCTACTATTTTGGCCTCCATTCAGCTGTTGCTTGAAGCCTGCGAGCATGTCGAGCGGGAAGGTTTGGCCACGCTCCCATATGTCTAGAAGTTTCGAGATCTTCTCTTTCTGTGTTTCTGGAGCTGACTGAATCAAGTTGTGCATCATAGCTGGAAGCACGTCTCGCATCATTTGCACTCCTGAAGCATATGTTCCTTGGGCAGCATGCTTAGACACGGTCTGACCGGCCTGCTTAGCTCTCTCAACCCATTGGCGGGCGACTGCATCTACGACGTATAGTACTCCTAGCTTGTGTGTGGCGACGCTGTTCTGAAGCTGTTGGGCGATCTTTTGAACGATTACGGAATGAGACTATATGTGAGTTGAAATACTTAGTACGGTGTCCCATGTGCACGAAAGATGTGTAGGAGGTCCTCGCGACTGGCATACCTGGATGTTGTCTACGCATAGCTGCGTGATAGCCTTGATCTTGGTTGGTGTGACACCGGGCGGCTTGAGGGCCTGTAGTGACTGCAATTGCGTGCCTAATTCGTCCATGGCTGCCATGATTAGGTTCAACGAGCCAGATCAGACTTGATGCGAAAGAAAGAGACGTGTCGGTGATAGCGTGCTATAAGAGTTCAGCGCGGTGGTGAGAGAACCGAGATGGCAAACGCGCAAGCACTTTACTCGAACCCGCAAGATGACAGCCGAAGCGGACAGATCTAGGTAGTACGATGACTGGAGAACGAAAAGTGCAGTTGAGCGAGCTGAGCGCGAGATGCAATGCGCAGTGGGGGGATTGCGCTGACGTGTTGTGTAGGGTGAGGAAGCGGACTGTTGCGCGATTCAATCTAGAATGCGACCGCGCGCAGAGATTGAGATGCGCCAGCGATTTCTACGAGATTCGCAGCGAACCAGAGTTCAAAGAAGCAGTGGGGATAGGTCGCAAGAGTTGAGGCTGATCTACGTCAAGGGCGCAGTTGCAGTGCAGGCGAGTGAGACCTGTGTGATGGAGTCCAGAGGGATGGCTAGGTGCCTCCTTCGTGCCGAGTTTGAGAAAATGGCGCTAGCAGCCGACACGTGACGACATGATGGAGTGCTCCACCCCAGCCCGGACTTCCAAGGCTGCTGGCCGGACGCTTGCAGCATCTGGGAGCCCTGCATTTGTTGACCCAACAATGTCCCGGCCTTTCTGTACATGTGGCCTCTTCCAGTTGTATGACCCACAGCAGAAACTGTGCCTTGCATACGGCATACGAGCATTTTCTGTCTGCATGTTCTTTGCTGCAGTCTCCAAGCACGACTAATGCTATGCCGAGGCGATAAGATGTCCTGTTACATGTTCCAAGCTTAGCTACTCCATACCATGGCTTGTATACACGGACATGGGCAGTAGCGGCTACGTAATCGATGTCGAAGCACAAGTGGACATGGGCACGACGACAACATGAGTTCTCCCGGTATGCTACATGCGGGCCATTGAGTGAAGGCATTCTTCACTCGACAGCAATTGTCCAGGGGATCCCACAGCTCCGGAACTGAGGGACTTCCGAACGTTGCCCGCGCGGGTAGTATTCCTTTCGCTGCATGGTTGCGCGACCATGACGACCGTGCGAGCTCCACCGATATTTTCTCGCATCGTCCCGATCGCAGCCTTTTAACTCGCACCCATCCACCCGCCCTCTTGTCCTTCCTCACACATCACTACAATGGCATCTGCTCTACGACTGTCGAGCGCTTTCCGCGCTGCCGCCCCTCTGCGGACCACAGCCTTCAATGGCCTCCGCTGCTACTCCAGCAAGACTCAGGTATGCCCACTTGCTTCCTCCAGGCTAGGAACTACGCTAACCAAGCCAATTGCAGTCGCTGAAGGAGACCTTCGCCAACAAGCTGCCCGGCGAGATCGAGAAGATCAAGAAGCTCCGCAAGTACGTGCTATCATGCCCGCGCCCGCCGCAATGCACCGCTGACATCATATCCTAGGGAGCACGGCAACACTGTTGTCGGCGAGGTCACTCTCGACCAGGTCTACGGTGGTGCCCGTGGCATCAAGTCCCTCGTCTGGGAGGGTTCAGTTCTTGACTCTGAGGAGGGTATCCGCTTCCGCGGCAAGACCGTATGTTCTAGCATTTTTTACCGCTTTTCTGGAACCGCTGCTCATATGTGATAGATCCCCGAATGCCAGGAGCTCCTCCCCAAGGCCCCCGGTGGCCAGGAGCCTCTCCCAGAAGGTCTCTTCTGGCTCCTCTTGACCGGCGAGGTCCCCTCCGAGCAGCAGGTCCGCGACCTCTCCGCTGAGTGGGCTGCCCGCTCCGACGTCCCCAAGTTCGTCGAGGAGCTCATCGACCGCTGCCCCAGCGACCTCCACCCAATGGCTCAGTTCTCTCTCGCCGTCACCGCTCTCGAGCACGAGTCCAACTTCGCCAAGGCCTACGCCAAGGGTATGCACAAGTCGCAGTACTGGGAGCACACCTTTGAGGATGCCATGGACCTCATCGCGAAGCTCCCCACTCTCGCCGCCAAGATCTACCGCAACATCTACAAGGACGGCAAGGTTGCTCCCATCCAGAAGGACAAGGACTACTCGTTCAACTTGGCCAACCAGCTCGGTTTCGCCGAGAACAAGGACTTCGTTGAGCTGATGCGCCTGTACCTCACCATCCACACCGACCACGAGGGTGGCAACGTCAGCGCCCACACCACCCACTTGGTTGGATCTGCTCTCAGCTCTCCTTACCTGTCTCTGGCTGCCGGTCTCAACGGTCTTGCTGGTCCTCTCCACGGATTGGCCAACCAGGAAGTCCTTGTCTGGCTCCAGAAGATGAAGAAGGCTATTGGCAACGACCTCAGCGACCAGGCCATCAAGGACTACTTGTGGTCCACCCTCAAGGCTGGCCAAGTCGTTCCCGGATACGGCCACGCTGTTCTCCGCAAGACCGACCCCCGCTACGTCTCCCAGCGCGAGTTCGCTCAGAAGCACCTGCCCGACGACCCCATGTTCAAGCTCGTCAGCCAGGTCTACAAGATCGCCCCCGGTGTTCTCACCGAGCACGGCAAGACCAAGAACCCCTACCCCAACGTCGACGCCCACTCCGGTGTCCTCCTCCAGTACTACGGCCTCACTGAGCAGAACTACTACACTGTTCTCTTTGGTGTATCCCGTGCGCTCGGTGTCCTTCCCCAGCTCATCATCGACCGTGCCGTCGGTGCCCCCATTGAGAGGCCCAAGTCTTTCAGCACTGAGGCTTACGCCAAGTTGGTTGGCGCAAAGTTGTAAGCACGTTATTGCAACGTGCTCTACAGTCAGGAGAATGTGAGGGAATTTGTTTGACATTCTAAGATACCTTGTCCTGTGTAGAATTGCAATGTAAGGATAGGGAATGGGAGCGTTACGGCGCTATATGACTACTTTTCAGTAGACGACCTGCTGTAATCTCATGTCTTGATGACCAGAAATCTACTCTCCTTGAAGTTCACCATATTGTGTTTCTGTGCACGACAAATGCCGATGAGCACGTCCGGAGATGATACGACTGCACGAGTCTGGCCCAATTGCAGCGGTGCAAAAAGCAACGAACGGTGAGAAAAGTAACCGGGATAGTCGGGGTATGGGTATCCCCTTTCGTTGAGCGATGGGGAACCGATACGGATCGTTGAGCTGTGCAGCGCGCCCGACGCCAATCCGAGACCCAACAACTTGCAGTGCAACTGATGTCGTATGGAGTCGTACGTAGAAATGGCAAAAGCAAGCATGAAGACTCTCGCATTGGAGGGAGCGACTCTGCACAGGAACATGGATTGCAAAAGCAACGGTAGACCCCTCCAGCATGGTACAGAGGTGCGGAAAGCATGAGCGGGACATGGCACTTCCGCCAAGTGGCCGATAGCCTCAGGGACAACCCCAATTATAGCGCGCCCGGACGGCGGTCAACCAGAGCAACACAGACCACCTCGCAAGCTTATACCGTTTTTCTATGCATCCCTTTCCTCTCTTTGCTCACACACTTGATACCACTCACATTTGCGACGAAGCACCCTTTTGCCTTGGTCAGGCCGCATATCTTCGACAAGAGAACCCCAGAGAATGAGCTCCACACCTGCGACGGGCGTCCCCAGCATGGCCAGGAACGGCCCGCCAACGCTCGAGAAGAAGCCGGTCAAGTTCAGCAACTTGTTGCGTGAGTCTGTCTGCAGATGAAGAGTCTTGATGTATGCTGACTGAAACGACAGTTGGTGCTGGTCTCAACATGTTTGAGTAAGTAAACACAGCCCACTTCGACCCCAGGACAGGATTGGCACTAACTGAGCCCTACAGAGTAACAACTCTGGGACAGGTACGCGATTCTGAGAACTACGTGCTTTCTGGAAACACACTAACGCTGGAAAATAGCCGTTGGAGGTCGTCAAGACTACCATGGCTGCCAACAGGTCTGAAGGCTTCTCGGGAGCTATTGGCCGCATCTGGGCGCGTGGAGGTGTTCTCGGATGTCAGTACACGTTGCGTGACTTTCAACACTTGTCACTAACAAGCATGCAGTCTACCAGGGTCTCATTCCATGGGCCTGGATCGAAGCCTCCACCAAGGGAGCCGTCCTCCTCTTTGTCGCTTCAGAAGCCGAATACTACGCCAAGTCGTTCGGCGCTCCCGACTTCCTTGCTGGTATCTCTGGTGGTATGACGGGTGGTCTCGCGCAAGCCTATGCCACCATGGGTTTCTGCACTTGCATGAAGACGGTCGAGATCACAAAGCACAAGGTCGCAGCCACCGGCGCGAAGCCCCCGGGTACGCTTGAGACCTTCATGCAGATTTGGCGCACGGAGGGTCTCCGCGGTATCAACCGTGGTGTCAACGCCGTCGCCGTGCGCCAGGTCACCAACTGGGGATCTCGCTTTGGTCTGTCCCGTGTTGCGGAAACCGGTATTCGCAGGGTCATGGACAAAGAGCATGGCGAGAAGCTCTCAGTGGTTGAAAAGATCACTGCTTCAGCTCTCGGTGGTGGTTTGAGCGCGTGGAACCAACCTATCGAGGTCATCCGCGTTGAGCTCCAGTCCAAGACTGTTGATCCTAACCGCCCCAAGAACCTGAACGTTGCATCAGCGTTCAAGTACATCTACTCGAACAACGGTATCAAGGGTCTTTACCGTGGTGTTACTCCCCGCATTGGTCTTGGCGTTTGGCAGACGGTCTGCATGGTTGCTCTGGGCGATGTGTAAGTTTTGCTATCACTACCACATGTTCGCAGACACGCTAACCAATCTTTAGTGCCAAGGAGGCTGTTGAGAAGCTCACCGGCGACAAAGTCACTGCGAAGCATTAGATGGCGTTCGGAGTCTCAATCTATCGGGTTTGATGTTCAAGCTATGATCTATCCAATCGGGTTGCGAAGGCCCTCGTCTTCGTATGGGAGAACACGACTAGAGATATATATGACTATTATGTTCATATCGCGCAATAACACTATAATACCAATGAAGCTGAAAGGCCTCTGACATGGAAATCTGTTCTCGATCCTACGTCCATGTGTGAAATTCTGTGAAATTCTGTGAAAATGCACCCTATACAGCCGTTTCCCAGCACAAAGAAGATTGACATTTCTGGGCTTTGCTTTGTGAAACAAATCCTTAATATTCTCACGTTGTCTTGCCTGCGTGGTCTTATGGGATACCACTCTGACTGGAGTGTGCGTTACCACTCATTAGATCAGACTTCTCCATATCCTTGGGGTAGTCGCAGCACGTTGGATTGACCAATCATGAGACCGTGCTCGACGCTAGCTCACGTCACACACGTGCGACCAACCCACGTTCCTTCTCTCGTCTTCGCTCCTGTATCACCTCCCTCCAGGCAAGAATGCGGTATTCGCTATGTACCAACGTATCGCTTGTATCCCAACGGGATATCATCGCGGAGACCAAAGGGTGAGTTATTTGCTGAGTTGACTGATTTGCTTCTCAAGACGGCCGTTGACCCAGAATAGTTTCCCGATAAAGTCGCACAACCAAGTTTGAGAGGATGGCGTTGCGACTTGACGGCACTTTCGCATCGATATAATCTCTATTTCCTCGCCTCTGTCGATGAAGTTCATGTCTATCAACCCAGTTTTCCCGATCAGAATTTACCTAGCGAGGCTGAGCTTGTCCTACATCCGCCCAAAACTGGTGTCGTTGGACAAGGGATTGACCCTTCAAACCCTCACTCTATTACCCGTATCCTTGTTGATTATCTCGGCAGTGAAGAGATTCTTCTTCTGGCCTGTGACGACGGTGACGTTATCGGATACAGAATTCAAGAGATCCAACGAGCACTCGAACACAGGACCAATCTGCAAGAGCCTATCAACGACGATAGCATCCATGTGTTCCTCCACCGTAACGTTGGTGCGAGTGCATGGGGCTTAGCGGTGCATCGGGAGGCCCGCATCATTGCAATTAGTGCGGTAATGATGATTTCCAAGTCTCGCATGCGCCCTGCTCTTCTGACCTTGGATAGAACACTCATCATATCACCATAATCGCGTATGCGCTCGCTTCTGGTAGCGAATTGGACACCTCAGACCACAATGCCCACGGGCTTTCACCGCCTGCTCCTAATTTTCCATATAGCAGGCAAAAAGATGATGTTTTTACTCTCTCAGCGACAAACAACATCCCTGCGCTGTCGTTCTATGGCGATTCTGGGCGTTGGCTTCTGAGCAGTTGTATCGATGGCAAAACTGCATTGTGGGACTTGAATTCAAGAGAAGAGGTAGCCACGTTTCAGCTGGGCTGGTGCGCAAGCGCGAGCGATCTCTCGACGCCGCCTCGTTACTTTCGCCACAGATTTCTGTGCGAATGCCCAGCCGCTCAGAATGTACTCCATGGCGCCTGGGGTACCATAGCACTGGATATACGATCAGCGTATGAGTCGTCCTCAGCGGAAGAATTTACTCCAGCTGCCAGTACGGCCGACTTTATGGACATCACCAATCAGAAGGAACGCTTCCGAGTTTCGAACCGCACCTCTCCATTTTCCGAGTCTAGCGAAAGTGAATACGATTCGGAGGCCGCAGATGATGGAGACGACGGTACAGATGACGAACAACCCGCACAACCTTTTGCGCAATTGATCCAAGCTGTAAGTCAAAGCGTGTGCACAAAGAAGCCCAGGTCATCTTGTTTGTTGCCACGGCTCAAAGTATACCCTCAAAGTACACACAAAGAGATTCTTGCCAAACGACATAGTACTAACTACATGTTTGCTATTAGATGGCAGGCGAGCTTCATAACGGCGACACTACACAACCGCTCATTCAACATGAGTCTCACCTGCATATGTTAGCTCAGCTGGGAATATTTTATGCGGCCCAACCCGTAATCAAAAGACCTTATCGCGTAGTCAAGAATCCAAGACAGCTCAAACAACTCAGTGGCACTGTAAGATATATATTTTCACCTTCTCACATCGCTTCAAATTGACCAAACTAGGATGCCATCATTGCTCCTTTTCTGATCTTTACGAAGGAGGACATTTTTCTTGTTCAGGGCTCATACAAGACATCCATGAACTATACCCTCAATCAAGTGAGAATTCCAATCTACGAAATGCAGGTGAGATACGCACTGACTTCGTACACCGATATTGCAGGTTACTGCTATGCAGCGACCACTACATCCGGGCCGATGGGTAGAGGCCCTCACCTCTCAAGATCGACACTGCTTCTTTTCTCAGATACCTGAGCTAGGCATCTTCATAGTCGGATCTCCGATTGGTCATGCTGGCGTGTTCAGCTTATGTTTTACTAAGCGCGAGGACCACGAACAGCCACGGTATGGATTCAAGCTCGAGTATTTGTTGCCCTTCCACAAAAGCGATCAGACAAAAATTACTGGAGTGCCGCAGGGACGACTGCTTGGTATAGCTGTAGCACCCATACAAGGTACGATGCAGAATGTTCATCTATACATCCAGTGTCTAACTTGTGTCTGATCTAGGCATGTTTGACGTTCCAAGAGACACTGAAGCATTGGAACAAGAGAAAGAGACATTGCAACCAAGGCGATGGCGCTTGTTAATGTACTACATGGATCACACCGTATTGAGCTTTGAGCTGTCGAGGATGAGAGTGGACGAGTCACCGTCCTTGAGCGATATGGTTGTTTAGCACTTCGTATATTGTATCGAGACTATCAGTAAGTGTAGAATGGTTTGGTTGTCTCTTGGCTTCCACTTCCTCATGGCACTAAAGCTGTGATCGCAGAGTGATGTTCTGAAATCCCTAAATCGGCACTCGACACTCAAGTGCTCCAAAGCTTCCAATATACCTCCAACTGGCGTAAAGCTCCAAGACTACTCCAGCTTAACTACTCGCCTAGTTTTGTATCCACTTCGAGTACCCTCCTCCACTGCCTCACCGCCAGCCGCTCCTTCTCATTTTCCTCACTTTCCTCCTCATCGTCCGTCTCCTCAGCTTCAGCCTGCTCAATCATGCTTCTCAACTTGTCCGCCATCGCCCCCTTGGCCGGTATACCCTTCATCAGCAACGTTTTCACATTCTCTCGAACTCGCTCGTCGTTCATACACAGATACAGCGTCGTGAGATGTGAATATGGGCGTAATAGAGGGCCGATCAGAGCATATGAGTCGATTCCAGAGTATGAGATTAGGAGACGTCGAATGCGCGATAGAGTGGTAGGTGGAAGGATGGAAGATAGCGTCGTGAGACGAAGTGTCTCGGTAGTGTTACATGCGGCTGTAAATCTAACACTCAACCAGATAATATCCAGGTTGAAATTGAAATAGAATCCTTTTTCCTCCTCTTCTTCATCTTCTGGTTCGCCAATTTTCCGTCCGTGAAAAGACAACAAATCGGTGAAGGTGCTTGACGTAAAAGTAACGATCTCTCCACCTTCATGTGCGATACTGAAGCTCCTGGCTTCCTGGTTTGTGGAGAAGAGAGGCGGAAGTGGAGGTATATAGCGGAGGCGAGGGGTGTGGTCAATGGTGTTATAGGTGTGTAGTTCGAGGAAACGAGTCCGTGCTGCTGGAGCGGCGAAGGACCAGATCAATAAGCGTACCTTGGAAGGCAGGTCGGCGAAATATTGAAAGGTGTTCAGCGTTTGGCCTGTGGTGCTGGTGGAGTCGTGACTGCCATGTTGATCTACGATGAAAGTGTTGACATGTTGAGTAGACTGCGTTCCCAAATGAGATGACGAAAGGCGATGGACGTCGCGGCCACTGTATTTCGGATCGTTCTCATTGTCGATGTCCATTGCGCCAGAGTCTGTACTCATGAAGCTTTGAGAGGGAGAATCGGTCGTCATGATGGCATCTTCTGACAATTCCTTCACCTTCAACATGGCCATCATGGTGTCGAAGGACCTCTTCAACGGATTGAGTGACATCGTTGGTGATTGCAATTGATGTGCCTGGAGATGTGCGCTTCGCGTGTTTTAGTTGTGTCAGAAATGAGAAGTTGCGGTGGATCAAGGACAGAGCCATTTGCGTCGATATTGCGGTGTCAGGTGAGAGCATGTCTGGGTTGTGGTGACAATACGCGAGACTACAGACGCCTCGGTGGCGCGTAGTTCCAGGCTCTAGGCCGCCATTGTAAGCGCGTGGTGACGGATTTGCGTTTCGTCTCTACTTTCACTCACGATGTTGAGTATTCTGTGAAAATTAGCCCGAGTCCACCCGAGTACAGGTGAATTCGCTCACTTATTCGAAAGCAGTTGCCGAATCATTGTATCAGATGTTAGTAGTTGTAGGTAGTTTCTCAGGTGCTCCATCAGACGTTTAGACGACTGGATACGTCTCTGGTAGAATCATTCGCGTGACGCGTAACTCTACCTCTTCATAGGTCACGTGTCTGGATAGCAAGAACCTTGATGATGTGATAGTAATAGAAGGAATACAAGTCAAGAATGGAACAAAATGGTTTTGTACTGGGTCTTAGTACCACAACTCCAAGCTCATTCTGCTCCGTGCTGAAAACATTCCGATACTGGAAATGCTGAGTGACTCCTTCTATACCAAACGCTATTACTGTGGCTTCTGCAAGGCAGCTTTGAGAACCAGCGAATTCCTAGACCTCTGGCTTGAGCAGCAATTGGTCTTCACAGGTCTTGACAAGTTCGGGGCAACCTGCATTGTTGGGCTTCATTTCAGAGCGTAGACAGGGTATCTGAGAGAAGAAGGGATAACCAAGACGTAATTCAAGAAGACTTGCGGTTATGACAATTGCAGAACGATCAAAGTAGGTGATTATGTATACATTGGAGAGTATTGTAGGGTATAATTTGTGCAGGCGTTCGTACCATGGTTGGGACTGGCTAACAGGACCCAGTTGAATTCTTGTCAGGCCCGAATTTTACTCCTCCAAAATTTCCGACGGCCAAAAAACCCAGGCAAAAACTGCAAGCAGTTTCAACCCACAAGCAGTCCACAAGGCACCTGCAAGGCCTACACTACTGTGGGCATATAGACCACCAATGCAAGCTCCCAGAAGCAGCATCGCTGGTGCACCAATTCTCCTGTTACGCTCCACGTTCGACAGCTTGAACAACTGCGGATCGGAAAACAGATCGCAATAGTTACTGGTGAGCACAACACTAGTGAGACCATTGTACTTCAAGGCGCGCGACGTAACCGCTTGTCCACTGGACTGGAAAGCAACCGAAGCAAGTGGGACAAGCATCTGCCAATGAAGGCCTTCCTTGGTATCCTTTCCGACCGTCGCGATCAATGCCGCTACGGCGATAAGCAGCATCTGGAAAGAATATGAAACAATGAGCACCCATCTCTTGGCAGGCGAGAAGTAACGATGAAAGCGCGCGAAACAAAACGAGCCCGCACAGAATGCAGTAATGGACGTTAGGGCCTTGATCCAACGAATGCCCTCAGATGGTGCAACAACACCCAGTCCAAGATAGACGGTATTACCTGTTTATTGGTAAGCTTCTGGTTCATGAAAGATGGCGCGTCTTACTCACCCGTCTGCATGCTCACGAAAGAGCCCCATATGAAGACAGCCGAGCTATCCAGTAGGCCCGTAATAATGTAGCAAAACAACAAAACAAGGTCTGCCCAGTTCTTGGTGACATCGCAGTTCATGTGCCGTTTGAACCGCTGCACAGTCCCCATGTTATCCGACTTTCCGCCGGTGGAGCCATTTCGGCCGAGAAGCGGCGTTTCTTCGTCTGCGCTGCTGCGTGTGGCGTTTCTGCTGCTCATGGTTGCAGGCGCGAGGGAGAGGAGGTCGTGCTGTCGAATCCTGGGAGGGTTGCGAAGGCCGGTAGTTATGTCAATTGGAGCGGGGTGCAGATTTTCGCGCCAGCGTAACCGGGAAGACGCGTGCCAGCGTGCAGATCGACAGGCACTTGGACTCAAGCTTCAGTCAAGCTTTGGATGCTGGCAACGGAAATCGCAGGATAGCTCAGGAAATGTGGCTGGTACACCTTCCTGATGTGGCTTTGCAATGCGTTTGGTGTGCGGGGAAACGGTTTTCAGTGGGTATGGTGCGTGGAAAAATGGTGATTGACGAGCGGAGATGCCGCGGGAAGGACCAAGTGATGGTTTAGTGTCAAGCAAGCATCATAAATAATAATGGCTGCATCTGTCGTCATCGGAACACGGCATTGGACGACGCGCAATGCACGCGGCACGTCAAAAGGGCGACGTCTGCCGCGTCGACAACGACTTGACGCTGTGATTCCTTTTCAGCTTCTGCATTCCAAGTCAATTGAAGCAATCATGCATTTTCCGTCGTTGCTTGTCGCGCTTGGCGTATGTGGTGCTGTTGCAGCGCCTTTGGAGCAACAACAACCACTCCCTGGTAGTGCGCGACACCACGCTGGGCCCAACAAGGTCTTCAATCCATACAAGCCTGGCAACAATGACCCCTTCGACAAGAAGATTGACTCCCAAGGCGACAAGCTTCAACCACTGCCATACGTGAGTTCGACACTGAGATGCTTGTTCCGCAGAACAACAAACATCAAGCCTATAGAGAACCCACACACTAACCAACTCTGCAGCGCAATGGTGACGGTGCGAGTGTGTTAGGACCTCGTAACCGCGCCCGCGAACGACAGAACCCGGATCTTGTCCGCCCACCCAGCACCGATCATGGCGCAATCCCCAACATGCGCTGGTCTTTCGCCGATTCGCATATCCGTATCGAAGAAGGCGGCTGGACACGTGAGACGACCGTTCGCGAGCTGGGTACTAGCAAAGAGCTAGCCGGTGTCAACATGCGTCTCGAAGAAGGTGTCATCCGTGAGCTTCATTGGCACAAGGAAGCTGAATGGGCCTATGTCCTTGAAGGCAAAGTCCGCATTACTGCTCTCGACCCCGAGGGTGGCTCCTTCGTCGACGACTTGGAGAAGGGTGACCTCTGGTACTTCCCCTCTGGTCACCCTCACTCCCTGCAAGGTCTTAGTCCCAACGGTACCGAGTTCCTACTGGTCTTTGACGACGGCAACTTCTCTGAAGACTCCACATTTCTGCTTACCGACTGGATGCGACTCACACCCAAGTCAGTCTTGGGTGAGAACTTCCGCGTATCGCCAGAAGTCTTCAAGGCCATCCCCGAGAGCGAGAAGTACATTTTCAAAGGCTCAGAGCCTGGTTCCATTGACGACGAGGTACCAAGCAAGGGTAAAGGATACAAGAAGTCCAAGATCCAGTTCACCCACAAGATGCTGGCTCAGGAGCCCGTTAACACAACTGGTGGTCAAGTCCGCATCACTGATTCGACAAACTTTCCCATCTCCAAGACTGTCGCTGCAGCACACCTGAGTATTCAACCTGGCGCGATCCGTGAGATGCATTGGCATCGTAAGTCACTTACCCACTTATGCCTGACGTCTCACTAACTCATTTCCACAGCTAATGCAGACGAATGGTCGTTCTTCATCGCTGGCCGCGCCCGTGTGACTATCTTCGCCGCCAAAGGTACAGCACGTACTTTTGACTTCCAAGCCGGTGATGTTGGTGTCATTCCCCGTAACATGGGACACTTCATCGAGAATCTCTCCGATGACGAAGACGTCGAGGTGCTGGAAATCTTCCGTACGGACAAGTACCAGGATTTCAGCTTGTTCCAGTGGCTTGGTGAGACACCGCAAAGGCTTGTCAAGGACCATTTGTTTGCAAACAGCCCTAAGGAAGCGGAAGAGTTCGAAAAGGCAATTCGCGATGCAGAGAGGGATCCTATCAAGGATACCGAGGTCGAGGAGGAGGACAAGGAGGAATTGTAGAAACAGGCGTCGCTATGATATGATGTGAGACGAATGGGAGGGCAATTGGGTTCTCGTTATGGCAGATGAGGATGGCGAACGGTTATTCGCTGTAGTCATTCCGCTTGTGGTACAGTCTTCGAACGTACACTAATACATGTTCTATTGACACGAACGCTGATCAACAAATGATCTTGTTACTTCTATGCGTTGGAAAGTCCAGTGGAAGCCTTTGTCATGTATCACTGCGATGAGTAGAATGACTGTAGCGTTACGATCTTCGGCATTCCAGCAAGACGGATACAAAGTGTGAGCAGTAACACTGGCATTGACGCAACAATAGGAACAAGTTTCATCAAACCGAGCCTACATTTGTGAGCGAAAAGCCGTTGGCGATGGTAGAAAAGTACGCCTATGGGTTGGAGGCTAATGGTAGGAAAAAGAAACTGACTGGAGGAGAGGCCGAGCAGCCACACGGTTCGTTGTTGAGGAAACAGATGGGTGCGGACTCTCAGTACCCTGAACGTCCTTCAAGCCTGGCCATGACCCCTGGAACGAATTGGCTTTCAATATTGTGGCTGCTCGATGCCAACATCAATTTGCTAGCCTATTTTGATGCACGTTCAACCCTTGGAGGAAGAATGTCGAGCACGTGGAAGTCGTCGATCAAGGTTGAAATGAGAGACCATGGCGCGCACAAGAGATCGAAGAGGTGGAAATGATGTCGGCATGCATGGTATTGTTGATGGATCTGAGAGGATATGTGGCTTCAGTGTAGCCGCAATATGATTGGTGGAAGAAGCGGCAACCGTTAGGACGGCCCGGGGACGATCGTGTGAACAAGCACGTAACAGGGATTTCTCAAAGACAGCTTTATTATTCCTTCGAGCTGTATTGCCCAAAATCATTCGCGCCATGACAATTACCACCGCCGGAAGTCGAGTATTTGTCACTGGCATCAGCGGTCTCATCGGCTCCCATGTGGCAGATCATCTACTTCGGGCCGGGTATCGCGTCCGAGGCGCCGTACGGAATCAGGATGAGGCAGAAATGATGCATTCCATCTACCGAACGCGTCACGATCAGGCAGAAGATTCCTTCGAAACTGTCATAGTCGCAGACATGAAATTGCCAGGAGCCTTCAAAGATCTTCTCGCTGATTGTGAAGGCGTCGCCCACGTCGCGTCTGATTTGAGCTTCAGTCCCGACCCTAATGTTGTCATTACAGGGTGCGTCAATGGCATCAAGGCGATACTGGAGGAAGCTCATTCGACACCGACCATCAAGAGGTTTGTCTACACCTCGAGCAGTAATGCAGCAACTAAACCTTTGGTGGACGAGGCAAGACATGTCAACTCAAGTTCATGGAACGACGGTATTTTAGACGAAGCCTGGGCACCACCACCGTACCATCCTGAGCGTGCTTACGCTGTGTATGCCGCCTCGAAAGTTGCATGCGAGCGTGCAGCTTGGGCTTTTGTGCGAGAACAAAAACCGAGCTTCGTCTTCAACACTGTACTTCCAAACTACACGTCTGGCATCATATTACAGCCTCTCAGTGTTGCAGGCGCAGGAAGCACCGCGCGTTGGGTGCGTGACGCCTTTGACCATCCTTCCGAAGAGGAATACGTAGCAAAGCTGCGGGATGATAGTCCACAATGGCAAGTCGATGTTGAAGACATTGCAAAGTTGCATCTTGCGGCGCTCATATTTGACGAGGTCAATAGCGAGCGGTTGTTTGGTTTTGCCTTTCCTTTCAACTACAACAGCTTCCTCCGTGTGTTCCGAAATCTAGCACCGGACCGTATGTTTCCAGCCGACGAACCTGGGAAAAGGATTCCGAGTACCACTGTGGATTTCCAGAGATCCATTGAGTTGTTGAGAAAGTTTGGCGCAAACGGTTGGGTACCATTTGAGGAGAGTGTTCGACGTTCATGCTTGGGTACATATGGAGACGGCTTCGTAGCATACAATGGTTTTGTTGGTTGATCGTGTCTTCTTATGCCACAGATCTTAAGCATCTTTTGAAATCTTGCCTAGTATCCCTGTGTCTCATTGTGTAACGAGCGGATGTTCATCTCACGCAATTCGCACAGATCGTGTCATTATGGATTGATGCCATATCCATCACTCAAGACGCTATAGCTGAGCCTGGTAGACAAATTTGTCGTATGAGCCTGATCTATGACAACACATACGCTGTCTGCTCTTATGTTAGGGCCATCTGAGGACGACACCGGCGTCATGAGGTTCGTCGATGAGCTAAGCCAACATCCAATAGTGCACTTTGATGACAAACGGGAGCTCATGTCTGCTGATTGAGAAGCCATAGACGAAGAAAACAACACGTCCAACGGAGGCGCTTAACGACGCTCTGTGTAGCCTTGTACAGGCTTTTAAGAGCCTGTACAAGTTCTTGCATCCTGCAAGTGAGCTGTTCGAAGACCCAAGCTCATGGTAGTACTGATATAGATTGGGAAGTGGTTTGAATGACAAGTTCTGCAGTCTCGCGCAAGACAGGAGATTTAGACTCCATACCCGGGTACAGCGAGTCGTACTAAGACGTATAGACAGGGTTCGCAACAGGGTAGATCTTGCAGTATAGAGCACTGGACATAGTCCGTGCAGTAGAAGCAACGCAGCAATTCCGTGACTTCTACATCGAAGCACCATCTTAGTGTCTGAATTGAAATGTCCCAGCTATAGCAAGCTGCCTCAGCTAGTGAGATGACCTTCCGAACCGCTATATGTTGCCATGGATGACTTGAACAACAAACTTCACTCGGCAGACAGCGGCATGACTCGAGATCTTTTTAACGGCAAAGAACTGCACGCCACCAATCTCATTAACCAAATATCGCGCATCTTCAGCACCATGTACATAAAAGGAAAGCTTGCGTTCCAATTCTTATCGTCCTAAGATTGCGCCACGAGCTTTGTCCACCGCGAACACCGAAGCCTTCAGATAATACAATTGCCTAGTAGAATAGACATGCTGAAGGAGTCTCTCACATGGTCGTGGCTTAGCGGTGGTTAGCCAACACGGGGCCAATTGCACCTGCACACGAGTTGGTAACCCGCTCATGTTCAGACTGGAAAAGGTAGCTGGGCTGACTTGTGCTCATGGTCAGATGGACTGATGGTCATTATCGGTTCAAGTCTAGTCAAGGTGGCTCATTCATTAGCCGAGCGAGCACTGACCTCGAGAGCCTAGACCTCCGGTTTTGGCTTCCAGCCCAATGAGCTTCTCGCATGCTCGAATGAAATTTTGGTCATGGCCAGTTTACTTCGTGGTCATAGTCCGATGAGCTATTGTGTACTTTCATGGTCAGTCGAGCTAGTTTCATGACCAGTCGGACTAGAGTCCGAACGGAGTTCAGCATGCAGCCAAACTGTACTCAAAATCAACTGAGCTTCGTCAATGTTCTAATCAGCCCCTCTATGATGTCACATTTGTTTCAATGACTTCTTTTCCGGCACTCGCCTTGCTTTTGCAGCTGTGTTGCGCCGCAAAGCTTATTACATTGGTTGATGACGGTTCACCACGTGGGCGGGCGAATGGTTTGTTGTACCATAAAACTCGGGTTCTGTGTTGTGCCCCTAGCTTTTTTATGGCCTTGACGGTGTTCGGCGCGCTGCACGTATTGTTGTCCGAAACGTTCACTGTTGCCAAAACAACACTTACCCTGCGGAAAAAGCTTCTTCGTGGTTTCACGTTCAAGATTGGATGCGTACTTGGATAGTCACATGTCCGACCATCTCTATTGATGTGGCTCAGCGTCTACGTTCAATGCTTCTCTTCCAGGCTCGACTAGGATGGCTCCCAAGCCACAAATTGAGCATCTCGTCAACGGTGGACTCGTGGGCTGCAGCCTCTGCTTTGTATTGTTGCAAGACAGTGCTGAGGTCGCTGTGGGAGGCGCGGAAGCAAAGGTCGGATATGTTGATAAGCGTAGTTACGGGTCGTTCGGCAGACGCATTGCTGGCTGTTGATGAGTGATTGTGTCCCAGCCCACCATGCGCTGTTGAAGGCTTGTAGGTTTACAATGACTGACTGAACCCTGGTATCTCGGCGCCTAGTGTCATGCCCGAGCAGTAAGCTCAGCAAATCTTCAGGTTTTATGAGGGGTTATAGGCGATCATGTTGCGGTTGTCGTTCTTCGGCGGTAAGCTGACTCTGTTCCATCTAGATTGTACCTGGTGCAACCGGTAACTCAACAATCGGGGTCGGTCTCTTCATGGTGCCCGACGACGATGACGCCCATGCTGACGCAACACGGCAGGCGGTCAGAACCTTTTCGTCGACGTATTCGTACACGGGGGTATGGAAATGGTCAACTACGGTGACATAACGAGTAGGTGACGCGCTGAGGAGACTGAGAATGAAAGCGGGATTGGGTGTGAATAAAGGGAGGGGCATGCATGCAGGCGGCGAGCCATTGCAGGAGGGGCCAGGAGTCGTAATTGGAAAAGCACGTGGAAGGGGGGCACTGGAGCTGTTACTGTAGAAAAGCACACAGCACGTTTGATGTGCACTGCTAGCTGCGTACGGGGGGTGATTGTTGCGAGTACGCGCGGCGCAGACATGTGGAGCGTGGTGATATAGCGCATGGGGATCGATACGCAATACGATCTAGGTGCGCTCTCGAGACTGCTTTTACGGATACGCGCTTGAGACAATCGGGACCGATGGGCCGTTGGCCGCGCTCAGGCGCACAGCACGCGGTGGCGCTGTGCCAAGCGTGTCACCCGCTGTAGAGTGGTGACGGCGCTGGTTGTGTCGCACATGGACCGATAGCCAGCTCCCTGAGATGGTTCGAGGGTGGTGTGGAGAGGGCAGGGCCGACTGCAGAGATGAGAGGGAGAGAGGGCAAGAAAAGGGTCTCGAGACAGGCAGGCGAGAGCGAGGCCCCATTGGCGGGTCCGCGTCCAGGCGCCCATGGCCACTCAGAGGCGTTCCCTGTTGCGGGGCGACAGTCCCGCAAGGGCAGAAGGGGTCTCTCAGGGTCCACGCTACGCCGTTTGCAGCGCCAATCTGGGCCTTCGGCTCTTCGTTTCGTGGCGGACCCAAGGGCTTGGCGTGCATTGTGAGGATGGTCCTGCGTTACACCTGCCTAGAAGGGGCCCGTGGGCAGCTGGAGCAAAGGAAGCCGTTACCCACTCCCCTATTCTTCGTGCAGCGACGCCGCTAATCTATACGGTGCGCTGCGAGATTGATCTCCCGTCTCCCTCAGGCGCTCGCGGGGCTTGAACCAGCTGGGCTAGGCGCGAGCACAATGGCGGATGGATTGCGAGCTACAGGCCTTAGGGCGGCCCACTGTGCGGTACCGTTGCGAGCTCCCCTGGCTGGCCTTCCAGTCGTTGGCTCCTCCGCGCTTCTCGCGTGCGTATGCGTGCCACCAGAGACAGACGTGACGTACCTGAACAGCTCCGCCCCCTTCGCAAGCAAACGCTCCAAGATTTTGCCAGGCCCGTGAACCGTGCACACGGCGTAGGCGGGAAATCTCCCCAAAAAGTACCCAGGTTCGGTGCCAGTAGGTATTCCCTCTGCCGTGCTCCTGTCTTTCGTATATATCCTGCTTCCCGCTGATTAACACGCCGCCGCCATCCCTCCCCTCTCACAACCAGCCCGAGCAATCATCATGTCGCGACACCGAATAATCGCGCCCGCAGAGATCGAGCGCCAGATTGCCCAGGGCGAGCCGATTGTGATCCACGAGGGCTACGTCCTGCATCTCGGAGAATGGATCGATAGGCATCCGGGTGGTCGTCTCGCTATCCTGCACATGGTCGGAAGAGATGCGACAGACGAGATCAATATGTATGTAATGCGGGACGAGCCTAAATCTACTCCAGCCCTACCAACTCTACCCTAAAAGGCAAAGTCCGCCTATACCATGTCGCCGGATGTCTGCGGAAGCGCTGGGTAAGCACACCAGCTTGACCTCATACTGACCTAACAACAGCTACCACACCAATAAGGCCCTGCTTATGATGACAAAGCATCGCATCGGTCGTGTACAGCTGCCCTGGGCCAACTTCGAGCCTCCAATTCGCTCCCCCGATTACTACATAAATCTCAAGGAGAGAAAACGATTGGCCGCGGCGCCAGAATCCGAAAAGTCTCGTCGCGGGAGGAGCGTCGACCTAGGATCCGTGGGTCTACCCCACACTCCCGAGCACCATTTGCCCTTACTAACATGAACCAAGGCTGCCGCCATCATCAGCAAGAAGCTGATCGGAAAGCCCGATACTTGCGTCTACCGCTCCAGCAGCCGTCCGGCAAGTGATCCCGAGAAGCTCCCTCTTATCCAGAGCGAAGATGAGGCTGAGACGCCCGTCATCACCGCCGCAGAGGAGAAGAAGAGGCACAGGGAGCAGTATGCCATTGAGCAAGAAGAGAGGGAGATAGAAGAGGGCCTCCGCGACAACCCTTCGCTCGACGTCGAGACGCAAAAGGCCATTGTCCAAAACTACCGTTTACTTCACCAGCAGTTCAAGGACGAAGGCCTGTACCAATGTCGCTACTCCGAGTATGCCAAAGAGTCGATCCGATACGGTCTTCTTTTCGCTGCTTTTGGCGGTTTCCTCTACATCAAGTGGTACATGACCTCTGCCGTCTTCCTTGGTCTTTTCTGGCAGCAAATCATGTTCACAGCACACGACGCCGGCCACCGTGGAATCACTGGCAACTTTGTCGCAGACACACTTATCGGTGCCTTCATTGCAGACTTTTGCTGCGGTCTTAGTATCGGCTGGTGGAAGTCCAGCCACAATGTGCACCACCTCGTCACCAACATGCCTGAGCACGACCCCGATATCCAGAACATCCCCTTGTTCTCCACCTCTCCTACTTACATCAAATCCATTCTGTCCTCCTTCTACAACTTCCAGTTTGTATGGGATGCAGCGTGCGATGTTATGGTCCCCTACCAAAAGTACCTGTACTACCCCATCATGGCCTTTGCTCGTTTCAACTTGTACTTCCTAGGCTGGTTGCATCTAGTCTCTCCGCGAGCTGCGCAACTAGGCGCAGCATGGTGGACACGACATGTCGAAATTCTCTTCATGTGCTGCTACTGGTACCTCTTCGGCTACCTTCTTGTCTGGATCACACTGCCTACATGGCCGATTCGTGTCGGATTCGTCATCGTCTCGCACATGGTTACCATGGTCTTGCACGTACAAATCACCCTCTCTCACTGGGGCATGCCCACCTCGGATCTCGGACCCAATGAGTCTTTCCCTCAACGACAAATGCGAACCACCATGGACGTCGACTGCCCACCGTGGCTGGACTGGTTCCACGGCGGTCTACAGTTCCAGGCCGTCCACCATCTCTTTCCTCGTGTGCCGCGCCACAACCTCCGCCGAGGCCAGGAGCTCGTCCGCGAATTTTCCTCCAAGACTGGTGTCAAGTACAACTGCTACGGCTTTGTTGAGGGCAACAAGGTCGTCATCAGTCGCTTGGAGCAGATCTCGCAGATGGTCAAGATCATGGTCGAATGCCAGAACCACATGGCTGAGACTGGTGAGAGCGGGTTGCATTAGTACGCGCAGGCGCGGAATCTAGTTTCCTTTTGCTGGTGTGTATCAGCTTCATGATGACGTGTTAGACTTATAGACCTTATCTCCTTTGTAATGTGCATAGTTAGCGAAAAAGAGGCTACATCAAGAACACTACGAGCAATATACACGATATTTGCATATTCTACTCTTTGTGCATGTTTCTCCCATGCGATCTTCTTAGGCCGACTTGTGAGATGACAGAAGAATCATGTGTCAGAGTTCACTCGAGCAATAAGGGGCGCGTGGTCGGACTGACCCGTGTCTGTCATCGCACGGTCGTGGATACCGGATGTCTGGTCTCGCAAGCCGAAGATGCGCGCGTCCTGCCTGCCAAGTCAGGAGAAGCGGCAACCGAGTCATCTAGAGTTCGGTAAATATGTATAGTCAGGTAGCCCCCGACTCATGGACTCCGAGCAGCAATCTGCTTTACTTTCATCTCCGACCTAGCTGGCTCAGTAGGCGTTGTCGGGTAGCTCCGCTGCCTCTAGCTACTTTCAGGGTCAATTTTCTCGAGCATACCGAGGTCGTCAATGCCCAGACTTTACTACCTACTAATCACCAGCAATGCGGTATCCTCATTATGGTGCTCACATTGAACTATACACACACTGGCAGACTACGTGAATAGCAAAGTAACCCTACCCTCAAATGTATATGATGTCGTTGAGTAAAGGTGGATCGGTGACGTACATTTCTTTGTGCTTTCCGGCTACGAAGCTCAGAGTCACTGCCCCTCGACGATCCCTGGGTGATTTGTTTGTGCAAGCGGTCGGTAATTACACAGTACTCATGGGCCTACCTCCTGCACAGCAAAACGACCAACTAAGGTAGGGAATTCGGCTTATGCCAAACTCAAAGAGCCTAGTGACGATTCACTTACGAGCAGCAGAGAAGCTTATTGCCGTAGATTATTTTGGCTCAAAACTGTGTGGTCCCCTTGTCTGCTGGATTTGACATTTTGATCTACACATACTAATACAAATTACGAAGTCGGAAAGCCGCCGTCGAGTGTGGCAGGTCCCTATTTGTTATGCAGTCAGCAAAGGCGAAACGGTCGCGAACATAAAGCGTGGAACGTACCATCCGCACCAAGTTACGGTTGGTGATCTTCCAGCTTCCATCCTTCTGCCTGGCCCACGTGTCTTGATACTGAGCCTTGTCGATCAAGACCTTGCTATTGTCTACAGGGTTCGCAACGCCGGTGTAGGGGGTGAAGTAGTGCGTAGCCTGGAAGTATGTAACGGACACAGCGCTGGTAAGACTGCAGATGTGAATCAGTTGCGTGCCGAGGTGATGCTGAGTGGAGACAAAGTTGTTCAGACCGGGCGCCAGGTTGTCAATGATGGCTTGTACACCATTCAGTACACCGATGGGGTCAGAGTAGTTGGCACGGGCGTCAGTAGTGAACACCTTTCTCAACACTTCGTAGTTGCGACCATCGATGGCGAGCGCATAGAGCGCCAGGGTCTGACGAACAGATTCCGTCGCAATTGGATCAGGGAGAGTCTGAGGCGTGAAAAGCCCCGCCAGATAGCTGAAGCTCACCGGCCCAGGTGCAATCTTGGGGCAGTCGTTGTTGCCCACACTGGGGGATGCGATTGAGGCGCTATCGTTGTCTTGAGCTGAAACAAAGGGTAAAGCGAACAGAGCCGCAATGTGCAGTGTGGATGCGATGCGCATTTTCATACAAATACGTAGCAAGGATGTGGGGTTGGGATAGGTATGGTTCAGAAGAACGTGGGTGGAACAACGAATCAGAGTCGAGCAACCAACTAAAGCCTTAGAATTTGAAACAGATACTAGATGGTTGGGTTGGTAAATAAGTTTCGTGCTAAGGGTCGATGCCAGGAAGAAGTAGCAGAGAGTGAGAAGTTGTTGATGCCGGTCGGTGGTACCTATGTATCACGCTGTAATCCTACGCTAACGGTATTTGATTCTCACGAACCAGTACCACGTTGATGGCTGATTCTGGATGTCAGTACAGTCAGATCTTTAGACGTTGAGACTGACAGCAAGACTGAAGCAACATTGCCTCTCATGCGGGGCGTATCTTGGCGAGATTGGGTGGCGGGGTATCATTGCAGCGATCAGGCCGTACCGTACCTCAACCTTTTCCAACTTTTATCGCAACACCTGCATAGACAATGCATGTCTTTCACGAGTGCAGTTACCTAGATAGGTCTAAGTAAGTAAATGCGTGCTCTGGAGATATTCTGCAGCGCTTCTCCTTGACCTTTTGTTCGTGCGTTGTTTTTCGCATGGGATGCTGCCTAGGCACGTGAAGGATAACGTACAGCGCAAGTTCTTCTGAAGGGAAGTTCTTTGTCGACGAAGTGTACAACAAACATTTTCCTGACGTGCTTGCTTCGATTGCGATGGTACTTAGGTGCCATCTTCGCCAACCGGCTAACAACGGCGGAGTTTTCCAGAGCCACGAGCACTCTTCATTTCACAATCGAGTCAAACTGTATGGAAACGCTCTTCCGGTGCGAATAGTGACTGACTCAACGATTCAGGGACTGCTGTAGGTCGAACTAGTGTTCCGAAATGGCCTTGTAGCTTTCCAGGCCTATATCTGATATTAACAAGACAAGAAAATCTTCAGCAACAATTATATGACTCCCATTAACCAGCTCTTCCATGTTGGTTCAGCCGTTCCAAGGTTACGTTACGATTTGTTATTTTGCCGATATTCGATTTGGAAGAGCTGAAGGGCATGCTTGCTATTGGGGACATCTCGCTAGACAACATGAATGAAAGAAGGCATGCCGAGGCACTGAATAGCGACCCCCGTAAGGATTGAGCAAGATACTCACCAATAGTGCCTTAGCCACTCGCGGACATTCAGTCACGGCATCGGAGGGAGAGTCTCCTACTTATGTTGAGAGCAGTTGAGGTTCGTGGTAGGAGAAGGGGAGGCAAGCTTCGGTAAAGATGAAGCTTTATTAGGCTGAGAAGCTAAACCTTTGAAGATGTATGCTACTGAAATAGATGGGGATCGTCACCAGAGTGAAAAGCCGCACTTCATGAGTATTAAAGTGGCCCAGGACCATGTCCATTTGTGGGCGGGAACGTCTATGAAATCCCATTATAACAACGATACTCGAATGAAATACTGACTATAAGTATAGATTGCACTTTGGCATGCTGCTCGAGTAGCTGAAGGAATGGGGTGAGCCTCAACGAGAAAACATCAATCCATCTAACCACTGGCACAGTGTATAGACACAAGTACCACGCCGATACTTCTAGGGATATCGATACAACACGATGACCCATGTTTTGGCAAAAACACGATGTCCCATTCTTGGGCTAGGGAGCCTGCTTGATATGGCAAACAACTCAACGAGACTGGCCGCGAGCAGGCTGCTGGTTCGACCAGTGGGCGGATACATTGATGGCCATGGATGGTACCTGCGTTAGTTCTGATGTCGTTCTCGGTAGCTGAAGCTCCAGGGCCGACTCGGCTTTCGCCTAATATGCGGTCCTTCGAATTCGCATTCTGGTGCTGCCTTCGCTTTCTCCATCGTACCAACCATCTTCGTGCTCTATACTGGGACATTCATACGATTTCAAGCCGACATGAGCAGATATCTACCTATTTCCGAAGTCTCTTCTTCGCATCGTGAATGACTGACCGGACAGTTTGCCTGTTTGGTAAACACCAACTCCACTACCGCATCCACATCCCATGTGCCAAGCATCAGGGCCACCCCCAACAGGCTCTTGCACACTACTCCAGCGTCACACTCGGTAAATACGCCTACTCAGGATTGTTTAGTACCAATCAACTACCTTGCGGCGCAAGTTTTTGCCTTCTGTTACGGAAACTGAGTACCGCAATGTCCACCGCCAAGTCAATCCGCCGCCTTGGCTCGGTGCCCAGACATGTAGGTGTATGCTATGATGCAGCAACCCGAAGGTAAGGAATACAAAAACTTCAGCCCGGAAGTACCAGCTTGAGTTCTTTACCCTACTGCCTCTCACGAAACATTCTATTCAAGTCCTCGTAGCACTCTCGTTACCGCGCACCCAGCTCGACAAGATATCTACGGTCATTTCTACAAATCCATCGATATGAGGTTCTCAGTAATTGCTCTCCTCGCTGCGGCTACCGCCGTTGTGGCACAGGACACTGTATCTGTGACTGCCGGTGGTGATTGTGAGCCTCACGGCGACCACTGGTAAGGAGACATGAACATATATATGTTTTACAGATTCAAACTGACAGCATTCAGGCACTGCGCCGACGGCGTTCCAGAGCCTACTACCCCTCCTACCCCAGAGCAACTCGCTTCTCATTCTGCTGAGGAGGCTGCTGAGGATACAGCTGCTTCTACCCCTGCCTCTACCATCGCTTCAACTACCCTCACCGTTGTCACTTCTGGATCTGCCCTGGTCACTGCATCCGCATCCCACAGCCACGACGATGAGGACGACCACGACCATGAAGCCACCGCCAGCACTTGCGAGCCCCACGGTGATCACTGGCACTGCCCTGCTGGCGTTGCTGAGCCCACCACTGCCCCCGCCGAGACTGTCTCTGGTACTGCTACCGTCACTGCCAGTGGTGACGCTGCTGAATCTGCCGCTGGTACCTCCAGCGCTCTCCCTGAGCAAACCTCTAACGCCGCTGTCGCTCTTGGCGCTGGCAAGGTTGCTGCTGTTCTCGGTGCTGCCGCTTACTTCCTGTAAGCGCGGATTAGCCTGGACAGTTTTGTTGACCTTTGAATGCATCCAAGCCTTCAAATGAGCGGATATACATGTGACGGATCATCATATCCTGACTACATGACTTCACTGTACATAATAAGATACCGGGTACTCACGACGATATCCTGTCTCTGAATCGAACGATAAAAACTTCTGTGTTAAAAACTAAGATTCGGTCTATTGCTATACGTGATGACTTGGATTAAATCTATATCTTATACTATTCTACTATTGACTCATGTCGATTGCTAAAGCATACTCGAGAGTCAGCCAAATCGTGCGCTTCAGCATAGTTCTTGTCACATTGTTGATGATGAGTCCCGCAGTTGTGCTTCCTCCGAGACGTTCACCCATATGGGCCAAACGGAAACTGGATTTTGAGGTGTGATCGTAGAGCAAACATACCTTCTTTCTTTGAAATAATAATTTGCCTATGAATGTTTTGGCTGGGGCTTAGACGTAGCTCCCTGAAGACAAAACGAAGTGTGTTTCGCTCTCCACAACTAACATGTGTCTTGTCTCGTGTGTTGACAATGAGAAAGTCTCAGGCGCATCGATAAGGAACAAAGTCCGGCCATTATTCGACAAACAAGCATCCTTATAAATGAAGATGATCAAAATAACATCTAGGGTTACATTCGTTGCACATATCCTGCTATCGTTCATGAAAAGACACCAAGTTTGAGGCAAGCCACACGTTATCTTACCATACTCCAAGACCGATTTTCTCGTTAGGAAAAACCAATCCACACAATCAAGCACGACTCTGAAGACGAAAGTGAAACTCACAATAATGGCATTCTCCTGCATCTCCCACATCTTCATCAATCTTACAACACCAACACAACCAGTCCATAAACCCAACCACACAGGTCTCATCCACCAAGCCTCTCTCCCAACAAACCCACCTTCCACATTTCCTCCCGCACCCAATCAACCCACAACAGCTTTCGCTCCCAATCTTGTATCCGGTGCAACGTTTCGCGAGCGCATGCAAGAAATCTTGTCGGAACCGCGGGCAACAGAACGGATCGAAACACAAGACGAAGACAGGGGAGAAGACGGAACGAGTTGGGTTTTAGCAAACAAGGATGTGGACGGATGGGATGTTGGGCGTGAGAAGGCTACGCAAATGTTTGTTAAGAGGAAGGGGAGGGGGGAGTTTAGATTCGAAGACGCGATGGTGGAGGGGTGGGGCATTGGATTGAGGGAGAAAGAAGCGAGTTATCGCGTAATGGAGGAGTGTAACAAGGACAACGAGAAGGAGGTATTGGATAGGCAAGAAATGTTGAGAGACGGTTTTAAGTATCGGGGATGGGTTGATGAGGAGATTCAAAGAAATTAGTGAGTGAAGAATAGCAAATCATATGAGAGGGAGGTAGCTGGGAACACTTTTGAAGGTGGAGATCATCTTCCTTATGAGGTAAAATGTCCACCGGAGAACAACGATGGAGGGACATAGGGACAGAGTATGACAGAACAAGTGTCACATGCAGGTTTTGAAAGATGATCAATATGCGTAATTATTCACCAGAGAGCAGGGACTTTCTCAGTACATAGCAATACGCGTTAGAACCCGACTTTCTTTCTCTTTCCGTGTCAAGCGGTTGTTGTCGTATCTTAGCTGTCGTGGTGATTTACAAGTGGTGGAAGGTACGTGTCGCATTATGCAAGGGGAATTTGCGTCCGAACCGCTGACTCTCTCGCCCACACTTCACACCAAAGATCGATTGAAGGACTTTTCTGTAGACTGTATGGTCCAGAAGAAGACTTGTGACCGTATACTCGGGAACTAAGCGCTACTGTCGTCCACCGGACGTGTTTAGGGACCACCTGTGCCGCATCGCTTTAACTCGTTGAATAAGAAGAAGACGGCTAGATGGTAGTCTAGATCTCATGATCCACTATCGAATTGCGTGTCTACCGTGTATCAAAGAGGGCTACGACATACTGGCGTATCAGGGGCGATGCGCGAGGTGTCCCTTCGTGTCGATTACACCTGAAGGACCATGACGCCGCACGCAACGCGTGTGAACGGTGTGTTATTATGCACATACATGCATAATCAACGATACAGAATGTACTATTGAGTCGTTAACACATGGAATGGGCGGCCGGTAGTAGGAAATGCCTGCTTGCCTGGATGGCACTAAGAGAAGTATATAAAGCTTCTCACGTACTTTTTCTCCCATTCTCATCCGTCTCTTCTTATATTCTAATCGTTAAATCTACAATCTTCACATCTTCAAAGACATACGACCTCATCATGAAGCTCCTTAGCTTTACTTTCACGATCTTAACGCTCGCCGCCACCAGTGCAGTTGCAGCACCAGCACCTACCTGTGAAGGACGCTACTGTACGGTGTACCCCGAACCATGGTCTGGTGTCCGCAAGAATGTGTCAGTGGACTGCAAGACCAACTCTGTTTCTTCTTTCATTTGGTGCGTAGGAGGATGTGAAAATGGTGCCTGCCTATGACCGAGTGGCTTGACTTGATTATCGTGGAAGAAGGTCAGTACGTCAAAACCACTGTGAGCAACAAGCATTGAGACTGACTAGCAGTAGAACTCAGAAGAAGCTAATGGAAACCTTGTGGTAATAGCGAAGGCTGATATCCCATTCTTTGAAAGTTGTAGAATGGGAAAGTGCCGTAGAGGTGGTGTGGTCGAAGTTCATCAAGTTCTTCTCTGTGGGGAATGAAATGATAATCTACTAGGTCGACCAAAGCATGCAAAGATGTAGCCTCCGAAGCAAATTGCCACTATCCTTTCCAGTCTTAAATTACGAAAGAGCGAAGTACACGAGGTGAAGCTCTTTGACCAATGCCTCGCATGTGACTATCACTTGAAACAGGATCCATGAATCCTGTTACTTGGAGTCAACGGCCACGGCAGCTGGTACCGGTAAAGAACTGCATGAAAAATATCGTATTCCGACCGTCGAGCACCAACAAACTAAGACCAAGACAAATTACAATGAGACGGCTGAAGTCATGAGTACTCCACGGTATTGACGAACTGAACGTGTCGAGTCTGAACACAAATATAGACGATGAGGAGCCGCAACTACAGATCGTGTGGCCAGATAGAAGCGAGCTGACTTGGCACAGAACCGAGACTACTACCGTAATCAGGTAAGTTGACGCGTAAGGTGACGTATACCTACCCTTCTTAAGGCGGAATGTAAGGTTGACGACCGATACTATCCGTATTATCAGTGTTGCATACCATTGTGTTTGCGGACGCGGCTGTGTAAAACCCGAATAATCTATCTTGTCCATCCTAGGTCAAGTGGTATACTGTGCCCTACCCATGGAGCAGGGTTCAGATGTTGGAATGTTCTCAGTCGCCATGAGGGGCTGCTGTTACGAACAGATAGACAGGACCGTGATTCATGTTAGCGCCCTACACTCCCTATGACGCTGATTGACCAGCGCGCACCAGATACCAACAAACGATCTGCATCCGCACTTCTATTTCAAGCCTCGTATATATGCAGTCGTCAAAAATGCCGCTGGACCCAACGTCTGCAGCCGCTGAACCTCCCGCATTAAGTAAGGGTGCCAACGTACCAACAGGCCCTCCACACCCGCATGCTTTTACCGATCAGATGAGTTCTTCTAGAAGGACAGTGGCTTCCAGAAGGCGGGAGCCGCCCTTCAGTAATGCACATGTAGATCTATTTCAAGCCGTTCGGTGCTTGATGTACACTCCGATCTCATCGAAAGAGAGCGGAAGGAGCGTGCAGCATGCCATCGCATTGCAGACAGCAAGCCCTGTGGAATATCATGTATGTTGCCATGGACGAAAAGGTACGTGGTTATTGTTATCAGGCCACTCGAACGCAGGATGGTCGTCATGTGTGGTAATTTGAGTGCATGGTGGCTATCCCTAGGGCCGGGCCATTGGAAAGATGGGTATCTAAGGCCAAGGCCGTGCCTGCGGTAGACTGATCAAGATGACCCAGGGTCATGGCGTGGCTGTCCTCAGTGTGACATTCGTGTTCAGAAGGCGTTCAGTTGTCGAGCTGGCTGGGCCTATGGCAACTATTTGAGCCTTGTCGCGTCTATTGGATAGTCTAGAGCAACGTGGCTCTGCAGTACCTTCAGGAGCGTTGGATTTAATAAGACGTGGTCTGACATCGTGATAGTGCAACCAAGAGGAGGTGGGAACAGTGGAGCGTAGACGTCAGCCACAGGCATGCACCCAGCCTGGAGTTGTGGTGTACTGTGCTATCACGCTTTGCGCGATAGGCGTTGCGAAGCGTAATTCAAGGTATGCAAGTCCGTGCGATATTTCCGTGTTATGGAGATGGCATGGATGCAGCCCATTTGGCAAGGCTGCAGTTTTATTGAGGTGAAACGAGTGGGACATCCAGACCTCGGGCGATCAAAGCGCTGTTCGTAGCGGGCACAGTGACAGGTCAAGCTGGCTGAAGATACTTTGCAGGAAGAGTCGCGAGAGGCTGCAAATCATGTACGACTGTGGCCATAACGCGGCTACTCTTGTGAGTTATAGTGGGACAGTGCAGAGTTGCCCAGGGTATCCAGGGACGATGCCGGCCTGCAAGCGTTTCTTGCTCCTTGGGTACGGGGACGACCGCTTTAGACGTAACGGGCGGCAGACCGACATGACCAGACAGCCAAACTATTGAAAGTATCCGACCAGAGTTTCATCAACAAGGTCCATCAGGGTCGAGCGCGAAGACCAAAAGACGATGCTGTGTCCAGCCAGGTTAAGCTCCGGAGGATTTGTCGGAGCCTAAGTGCGACACTCCTCCATCCAGCAGAGCGTTTGACATGTGCGCGTGGTGGGTTCGCGGCTCCCAATCAATGAAGGGTGAAACCTCCGCCTTCCGCAAACTCTAATGGCATGTTACTTTTGTGAGTCGCTCCAGCGGCGGATAAAGCGGGTGGTCTCATGCATGATTCGGCGGTACGTGATCGCCACAGGATTAAGCTAGACATGGACATTCGAGGACAGAGTCCTGCTACCACAATGGTTTGACAAAACTGCAGAGGGCTCACGATGTTGACAACAATGTGAAGCGGATCTGATCGCCCCAGGCCCTGGGGGAGGCTTCAACGGGAGAGTGCGCATCCCAGCCGTTGAGAGATACAAGAAAACTGGGGCTGCATGCTTCCGATGGTAAAGTGGGCGAATCAAGGTGGCTGGAACGACGGGTAAAGGATCCCACTTGGCGCAATCCAGCAGAAGGGCAGCAGGGGCAAATCAGCCACGATGATCCTTTGGGAGTGGGCCGTTTCTTGCCCATTGCTTGTTGCTGGAATCCGCCTCGCTGGCCATTGGTTTCCAGCTTTCCAGTCGGCAGTCTGTCAGCAGCGGTCGCATGAAAAAGCACCGCTAGAGAACCGTTCATGGGGGCGGTCAGCAATCAGGCAAAAACAAACACTCGGCGCTGGAAAACGATGGAGAGATGATGGACCTGTACATTGACATGGATGTGCGGATGATGGGCATCCGTCAGGCCATTTCAATCTGCTGTGCGCGCCAGCTTCGTCACACGGCACGTTCTTGGCATTTCGCGGTATCTCCCGTGGTATCATGCATCCCCCATACACCAGCGGACCTACCACAGAAACCGGCTCTGAACCCAGACGTGGCGTCGCAGCTGAGCGTCGCTTGGAATTAGCATGGTGGGAAGCGTGAAGGCGACCAGCAGTGGCGCTGGGAAGATTCCGTAGTACGGCAATGCCGTTTGCCTCGGTGTCTACCCAGCGCGCCAGGGCTCCCAGAAAGATGTGATGGAACGACACTGGTGCTGTTCATCGACGACCCGGGTGTGTGAGCTGGAACCGTGTGATCGGTGGGCCGCTCACCTAGTTAGTTTAACTTTGGTAAGCCGCGGGCCAATATGTTTCGATTCCCGCCTGGTGCTCGCTTCGAGGCGTACGAGTCATGGCGGTGCCTCTCAGCCATCTTCTGGTGGATGGCGTATGCAGTGCATGCAGAGAGAGAAGGTGTGGAGAGAAGTCTTGTCCAAGGGCCTGAGCAAGTATGCATCCAGCGAGCCATGGTTCTGTCGAGAATGCACTGCGCCATGCCCTTCTGGCTGCTAGAGCTGCAGAGGCTGCAAGTGGGCGCGCGAGGCGTCCGCGGAGCATTCATGGGTTGCACGCTATCTACAGCAGACTAAACTCCCTTTGTTCGCTCCAGTTCGGCTAATACTGTCAGTGCCCAGGTGCAGATGAGCCTGATCGAGTGGGCCTCCCAGCCGTCCCCTCTCATAGCCGCGTGCCCTCAGCTCTCCCCATTCTTCACATATCCATCGCCGACTCTTGCACCCTCATTGCAATTGCGGCTTCCGACGACTGGTGGATCATTGAGTTGCGACCCGTGTAGGAGGATACTTTCGCTCATAGATTACTTTGGATAAGACGTGCCAGCCTCGCCGTCGCCTCTCTTCTGGCCCCCCAGCACCCGTCCCTCTCAGCACCACCAGCCATCGACCGCCGCAGCACAGAAGACAGCTCGTCTCCTCGCGCCCCCATCTTGGAAACTACTATTTCGTCGGACCTGTCGCTTTGCGCATTATTTTGACAGTGCTCTCGCATCTCTGTTGGTAAGTTTTCCCATGCCGTCCTGTCCGTGTTCTTGGGATGCCGACAGTCCGGACACGCGTCAGCCAGCGATGCGGACGTGGCCCTGCGGCATCCACGAGATGCGCTCATGGCAGTCAGTGTCAGAGACATGTGCTGACAAGGCCAGATTGCGTGCATACCGTGGTTGAGAAGAGCGCATTTGCTGTTCAAGCCTACCCAACCCAGAGTACCAATTGTGTGGTTGCCGACGTAAGTGCGCCTTTCTGGTGGGTGGAGCGAGGTAGTCCCTGAGATCGACTCGCCCCAACTCTGCTACCACGCGGCATACTGACTCGCCATAGAGACGCAGCATCCATGATGAACACGATTGCTGTCAGCAACGAGACCAAGTCTCAGTTCATCCGCACCACCAAGGATGGCCGCCAGATCCGCTACAACCTGCAGGTAATCCAGCAGCCCGAGCGCGCGCGTGCCTGTGGTAGCGGCGCAAAGTCGAGTGCCGATCGCCGTCCAGTTGACCCTCCCCCAATTGTCGAGCTCCGCGTCTTCGAGAACGACCAGGAAATCACCTTCGCCTACAATGCCAACTTCTTCCTCCACGCCAGCTTGGAGAACGCGCGCCCCATCGCAGCCGGACGCAGCCAGTCTTCGGCGGGCCCCAGCTTCCCCGTCCTCACCGGTACCCCAGTTGCGGGCATGGCCTACCTCGAGCGCCCCACACCTGCCGGCTACTTCATCTTCCCCGACCTGTCGGTTCGCCACGAGGGCAAGTACCGCTTGAGCTTTGCACTGTTCGAGAATCTGGCAGAGGTCAAGGACCTGGATCCCGGCGACCCAGACGTCATCTACGATGGCAACCACTTTGTCACTCACCGTGCTGAGGTCAAGTCGGCACCCTTCACCGTCTTCTCCGCTAAGAAGTTTCCTGGTCTCTCCGAGAGCACTGCTTTGAGCCGCCAGGTCGCCGAGCAGGGCTGTCGCGTCCGCATCCGTCGCGACGTGAGGATGAGGCGCCGTGAGAACAAGTCGTCAAAGGAATGGGACGAGTACGATGAGGAGGGCGGTGGCTACGATCGCGCTCGAGGAACAGCGACCCCCGACAACTACCATCCACCATCCAACGCCCCTCTCGATAACCGTCCTCGCTCCGTCTCCAATGCTAGCAACCACTCACTGGTACCGCCACGCCGTCCGAGCATGGAAGAGATGGCACATGGCTACCCGGCTAGCAATAGCTACCAGCAACAGATGCCTCCACCGCAGAACCCTACCTACACACAGATGCCGTCATACGCGTCAAGCCAACAGCACCAATACTCGCAACAGTACTCAGCTCCACAAACAGCGCCTATGATGCAGTCTCCTCAACACTCCACTGCATACTCACAACATGCGCAACATCCACAGCACCCGCAACACAGCAGCTACTCGAGCCAGCACCAGCCTCAGCCACCAATGCCTGTGAGCCAACAGTATGGATACCCCAACTACCAGCAGCCGGCGCACTATGAGCAGGTGCCTCCCGCCCGTCAGGAACAGGTGGCTCCCGAGTATGCTCACCCCGTCGAGTACCGCCGTCCGTCTGTGACCCAGCCGTCCACCCAACAATACTCGGCACCTAGCCACTCGATGCAATCGTACGGCTCCATGGATCAGTACAATCGGCCGCAGCAAATGAGCCAGCCTTTGCAGCCTCTGCAACCCCTGCACACTTCTCCACAGGCGTACGCTTCATCTACCCCTAGTGCCGTGCATACGCCTAGTCACCAGGCGCTGCCATCATTGCGACCCATTGTCGCCGACAAACTGGAGCCTGTGTCGCCTTCTTACCAATCGCCTCCCGGTACTCTCTCAGCCACCATGTCTGTCAACTCTGACGGTTCTGCCCAGAACTACGCTCTGCCCAAGTTCAACCCACAGGCACAGGGTCTTCCGCCCATGTCGGCCGGGTCCAGCAACAAACGTTCTTTCTCGAGCACCTTCGATTCTCGTCACCTGAATGAACGCATGGTTGCAGGAAGCAGGCCTCAACCGACCGGTGCCGGCTACACCTACGATACTGCCGACTCTCCGGACATGGAGGAGCCAATGGACCGAGCGGCCATGAGCTATCGGCGTGCGGACGGAACGCAACGTCAACGTCATGTACCTGCAGTCGGTCACTGAAGTTGTTCACTGCTGACGGCCGTGTTGCCGTAGTAGGAATGGTCTTCAGCCTGTACGTTGCATAGGGATCTGTTGGTGGAGTACGGCGTTATGTGTGCTGTTACGGATCTAATGTGCTCTGATCATCTATACCCCCTTGAGTACGACGAATGCGCGATCTGGTCACGGCAAGCTTTCCATCGTACACCTGTATTTTGTCTTTCAATGCTTTATTGCCCATACGTCAGCTGGTGAGCTGCACACTACCTTTCCTTTTATTTTCCTGTTACACAAAAACATCACTTTACTACCCATACCCCTAGCGAGCCATCACTTGCTCTATTTCCTTCTCTCTATTATTCCTACCGTGTATTTTGCTTGGAAGTCCTGAACAGAACATACAGCTCAACAAAATGAGAGCCTTGTCCTTTCCTTGCATGTGTTGATGAACTCGTGATTCTATTTCCCACAGGCTCCAAGTTGCGAACCTGGATAATGGGATAAGAAAGTACATACGTGGCTATGCGACATGGGAGGTTGCTTGTAGTTTGGATACATTCCGTAGGCTAAATCTATGGCACGCTGTGCGTTGTCAACCCCTAGTTATGATGCCTTTGTGTTAGCCATGTGTGGATCTCATCAGCCTTGCGTCCGTCCGGAACCGGCCCATCTCCAGAGTACCCCTCCAACCTACCCCGCGTCCCAAAACAGATAAACACGATCACGCAATTTCTGGGTGTCCTACCAGGACGTGCGCTATGCAATCGAGACATACAGTATGGCCGTCTCTTACACATAATGGGTTAACGGATACACAAAGGGTTTTCAAGTTATACCCAAAAGGGCATCGGAATACCTGTCACTAGCCAATGATAACATGGTACGAGTGTGACTGTGGCTGTCAGCACAGTTCCGAAGTAGGAAGCTACTACGATGCTCTGGATACCAATGTAATCCACACCCGCGTGGGAGTGGATGACGTGACGGACGCGACTTTTGGCACAATTAATCGTCTAGTCCTCCCCTCTTTCCAAATTCCGTCTCTCGATCACCTCTAACAGCACCGTGAACGCCTGAAGCTCCTTCGCTCAACACATTACGACAATATACAATCTGAAGACCAGGACTCAAAATGTCCGAGAAATTGTCCAAGAATTTTGAGACGCTTCAATTGCACGCTGGTAAGCATTTTCCAGTCTCTCTCTTTCCATAGCTGCTAACATTGATGAAACAGGCCATGAACCAGACCCAGCGACGAACTCTCGTGCTGTACCTATTTACGCGACCACAGTACGTTGTGAACCGACAAAGACTCCCCTTGAACAAGTCTCGGACTAACATCAGTAGTCATACACCTTCAATGATAGCGCGCATGCCGCGAATCTCTTTGGCCTCAAGGAATTTGGCAACATATACAGTCGTATAGGGAACCCCACCGTCGGTGTACTCGAGGCGCGTATCGCTGCGCTTGAGGGTGGTGTGGCAGCACTGGCAACAGCATCCGGTCAAGCTGCTCAGTTCATTGCCATAGCCGCTCTGGCGCATGCTGGAGACAACATCATAGCGACTTCGAACTTGTATGGAGGCACGTACAACCAGCTCAAGGTCTTCTTCCCACGTTTGGGGGTGCAGACTAAGTTCATCAATGGTGACAAACCAGATGACTTCAAGGCTGCTATCGATGAGAAGACGAAGGCGATATATGTAAGTTTACGCGAAGAACTCTCTGAACAATGGCTAACCCATGCAAGCTTGAAAGCATTGGCAACCCAAGATACAATGTTCCCGATTTTGAGAAGATTGTAGCAATTGCGCACGAGGCTGGTATTCCTGTCATTGTCGACAACACATTTGGCGCCGGGGGATACTTCTGCAGGCCTATTGACCATGGTGCTGACATTGTTGTGCACTCTGCAACGAAATGGATTGGAGGTATGTGTTTGCGACTCTCTGGTAGGCACAAGCTAAAATACACAGGTCACGGAACTACGATTGGTGGTGTGATAGTCGATAGCGGGAAGTTCGACTGGGGTAAGCACGGCAAGCGCTTCCCGCAAATGGTCGAGCCATCAGACGGTTACCATGGACTGAAGTTCTGGGAGACATTTGGAGCCATTACATTCATCATCCGAGCACGTGTCGAAATCCAGCGAGACCTGGGCGCAGCGCTCAATCCATTCGCCGCCCAACAGCTGCTCCTTGGTGTGGAGACGCTCTCCTTACGAGCAGAGAGACACGCATACAATGCACTAAAGTTGGCGAAGTGGCTTGAGAGCAACAAAAACGTAAGCTGGGTATCTTATCCTGGTCTCGAGAGTCATCCGTCACACGAGCTAGCGAAAAAGTACTTACCGCGTGGTTTCGGAGGCGTACTATCCTTTGGTGTTACAGGAGGCGGTGAAGCAGGTAGCCAGGTTGTAGACAACTTCAAGCTCATCTCCAACGTAGCGAATGTTGGCGATTCAAAGACGCTGGCTATCCATCCCTGGACAACAACACACGAGCAACTGAGCGACGAAGAGAAGATCAACTCTGGTGTAACCGAGGTAGGCAAATCGTCACTTGACTTCACAATTATGACTTGCTGACAGGGTACAGGATCTCATCCGTATTTCAGTCGGCACAGAACACATCGACGACATCATCGCAGACTTTGAACAATCGTTCTCGAAGTCGGCAACGAAGCCTCAGGAGAAGGGTCAGCCGGAGAATGCGGATAAAACTGGCAGTGCTGAGCCCTCTGCTTCATTGTCTGGTTCCACCTAGGAGTGTCTAGTGATTCCTAGACTGTGAGGCGTTGGATACGGCAGAGGTGAAGGCTATGTTGTGAATGCCCGGGAGAGCAGTCGGACTTGCGGACTTTTTCCTTATACTAATTGTAATCTGTTCCTTGAATCGTCTCTCCCATATCTCGTACGAGGTCGCATGCTCGTTCTTTAGTTTGGTGCGTGATGGTCAAAGCCGCCGAAAACGCAACAATGCAAGCCGAGGCATCTTCCCCGCCAATCAGAATAGGGCCGCTCCATCGCGGAACAAGGGTTGTGTCCGCGTGGTTTCCTGGGGAAGATCTCACACTGGGGCGGCATGTGAAAGCGCGATCTTGCACATGCGCATTTGCACGTCAATACCCTCTCGTCGAATGAATGTATTCACTCAACGCCAGCGCAACTTGCTCAGTGCTAACCAAGGGTGAGTGCCCCGTAGCGTTCCCCGCGAACACATGCAAGGGAGGCGCTGATGCGCAAGTCTGGAGAAAAGCGGGCGCCGAGACACGGGGGCTCAGCTACATTTGGCGCACATGACCGGCAACACGTTGGCTCTCGGTGCTGAGAGCGCAGCATGAGCCTTGGCCCAGTTTTCATCTTCGTTTCAATTGGACAGGCGCGTCATGACGACTTTGCCGAGGCACGTTTTGCGCCATGGGAAATTGTGGGCTCTGGCTTAGTTCGTAGCATCAACCCTTGCTTTCGAATCGCTGTCCTGTCTCATCTTCTCTATTCTGTTTGACCGACTACAGTTGTCTAGACTTGTTGCATCTTTTTCCGTTCATAATTGTCAGTTGAAGAGAAGAGGAGAGATACTAGTGGCTAGGGCTATAGGTATGTGAGGTCACCTGCGTAATGGAAGCTGGAAGCTGGAAGCTCAGGCGTGCCATGCGCCAACTTCCATCATCGACTGTCGTTTACCAAGAGCTTCGCTGATGTATACTATAAAGTAGAAAGCTCTCACTATCTCGTCGGCATTTTCTCCACACGCGACACGAACTCGTATCTTTCGACCGTTCCGGACGAAGCGACCACTCGAAGCCTATCAAATCGAACCTGTATATATAAAGGCGAGCAAATATGTTCGGATCTACAGATGCTCAGATCGATCGCGCGACCGAGCTCCATGAGCCTCCGGCCAAGGGACAGCCTTACAGTGTAGCGTTGCCGGGCTCGGAGGCAGAGGGAAGGAGTGCTATCTACAGGCACTGGAGATTCACAGACAAGCCTCTGCTGGACCACCTGGTTCCCGAGATCAGAACACCACATGAAGCGTTTGAGAACTCGGTTGCGAAATGGCCCAAGAACAGATGCCTGGGACACCGCCCATATGATACCGCTACCAAGACCTTCGGCCCTTACGTTTGGGAAGACTACGAGACAATCGCCAAGCGGAGAACCAACTTCGGCGCTGGTCTTGTACATCTACATAAACAAGCTGGCGTTGCTGCACACAAGTACGGTATTGGACTGTGGTGTCAGAACAGGCCGGAATGGCAAATCACTGATCTGGCGTGCATGTCCCAGGGCCTCTACACGGTCTCCATCTACGACACTCTAGGCCCGGACACGACCGAATACATTATCAACCACTCCGAGTTGAACTGTGTGGTTGCTGGAATGAACCATGTTACGGCACTGTTGAAGCTGAAGCCTCGACTACCCTCGCTCAAGATTATCGTGGTTCTCGACCCACTTTCAGCTGGCGAGCTCCCTGGCGAGTCCAAGGGCGACCTCCTGAATTCGCTTGCTAGTGAGCAAGGTGTTGCCATCCACTACATCCGCGATGTTGAGGCTTTGGGTGAGAGGCAACCGATTCCGATGAACCCGCCTACACCCGAAGACATTGTTACCATCAACTACACATCTGGCACAACAGGCAACCCCAAGGGTGTCGTCTTGTCCCACCGAAACGCGCATGCCGGAACATGCACTTCCATGGTCATCATGGGTAGCGGACCTAGCGAGATTATCTGCTCTTTCTTGCCCTTGGCGCACATCTATCAGCGGTTGGGAGAACACAGTGGGCTGGCAACTGGCGCTGCTATTGGTTACTTCCACGGAAACATTGCAGAGCTCGTAGACGACTTGCAGATGCTACGACCAACCATCTTTTCGGGTGTACCAAGGCTGTACAACCGCTTCGGAGCCAAGATCAAGGAAGCGACTGTCCAGGCAACTGGCATTAAGGGAGCACTATCCCGACACGTGGTATCGACCAAGCTGGCGGCCGTCAACGACAAGCAAAACCCAACCAACAAGCACATGCTCTACGACCGCATTTGGGCTAAGAAGGTTTCTGCCGGTCTCGGACTGGATCGTTGCAAGGTCTTGGTCAGTGGCTCTGCACCCATTGATCCTAGTCTGCATCAATTCCTCCGTGTTGTGTTTGGAAGCAACTTCACACAGGGATATGGACTGACTGAGACGTATGCTGTTGCGCTTGTCCAGCATGAGGGTGACTTCTCGGCTGGCAACTGTGGTGGCGTTGGGCCCAACACAGAGTGTGCTCTGCTCGACGTGCCTGATATGGAGTACATGTCTACTGACAAGCCGCATCCCCGTGGTGAACTCCTGATCCGCTCTGCGTCGCAGTTCAAAGAGTACTTCCGTAATGAGGAGGAGACGGCCAAGGCTATTGACGCCGACGGTTGGTTCCATACTGGCGATATCTGCTCTGTTGACGAACTCGGCCGCTTCAAGATCATCGACCGCAGGAAGAACGTCCTTAAGCTCGCACAGGGAGAGTACATCTCACCCGAGCGGATTGAGAACGTGTACCTTGCCAACTGCAGCTACCTCGCGTCTGGCTATGTGCACGGCGATTCGCACCAGTCGTTCCTTGTGGCTCTCTTTGGTGTTGCGCCAGACATCTTCCCGCAATTCGCGTCCAAGGTGCTGGGCGAGAAAATTCCGGAAGGTGACATTGAGAAGCTGAAGGAGGCGTGCAAGAACAAGAAGGTCGAGCAGGCAGTCCTTAAGGAGCTAGACAAGGTGGGACGAAAGAACAAGTTCAACAGCTATGAGCGTGTCAAGGCTGTAAGGTTGTTTGTCGACCCATGGACCATTGACAACCAACTTTTGACCCCAACGTAAGTTCTCTACTTCACGGTGCAAGATGGATGACGGACTAACAAAGAAAACAGATTGAAGTTGAAGCGCCCGCAGACGGTCAAGGCCTTCAGGCAGCATCTAGATGACTGTTATGAGGAGGCGCTGGCAGAAGAGTCGAAGCCCAAGGCGAAGTTGTAGAGGAAGCATTTGCAAGTTTGGCGTGTGGTGGCCGCAAGAGGATACCTAGATAGATTGCATGGTTGCTTTCCTAACGCGTGGATGCTCAGGCAACCCGTGCAAGTGTTGTACCACGGAACTGCATATAGAAGACTCGACCGAGTGTACAGTAGCGTTGATAATACAAACAGAACATGTTCATCAAGAAGATTGCGAAACGTGGCCGGCTCAACTGCTGGCAAGAAGATTTTGCAATTTGCAAGCGGTGAAGGACAGCGGACAACGTGTCACGGGCCGTGGCGGGCTACAGCGAGCAATCAGTGGGCGCCAAGTCGTGCATGACAGGGTCCTCCTCACCTCGGATACGATACCTTGTAATTGTTTATGTCCGACCAAAGCTGCAACCACCCAGCGCAACTTCTCGACCAACAAGTCCAAACAAAATATCGCAACCCTTCCCACATTCCACCCTCGAACCTGCTCCACCTCCTCTTGTCCCAATCACAAAACTGCATCTTGGCGCCGCGAGCACGATAAACGGATGCCCGTCACGCGCGCAGCAGCTCAGGCCATGAGCGACGACGTCGACGAGTCGACACAGCCGCGCGCATCGCGCTTCAAGGAGCACACCAACACGAATGGCAGCATACGACCGCCGCCCGACGAGCTATGGAAGGACATTGGCATTGAGGAGCTGATTGAGCAGTTCAATGAGGAGAACTCGAAGCCGCCGACTTCGCGAAAGAGCTCTGCGAATCGTGTGCCTCGCCTGGTCAAGTCTTCTTCACGGGCAGCTTCCGGGAGCGCGACGCCTTCAGATTCTGGCGTCGTGACAACCATACATGGATCGGCATCGACGCCGTCCGAGGGGACATACGCCCGCCTCCAGCGCGCATTCGCGTCCATGTTCGGCAGCGTCCTGGGCAAGCGCAAGGCCGGGGCCACAGATGCAGAGCGCGAGAGGGACCAGTACCAGCAGATACTAGAGGAGCGCAAGAAGGCCGCCGAGATTGCGTACCACGAGGCCAAAGACCTCGGTCTTCTCCCTACGCCAAAGGTCTACGTGCGACCCGCCATGAAGTCGCGGCAGGTTGGCACCCCATCTCAGCCTGTCGCGGCCGAGAAGATGCAGCTGGGCTTGACCGCAGCCATGGCCGAGGCAGCCACACCTATCCGAGCTCCACGAACACCAACTCTCCGTCACACCCCGAGCAAGAAGGATCTGTACAAGCAGAAGAAGCTCACCAAGCGCGTCTCGGACCTCGAATACAAGCTCGCCTCCGCCCGCAAGGAGCTCCAGACGGTCCTCTACAGCGACGTACCACCTGTCCCACGCATCCCCGACTTCGCACCACCTACACCCGACGTCACGCAAAGCGAAAACGACGGCAGATCGCCAAGTGCCACCCCGGTCACTGAACCTCCTCAGAGCATCGGCAAGATTGTAAAGAAGCGCAAGGCCATCGTCAACGACTCGGACGGCGAATACAAACCCATATACACCGATTCCGAGGGCGACCTCGATCTTCTCTCCGCCCACTCCGCCTCCGAAGCCGAGATGCCTGAGCGCAGCATAAAACGCCCCAAGAGCGTCAAGAGCCCTGCAGGCAAGAGTCCCAGGAGAACCAGTTCGAGGTTGGTGAAGAGGTTCTCGAGAAACAACTTGAGGAGTGAGGAGCCTGTCAGGGTTGTGCCCGACGGTATGGATGTACCTGATGTGCCTATCATACCTCACGATATGGAGAGCAAGGGAAAGAAAGTCAAGGTCAAGATCAGTGATGATGGATTTGGAGGGTTGGGCCACGAGATCTTCTGACTCGGACACCGATGATTGGAGTCCCAGTTTCTGGTTCTGCATACCAAGAGCATGTTGGCGAAAGCTTGTCTAAGGCGACAGTGGACGTCGGCTACTCTAACTTGGAATATCTTGCATAGCACCTGGCGTGCACGGGAAGGCGTTGCCGGAGCTCTTGTTCCCCCTTTCTCAACTAGTTTCTCTTCTCTTTCCCTTTTGTCAACTCCGTTTGCATCTCCCTCTTCCTTACACTGTGTGTGGGCCCGGGTACTATCTTTCTTCTATCTCTGTTCGCTACAAAACTTGGAGCTTCTTTACATGTCTGGGCATTCGTATAGTCATTCTATTCACGAAAGCGACGATATCACGACCATAATAGCGAATACAAATAATACTTGTTTTTGTACATACTCCTAGTCGCGAGGTAGGAACATAGTTGGGTATTGTACAGGTTTAAGAGCGCTCACTTTTGAAACTAGAACCGATAGCTTGCGATACTGTTCTAGGAGAGTTGTTGGTCGAAATGTCTCAATGCTTCATATGATCAAGCTGCTATACTCCATTGTTACCATCTGAGACACGGCCAGACATGCCCAAGTTGCAAGGCTGTTCTCTATAATCCGATGGGTGGTCATTTGGATGAGCGTGATAGTGGAAGGTACGAATGTGATGATACCTAGGTAGTGAAAGAAGTGGTGTTGAAGACGAAGGCATGCGGGAGCGGCAGGGAACTAGACCGGAGGATGGAGGTCGTGCACGTTGTAGCAGAGGAGCCTCTCTATCTCTCTCTGGCTCTCCTTCGTTGTCTTCCTCAGACTCGTCTAACACCCCACCACCTCGCTCTCACAATTTATGGTCCCGCCGCCACCGCCACCGCTCACCCTCCTTATTTTCCTCGTCGTCATATACCCTCTCAGCCTCCTCTGCCAGAACCCCCGCCATCGATACTTTCGTACCCGACCTCTGGGCTAGAACCTGGAATCTCGTGGCTGAGAGCATGTCACTAACGCCGGTTGATGCGCCACGTTCACGTAATATCACTTGTGCACAACTCATCATGCTGATACATGATGCGAATCCCCTTGAAGATGAGTTTGAGAACGCGATGGTCGACCATCTTGTTATCGGCGCGAGGAAGGTGGTGATGAAACATCGGCGGAATGCGCAGTATGATGATCGGGCAGAGTTGAGAAATGAGCGGGAAGATGTAAGGTTAGCAGTTAGGTATAGTGTATGAGGGGCTTTCAAACTGTTTTCTTTTGCTGGCCAGAACGACGAGGTGCATAGAACGTAGGCCTAGACCATCTTCCTTTCTTCTTCATGATACTATCGAGACTGCATTGGTATGTTGAACTAGAAGTGGAGATTCCGTCCATATCAAGCAAGCTATTCGGAGCCACTGCCGTACTCATGTAGAAGCGGACAGACCCGTCCGGAAAAGGACACCTCGGATGACGGAGTTTGAACATTCAAACCATCTGTTCTTTGAATTCATACACTTGAATGCTTCCAAATAACCTTGCATTGACGGATGATCACCCCCGCACGTACGGCAGCTGTTCCCATTCTGTCACGGTCGTGCGGGTTAACCGGGTGTGGCAGGTCCATCGGCCAATTGTCAGACAAGGATATAGTTCCGCTACAACTCCACCCCTGCGCCGCGGATCGCCCCACGTCATCGATAGGCCAGCCTAGATACGACAATGGGTATTGTTTGCGCAATATATATAGTTGGTCAGATCATGTCTCTCGCATGCTGTTATAGCCCTGCAACTTCCTCCCAGTAGGATTCTTATGTACGAACACAAGTCTGACAATATGGCGGACGAAAAGAAAGAGCAGGCTAAGCGCGTTGCGGCTGAAAACGGCGTGTGAGTATTCTCGTAATGATTTCCAATGATGGAACAATTGCTGATAAGTTGTAGTGTCAACCCTTCAGGTGCGATGATCGCTGCTTTTGCACCAATGTACCTCGCTGCCATACCTGTTACGTGCGTCTGAGTTCCTGAGCCTCATCTCAAGAGCGCAACCACCCAAGTCGAGCTAGAAACTAATCGTTGTCGCGAAGTTCATACCTCACAAAACCAAACAGCGTGATGCAGTCCTTGGTGCACGCTCTCATCAAGTTAATTCCTGGAGTTACTGTACGCCTCCCCCTTTTCCCACTTCAGCTTCTCCCTTCATCTTGTACTGATAATTCTCCTTAGACAACAGCAATAACATCCGGTCGCGCTATTCCCGCACTCTCAGCCATTTACCTATTCTGGACTTTCGGCGCCTCGGGTGCTCTCTCTGCGGCAGGGCAAGCCATGGGACGAGAAGAGGGCCTGGACATTGAGCACTCGAGAAAACATATTCACAAGCTGGATGGGTTGCCGTTGAGGTTGAGAAGTGCGCATTATGCACTCATGGAAAACTTCCCAGGTAAGCTGATGGTTGAAGAAGGCTGTCAAATCCGCCAGTGAAGAGAGTCGCTAACGAAGATTTGATTGTAGCTTTTGCACTCGCTGCTGCTCTTGCACAGGTTCTCGCGCCTCAAGACGCGCAGGTAGTGAATCTGCTGGGATATCACGTTATTGCCAAATTGCTTGTGCATTACCCGTCTTATCTGAGCAATGTAGCTTTACCAAGGACTGCTGCACATGTCACTGCAACGGCGGCACTGATTAACATTTGCTGGAGACTGGCTGCCGGTAACTAGAACGGCATCAGGTACACCGTGACTTTATAGTGCTGGTGTAATACTGAAGACGTCAATCCAAATCCTGCACAGGTCAGTTTTAGAGGAGGTTTCCAGGTACTTGTTACCGAGCAGGAGAGATGCTACGCAGATCGAAGCGAGAACGCAATGTACACATGTCTTGTCCGTCCATCAATATCCCACTATTTACACCCGACCAAGATGTCGCTACTACCATGCAAGACTGCAATGCTGACGCCGTTTTGTCTATGCTAGAAAGCGCTTATTTGCACCATTACCCTCATACTTGAACTCGCTTTCGTAGTAGTCCTGCTCCACGGTATCACCTTCGCCAATGTCTTGCGCGTTCAAATTGTGGCACCACATCTATAAGTGGACCGTTATCTTGCTGGTTTCCCTGTATTAGGGGGAAAAGCGCGCTCTAGGCCACTGTACTCGCCTTACGTGGCAGTCACATGCAGGGAAAGTCGAATCTTGAAGATTCACTGCTGCATCTTGGCAGTTGCTTCGCTTTTGATCACGCACTTTGAGCTTGGCCCGAGTGGTAATCATAGTATATAAGGATAGGTATGCATACGCGCGCCCAAACATGTATCCATATACCTCCGCACAGTTGCAACCGCCACTCGCAGAACCCGTTAGTTCTACGATTTCTTACCTTCTTACTACATATAAATATCACTACCCACTGTAACTATGAGCTTTCTGAAATTCCTCTTCGTCACTGTCCTCGCTCTTGCCACGGCGATCGCAGCTCCTAGCCCGCACATCGGCATGGTAAACAACGACGATGTCCGTGATGTCGGCGCGGTTTACTCTCAGCCGGGGTACGCTTCGAAGCCCGAGTTTCTCCTCATGGACAAGAAGATCCCTAAGTGCAATCCGCTGTACGCAACGCTGCCAATTCTCACATGATAGTCACTGACGCGTCATAGTGACGATAACAATATCTGGTCTATCATGATATGCGTCGAATCCATCGAGTGCGACTTCTGGAAAGTGCGTCATATCCATGGGAGTATACTCCAGTAAGTAGGCTGACAAGTGACAGGACACTGGCTGCGGATCGACATCAGGTGAGCAAGCCGTCTTCACGGTCGGCTGCGGCGATGTCCATGATGTCCCTCCTGCTCTAGCTAGCAAATACGGTTCCTACACCTGCCATTCTGTTGATCCAAACGCTCCCGGATTTCACGGCGCTGTTAAGCTCGAGACTACCCCTCACGATCCCAACAACGACCTTTCAGGTCAGGTATGAACTCACGTTCTTCCTAGATACATGTATGCTCTATTGATTCTCTGAAAAAAAGTATCTTTATCTTGGCTAAAAGTTCAACATCGATGCCACGGAACTATGAGCCTGACTTGTTCAGTTCCGTCGGGGTTGCAAGACTGGTCGGACAACATGCGATGGGCTTATCTCTGGAAACATCTCTGAAGGCCTATGTGATAACCATATGTAAGACTGGAGCTAGGCGCAGTATTGGTGTAGACTTGAGAGCGTGTACGATCGGATCTTTGAATTAATGTCTAATATAAGAACACATCTTATCCACTCCTATGCTAGACACTTGGAATCCAGAACTTGCAGTCACCTCACAAGCTCCGGCGTTAGGGTTGCAACGTACTGATCTAAAACAGCTGCAATGTGATATTACAATGCAGACATCCGTGCTACTGCCGCGTTTCAAGTTGATCGACTACAGGGTATAATCAGTATCTGCTGCCAATCAAAAGTAACGCATCACGAGACATAGAGCTAGTTGACGCAACATATCCATGTAGCAGATAAGGATACCTACGAATTGGACTTGAAAGCTTAACACTTCCGCTGATAAAGTCCGCCATTGATCGCATAGTCTTGACTCCGCTACGCCTTCGACTTCTTGCCCAACAATGTTATCTGTGAGCCCTCACTAATGTGTACCCTTGGACCCGGTATATCGCTCGCCTTTTCCCTTTTAGGCAGACCATCAAGTTTCTTCCACATGAGCTGTAGTTGAATGTGCCCTGGCGTGATGCCCAGTTGCTGTGACCCCCAGCGAAACTGCCATAGTGAAAGGGATTCATTGGCGGTAGGGATGCGCTTGGCGTCGTAGAAGCATGCTATATCGCCGAAGCAGAGGAAAACGTATGGAAATCCTGTCTATATACGTATCAGCGAAGTTTTTCAATGCGGCGAACTGGAATTGACACGTACTATTGTGTATAGCTCATCATAGATGTCAACGTTGCGCTCTCCACAGTTCCACGCGAAATCACCTTTCCCGTAGTGACTATCGACATTCTCTTCCTGGCTATCGTCTTGGAACGTGCAGTTTCCATTTTGAGTGCTGAGTGTATAAGGATAGTCATCTAGACGCTTGAACACACCGCATTCCTTAGCACTGCCGCTGTCGTAGACAAATTTCCCGTGTGCATCTAGACACCCCACACTAGACTCTGGGGTTGCCGTCTGCCAGTTGTCAGAGGCTAGGACGTAAATGTGGCCAATACCAGTGAAATCTGTTTGCTGAATGCCAGCATACGTAGGGAGAGCGAAGGAGGCGACAAAAAGAAGAAGCGTAGTCGGTATGTTGGCAAACATGATACGAAGGGGTTGACTCAGGTTCCGAGAGAAGAAAGACGAAATGTAAGCTTTCTGTCGGTAGTATCGTAGCGAAATGAAATCTACTCTAGAGAGAGGAAGTACCCAGACTTTTTATATTGATCGGCCGTCGCACAGCTCATACGCAGCAAGCCGCGCTTTCCAACAATGAATTAACCCTGCAAAATCACCACGCCGCCTCACTACGATCAGAAACTGATATCGTAGGTGGAGAGGAGGCATGCCCTTGCGAAGGTTATCCCAAGTATGCTGCACGATAGATTAATCTCCTCAGAAAACCAATTTCGGATCCCCTCCTCGTGATGACGGGTACAGTCTCGCTTCCCAAGTTGAGGAACACGAACCCCAAATACCTCGGTGGTGTCAAATGAACAGGAAGACGCTACTCGATCAGCACACGGCGTGACCTTGTACTTAATATCAAACGTTGGGCCTTAAAAGCACGAGAGTTTGTGCGTATGCAGCATTGTGCTAAGAGCCGAGGCGTGGTGCAAGTGTGCACAGGTCTACCAGGGCGGATGCGCCATGTGCCAAATCCCTTGAAACATGGCGAATCATCACCCAGTAGAGATATTAAGAACTAAGAGATCAGGCATTGACCGGCCTCGGGGCTTGTTTCGTTTAGCCAGAAGTGCCGCTGTAGATATGTCACACATGTAAGCGAAGAGTGGTGGGGAGAAGAGTACTCAAAGATCAAAGCGGAAGGAGGGTTGAGCACCCATTTAGCCGAGGCGCTAGTCGAGAGTTGGACCTGGTTGTCGCTCACAACATCGACCCGTTGTACTACTACATGAAATCAGAAGACGGAGCCTTTCAGTTTGCTTTGTTTACGAATTTGCAGAACACAGTATCTGCGTGATCTGAGTGTAAGAATGGTCAAAATGTAAACACATACATGAGCGGTGAAGTTAGTACCTAGGTAGGCAAGCAGGACGATAAGATGACATATTTGACGCCATTAAGCTGTATGTCTCTCCTTGACCATTTCTTAGAAGTTTTCGAAGTTCGGTACATATCTCTCCTTACACCACGACACCAAAGTCCGACATGATGAACGAACGCTGGCCGCTCCTGTCGATCTCCCGCGACATACGTGCAAGCTCACGCGCCATCTCCGCTGACCCCAGCTTAGCGCTTTCGGCAGCATTACACATCACCCATGAAGTCCGGAATAGCGCCATATCCCGGAAGACTCAGAGCTATTTCTAGTAAACGGACTTGCAGTCGACCGAGCTGGTCTACACTTCCACCACCCCAACTAGAGAATCTTGGAAGTAGCGCATATAACCCTTTTCGCGCCTAAATTGTTTCCCACGAAGAGATCGTTCTACTTCAGCCCGCCACCATGCAGCCATCGCACGTACAAGTTCTGCCGTTACCTGTTTCCGCCGCCACACGAGCCACGGTATACATGATCGAAAGTACTCTATTGGTGGACTCAGCGTTTACTCAGAACATCACCGGATTGTTGCTGTCTTCATAGTGCGTTGATGCGCCACCATTGCTGCGCCTTCCCCTCAAGCTTAGTAGATATCATGTTCTTTATCAATCTAGTAATACAGACGAGTTCCGTCACGTCACTTCAGAGGCACTTAGACCGGAGGATCCTCTAGGTGGTCTCCATTAGGACAGCGCAGTAGCCGGGCAAATGCATGCACGAGTAACACAATAAGCGTTTGGTGGATTGTATATACATAAACTAGGAGTTGGTTGTCAATTGTTTACGGATATGTTACCATTCAGAGTGAGGAACTATTGCAATATGCTGGGATAGATTCACCGAGGTTGAATACCATGGATATCCGCTAGCTCGTTCATTCGGCAAGTGCTTTCTAGTATGATTTGTATAGCTTCGTGCATACATAGCACTGCTTCCAGTGTTGACGCAGTGTGCGTGAATGTAGATGAAAGAGTTGACTCCGGACCAGTTGTTAGAACCGTTCCACCTTGTAGCTCAGCACCAGCAAGATATCGAAACATGTCAAGCTCTACGCCTCTGGTCGATGTGAAACACACGGACTGGAGGAATTTCTAGAATTCCACAACTGTGTTCTTCAAACGATGACCGGGCCATGCGCGTTCTGGGGCGATGTTTGTAGGACGGTCAAAGATAGACCATAGCTCCGGATATCAGGTGGGCGCCGCACTGGGCTCGGCTTTCTCCAAAGGCTTTGTGTCGAACACACTTCAGACAAAGACCCTGTACTGCGTTGTAGATCTTGTCGAGCTCATATACAAGGTTTCTCTTCGTACAACTAACAGCCCCACAGATACAGAGATTTTGATAGCTTGCACATCGCTTGCTGTCGGCAGGAAAGGCAGCTTCGCCAACGTTTTCAAGCTTAGACTTGATAGCCGGCACCGAGTGATCGTGTGTAGGCCATATGCCGCATTTCTTGAGGCTGTGGAGAAACATGCAGGTGGACCGCTGGGATGCACTGCATCTCTCTTTCCCGGTGACAATCGAACCAAATGCCTTGTTGATTTCCTGCCGATATGCCATTTGACCAAGCAGTATACACTGGTACACAGTCCAGGGTAGAAACTCTTGGCCAGCCATAGCTTTAACGATACTGAACGTTGTTGATTGATCGCGTATTAAGCTCTGAGAAACTCTGGAGAACTCTCCGGACAGATCAAGCAGATGTGTAGCAAGAAACAATTTCTCGAAATCTTGAGCTGCAGGCATCTCGAGTAATGCAGCAACCCATATTATAGCACACGCACGGACTACACCGACACAATCGTACTTGTTACACACGAGCGCAGGTTTGAACAAGTCTATGGCGGTGAGCGTGGTCGGAAGTTGCGACGTCTGCATGTGTCCGATCTTGCAGATCATGGTGATACACTCAGGATCGTCGTCCGAAAGCGGGACTGTACGTGGCGAAGCCGGAGAAAGACTCTGACCCTCGGAGAAGCGACCGTCGAACATGGTGGCAAAGACTGGCGAAGCAAGGCTGAGAACCACGGATGAGACAAGAACATTGCGTACTCCATCTCCGACTCCGACTTTGCCTAGTTGAAGTATGACATCGCCCTTCGTGGCGATAACTTCTGCATTGCCTCCGGCTGGCGACATTGCAATACAATCTGGCTTGATGTTAGGTCACGGCACAGTTGTTTTGACCGGCGGTTACTCACCTTCGTAATTGCGCTTCCTTGAAGTAGCCAGCGTGCTAACTTTTCTCCCTCTGGAGACGGTGATTGAGAAGATTACTAAAGTTGAAGGCTCAATTGCGAGAATAAGAGTCGTGTTGAAGAGTTCACTATAAAGATCATGACTGGTGGAAGAAGGTTGCAATCTGAGGTATAAACCGAAGCTTATACTTACCTCCGCTCATCCCGACTCACTTTCACCTTCACCTTCATCCAGTGGAATTCTGTATGGAAGTACAGTTTTAATTGCTGTGCATCAAGTGGCATCATCGGATGTGTTCAGAAATCTTTTCGGTCATCAACTTGTACGGTACGTCTATTGGAAAACTTTGGATCTTCGAGTTCAGTAACGCGAGATCAGTACCTAGGTACTTCTTCCGCCTACCTGCCGTCGTGCGAAATACAACTCTAAGACGAGTGTAAGATCCATCGCGCACTCGACGTCACCGTACGTTGCTCGAGGGATTGCGCAACTTTCAGGTGGTGTCGCAAAATCGCAAGTTGTTCCGCCCCCACCTTGCCGCCGTCAAAAGTCCCACCAGGAGTGTCGACGCGGTAGCACCGTGGTGTGTACCTAGGTATCGTACCGTCTCTTGAGCTACGATGGGCTTAGGTGACTGCAAAGATGGCCGTATGACAGATGGCAAAAGTTACTTCAGGCTTTAATTGTTATGAAGGTGACCGAGCAGAGACAAAGGGGAAAGCTGTGCGATAGACACGGTAATGAGAGATCGACTTGACAGCCGGGATATACCTCCTTGAAATGTCAGCCAGAGAGCACACTGATGCCATCGGAACTCCCAGCTACATCGGGAGAAGGGATGCGTAGTCCTGTGTGTCTGGTCTCTGTCGAAATGGTGGGGTCGTTGGAACCTTGAAAGGTGGGACTGCATAGATACCGAAACGCGAACTTCACGCGCGCTCAGCCGGCGAGTTTCGGCCGAGAGATAAGAACGATCTCCAGCCCATCACCGTTTATACCGAGACATATCCCCCTGCGCCGACCGTAGCCCTGCTTTCCAGCGAGTTTCGTCAGTAGCAACGGCGACATCTCGCATCCGCAGACTGCGAGGTTGAACCGCTACTGCTCCGCATCTCTTGCGATGCCGCGGACAAAGTACAAAGCGGCATCTAGATTGCTCGGATGCAAGCCCACTTGACCTTTGAATTTGCCATCGCTGGCACTACTCCTGAGATGTGTTGTAGGTGTGTCGTGCGAGCCCACACTTCTGCCTCAATATGCTTTTTCCTATGTGTAGATCGGAAGCTGAGATCTAGCAACAGCCCTATGGATAGGTGTCCACGGGTAGAAGCAATCCTCCACCATCGTGAACATGCCTCAAACAGTCACATTGTCAGCCGTGTAGTTCATATCGATCCTTCCGCAATCCCGAATTGAAGCTATTCGGAGGCTCTCCTGATAGGGATTTAGCGTACGCGCTGTTGGACCCCCAGCCCCAGGCCTCGATTTACGTACATTCTTGCTGGTTTGGGTCAAACAATCAGACGCTAGTGGAGACCCACGCCCAAAGACTACGCTACGGGCTTCTCGGCGAAGCTTCGTGAGTATCAAACGGGTAAGCAGCTGGCAGAGCTCCCCTGGCGCGTATTGAAGCTGGTTCGCGCCATTGGACGCGACCCCGCACTATCAGCGATGCGAAGTAATTCCAAACATGACCGTCACACCCGCAGACGGCCACGAACCACTTGTCTGTGTGGGAATGTGGCATCACCAAGTGGGGACGGCCGACATCGTCAGCCTGATGACCCAGGGACCAGAGTCTCAATAGAGTATGAGAGAAATCTGCGGGTACTCGGCGGTTTATAAAAGCCCCTCACGAACCCCTCAATTGCTCTCACACCAACATCCTCTTGTGCATCCGGTCTTACTACCGACTTCTCTACTATACATCGACGTCACTTCGGCCCGCAAAAGGTATACCGACCCACGCACCCCTCACTTCCCCCCTGCTGGGACGATAGGCTGACATCCTTGCGTCAGGAATACGTACCATTCGTTGTACCTTTGCCGGTTTCTACTATATATCTCTCCTTCGGAGCCTCAATTGTTCTCTTGTCAGTTCAATAAGTCAAAATGGTATTTCTCCGCTCAGCTTCTCGCCTTGCGCGCCCTGCCTCCTCCCTCCTCAGCGCACGCGCCGGACCACGATTGACTTCGTCGCTCCGACAACCAAATGCATTCAGAACGCTGACCGCGACGGCTTCACAACAGGGAAAAGTTCTTCTCGTCCTCTACGATGTAAGTGACCATTGAGTTCCGATGGCGCATCCGACACATCTAACATACGCGTTAGGGTGGCATCCACGCCGAGCAGGAGCCTCAGCTTCTCGGAACCACCGAGAACGAGCTAGGTATCAGGAAGTGGATTGAAGAGCAAGGCCACGAGCTCGTCACCACCTCCAACAAGGAGGGTGAGAACTCCGAGTTCGACAAGCACCTTGTCGACGCAGAGGTCATCATCACGACACCGTACGTCAAGCCTACCCCGCAATGCCGCTAAGGGCCCCACAAGCACGCGTCAAGCCTCAAGCGGAAGCGCTAACGCTGCCAACACCATCCGAGCGAACATCAGCTAACAGATCGCGATCTACAGTTTCCACCCAGGTTACCTTACCGCCGAGCGTCTGGCCAAGGCTAAGAACCTGAAGCTTGCCGTTACTGCTGGTATTGGATCTGACCACGTCGACCTCAATGCCGCGAACAAGACCAACGGCGGCATCACCGTCGCCGAGGTTACTGGCTCCAACGTCGTCTCCGTCGCCGAGCACGTCGTCATGACCATCCTGACCCTCGTCCGCAACTTCGTCCCCGCCCACGAGCAGATCGCCAAGGGTGAGTGGAACGTCGCTGAGGTCGCCAAGAACGAGTACGATCTCGAGAACAAGGTTGTCGGTACCGTCGCTGTTGGCCGTATCGGTGAGCGTGTGCTCCGCCGTCTCAAGCCCTTCGACTGCAAGGAGCTCCTTTACTTCGACTACCAGCCTCTGTCCCCCGAGAAGGAGAAGGAGATTGGCTGCCGTCGTGTTGAGAACCTCGAGGAGATGTTGGCTCAGTGCGATGTTGTCACCATCAACTGCCCTCTCCACGAGAAGACCCGCGGTCTCTTCAACAAGGACCTCATCTCCAAGATGAAGAAGGGCTCATGGTTGGTTAACACCGCCCGTGGTGCCATTGTCGTCAAGGAGGACGTTGCCCAGGCTCTCAAGGACGGCCACCTCCGTGGATACGGTGGTGATGTCTGGTTCCCCCAGCCCGCACCCAAGGACCACCCGCTCCGCTACGCCCAGAACCCATGGGGCGGCGGCAATGCCATGGTTCCCCACATGTCCGGTACCTCGATCGATGCCCAGAAGGTGAGTTTTACAGCCAAGAACATGTATGTTTTGAGTAGCAGTACTAACATAAATTACAGCGCTACGCCGACGGCACCAAGGCTATCCTCGACGAGTACTTCTCCGGCCGCGAGAACTACAGGCCCGAGGACTTGATTGTAAGAGCTCTCCCTGTACAGACTGCATATGGGACATGCACTGACTTTGCACTTAGGTCCACAAGGGAGACTACGCCACCAAGGCGTACGGTCAGCGCAAGTAGAAGAAGCAGCCTTCTTTCTCAACTTGGTGTCCTTTTTGAGCGATTTCGCACGAATTTCCTTGGTACTTGTTGGGCGCTGGATGGGTATTCCCGCCTACCTATGTATATGAATATATCCCACTTGAACTCCAATTCCCAATATCCTGAAGTCTAAATTACGCCGGTGATGTGATGCATACGCAAGTGATCAAATTGAAGGTAAACGATGTGAAGGGTATTATGCAGATCATCGGTGTCGCGATAGGGACCGCCGCCTCTCGTCTTCGTGCTCATCCTCGCTGTCATCCTTGAAGCCTTCCTCTAGCTCACGCCCCAAGCGCCTCTCTTCCTCCATTATGCTCCTGCGTTGCTCTAGTGCTTCCCTTCTCCGCTCGTCGATGGGGTCAAAGCCAACCATGCCCTCTCCCTCCTCGTCGTCAAACAAATCGTCGTCATGCTGCCCGCTCCCATCTACAAGACCTCTCTGTCTGACCCAGGTGGAGGGCGCGAAGAGGTTGTAGAGAGCATCGGAGAGATTGGTCCGCCAAGATGTAGGGAAGTCGGTCACAGTCGCGGGCATGGGCAGGTACTGGCTATAACGGCTTCGATGGCGGCGTACAAAGGGCAGGATGATGAAGGCTAGGAGGACATAGAGAATGGCAGCGAGGAACAGCGGTACGAGGATGGTCTGTCGGGGCATCGTCAGCCTCCACATGGGGTATTGGGGGTGTGTGCTCTGGGGGTCGCATCAAGACCCACTGTTGCGCTCACCGCCCGCAAGCTTCATGTACGTGACAGCTGTCAATCACTCACTTTGAGGAAATGGGTAAAGCCGGCCATGGCTGTGGATGCATGTGCTAGTGAGGGTGCGTGAACTGGCGGAGCGCGTCGTTTTGATCGCCTAGGGCTGACGCGAGGCTGGGGGCTGGGGCTACGGGCAGCACGGGCAGCACAGGCAGTGTGGGTAGCAGGTGGTGGTGTTGAGACGCACTGCGCCAGACGTGTCGGGACTCTCGGTGTCGTGCCTGCTGCGCCACAAGACAAGAAGTTAGTCAGGAGGAGACGTGGTGAGGGCGCGGCTACGAGCGAGTTCATGGGCTGGCAGATGGCGCCACTACACGGACGTGCGCACGTCTCAGGAGAACGTCGGAGCCAATGCGGACGCGGCTGAGACGAGTTCGCATGCTGGGAAGCCCGCTCTGGTGGCCCTGTCTGGCTGTAACGTCGAGACCTCTCGGTGACGGCTCAAGTGCAGCATGGCCGTGTCCTGTCTCCTGCTATACCTCTCCCTGGGATACTGACCGGCGGCAGTCACACGGGCGGCGCTAGTTAATCAGCAACTTCCCGCAACTCACCTGCAGCCGCATTGTGCAGCACCACCGCGCTCTCCAGGAATTGCTTCTACTCCCTCCAGACTCACCACCCCCAGCCCCGCACGCCCGTTTCAAGAGTAGAGATAGCCGTTGGCAATTTCGCCCTCGCCCACGCCCGCCGTCACTGCGAAGCGAGACGGCGCTGCTTCAGGAAGGAGGGGAACGGGGGACACGTCGGGCGGCGCGCTCCCAGGGCGGCAGCATTGGGCATAGACTCTCGTTATAGGCATGGACAGCAAGGGTCGGCAATCTTCCGCCGGCAAGTTCTTCGGACGACGCCTGCACAAAGACAAGGACAAGCACGCCAGCGACGCGAAGCACACCACCACCTCCTCGACCGACAGCCCCCCGGGCAGCTCTCATGGCTCGCTCTCGTCACGCCATTCACACAGACACTCCATCGGCGGCGCTTCGATAGACCAGCGGCCCGTGTCCATGACCGCCGAGGGCATCTTCGCGCGAGCTGGCCCCGTATCATCCATCGACCCCCCGCGCGACGACGCCTCCAAGACCGGCGAACCGCTGCCACACCATCTCAACAAGGGCGGCGGCGACTTCCATCAGTACCCCGTTTTCAACGCCTCCCCAATGCCCCAGAACGGCTACTCCAACCCCGGGCCGCCGCGCCCACCGCCGCACTCGCTCGGCACCACCATCGCCTCGAGCAACCCCGGCGACCGCGGTGTGTCGATGCAGCAGTGGGGTGCCCGTGGCAGCAGCAGAGATGGCAACTACTCCTACTATGCCGGCACCGACTCGTCCAACAACACGCGCACCTCGTCGGACCAGGCGAGCATCTACAGCAACGACTCCAAGACGCGCGGCAGCAACATCTTCTACCCCCAGAACCCATCCCAGACAACCATCTCCTCCATAGGCCTCGATGCCGGCAGTCTCCTCCCCACCGCCGTATCTACGCCACGCGACTCGCACCGCCATCTGCTGCACATGAACTCCTCGTCGCCGTCCGCGTCGCAGACCTCGTTCAACCAAAATACGCTTAGCATACAAAGACCGCCAGACCATGTCGTGGAAAAAGAGTTTATGAACCTCATGGTGAAGCGAGGATGGAAGAGCTTACCAGAGCAGGCGAGGCGGCAGATGGAGGCCTACAAGATCGACAAGAAGTGGACGCTCGTCTACCAGGACAAGCTTGCCGAGTTCAAGCACGAAGAAAAGAAGCGTCAGACGCAGCGGATAACCTACGGCGGCCCCGGTGGAGGTGGCCAGGACATCCTCATGCGCGCAGAAGAGGAGGGCTCGCCCGAGTGGTATGTCAAGAAGGTCATGGACAACTCGATATCTATAAAACAGATGTCGAGTCTGGAGATCAGTCTGAGAACGCAGCCTATTGCTTGGGTCAGGGGCTTCATCGAGGCGCAGGGTCAGATTGCCCTCACGAATGTATTGGCCAAGATCAACCGCAGAAAGGGAACGGGGCCTGCACCTCCGCCCAGCGTCATGGCGCAAAAGGCGGAAAATGATGTGGAACGCGAATACGAAATCATCAAGTGCTTAAAGGCATTGATGAACAACAAGTACGGTGCCGACAACGCTCTCAACCATCCGTCCATCATACAGGCGTTGTGTGGCTCTTTGATCTCTTCGCGCCTCAACACACGAAAACTTGTCTCAGATGTCTTGACCTTTTTGTGCCATTGGGGCAACGGAAGTGGACATGAGAAAGTACTGCAGGCACTTGACAACCTCAAATCACAATACGGTGAAAGCAGTCGATTCGATGCATGGATGCGCATCGTCGAAGTCACGGTCGATGGCCGTGGTAAGATGGGCTCCATGGTTGGCGCTTCAGACGAAGTGCGTAGTGGAGGTATCGGCGTAGAGAACCTCCTCATGGAATATGCCATTGCAACCCTCTTCCTGATCAATATGGTTGTGGATGCCCCTGAACGCGACCTGCAGCTCAGGATGCATGTACGAGCCCAGTTCACAGCATGTGGCATCAAGCGCATCTTCAACAAGATGGAAGGCTTCCAGTACGATGTCATCGACAAGCAGATTGAGCACTACCTGGACAACGAAGCTGTTGACTATGAGGATTTCCTTCAGAAGGAGAACAGCTCCATGATCGACAGCGTTGAAGGCGAGACCAAGGATCTCAACGACCCCGTTCAGATAGCAGATGCCATCATGAGCAAGATTAATGGCAGCCGCGCCCAAGACTACTTCACGTCGGCCATGCAACACTTGCTACTGATGCGCGACACTGAAAGCGAGGATCGATTGCGAATGTTCCAATTGGTCGACCAAATGCTGAGCTACGTGGCTATGGACCGCCGACTGCCAGACATGGACCTCAAGCAAAGTCTGAATTTCACTGTACAGTCTCTGCTTGACAAACTCTACACAGATTCCGAGGCTCGGCAGGTACGCGATGAAGCAGTCGAAGCGCGACAGATTGCAGACTCGGCCATTGCGGAACGCGATGAGATGAAAGCGCAGCTAGAGCTGGGTGCAGATGGCTTAGTTTCTAAGCTGCAGAAACAGCTAGCAGAGCAAGAACGTATCATCGAGCTCCGTGGAAGGCAGGTAGAGCAGATGAAGTCAGAACTCGCAGAAATGCAGAGAATACGAGCTCAAGAGCTGCAACGTAACGAACTCGAGACGCGTGAACTATACTTGATGCTTAGAGATGCTCAAGATGTCGCAGCGTCAGCAGCGAAGAAGTCCGGCAAAGATGGACTCGGTGCCACGGATCCTGCTCAAATGCAGGGCATCATGGACCGCGAAAGGCTCATGAACAGACTGGAGATCCAACTGCAGCGAGCCAGGACACAGGCGACGCTCGAAGGCAAGACCCTACAGATGCAGCCCAGTGAGAAGCTCCGCGAACTGCGAGAGAAGATGGAGGGCGATATGCCTGGTATGACTGAACAAGGCTATGGCGGCCTCGAATCGAGCTCCTTCGGATCAGTCCGGGCCAAGAGTGGTGTCCCACGCAGAAAGCCCCTCCCTGGTCTTCCTGGTCAGATTGGTGAGGATACTGAGATGTCAGAGATGGATGATGATGATGTTGTCATCGAGAAGCCCCGTCTCGTACAGATGCACAAGCCAAAGCTCAGTTCTTCGACAGCCAATGCTCTCATGGCAGATATCACTTCGAACGTCAAGCGATACGACGACTCTGATGCGGAAGGTGATGGCGTTACTACAGGACCATCACATCCCAGCCTCGAATCCGACTCACCAAAGACACCCGCTGATGGTGAAGCACCCAAAGCCGCTGTACCCCCACCTCCACCTCCACCCCCGCCTCCAGGCGCTCTTGGATTTTCTGCCAACATACCACCTCCGCCACCTATGCCTGGAACTGCTGGTCCCCCGCCCCCGCCACCACCGCCGCCACCACCTGGCAAACTTGGTTTCAAGCCTGGAATTCCTGCTCCGCCCCCCATGCCTGGAGATGGCAGCATGCCACCTCCGCCACCGCCGCCACCAATGCCAGGTGCCAAACGTCCTGGATTCATGCCTAAAGCACCTGGGTTCGGCGCTGCACAACAGTTTGCTCTCTCTGGACCGCGGCCCAAGAAGAAGCTCAAGGCTCTTCATTGGGACAAGGTCGACCAGCCCACTACCACTGTTTGGGCTACACGTGGTCTAACTTCGGAAGAAAAGGAGGAGAAGTACCAGGAGTTGGCTAGGAAGGGTGTACTAGAGGAAGTCGAGAAGCTGTTCTTGGCAAAGGAGATCAAGGCGATCGGCAAGAAATCTGGCAAGAAGGATGACAAGAAGCAGATCATCTCTCGTGACCTCATGCACAACTTCCAGATCAGCATGGCCAAGTTCTCATCGTACGGAGTTGAGGATATCGTAAGAATGATCATCCACTGCGACACCAAGATCCTGGACGACCCTGTCACTATGGAGTTCCTGCAAAAGAACGACTTCTGCGACATCCCTGACAATACCGCCAAGCTCATGGCACCATACTCGAAGGACTGGACTGGACCTAATGCTAGCGAAAGCAAACGCGAACAGGACCCGAACGAACTTACAAGAGAAGATCAAATATATCTTCTTACTGCTTACGAGCTGCACCATTACTGGAAGAGCAGGATGAGGGCGCTCGCGTTGACTCGTACGTACGAAACCGAGTACGATGAGATTTCGAACAAGCTGTTGGAAATCTCAAGGGTTTCCGAGAGTCTGCGCGATTCTTCAAGCTTGATCAGTGTTCTCGGTCTCATCTTGGACATTGGTAACTTCATGAACGACGCCAATAAGCAAGCCAGTGGTTTCAAGCTCTCCACGCTATCGCGTCTAGGTATGCTCAAGGATGACAGGAATGAATCCACATTCGCCGACGTTGTCGAAAGAATTGTGCGCAACCAATACTCTGGATGGGAAGGTTTCACCGACGAGATTGGCGGCGTCATAACAGCGCAGAAGATCAACGTTGAGCAACTGCAGACCGATGCCAAGAAGTACATCGACAACATCAAGAATGTCCAGATGTCGCTTGACTCTGGTAACCTGTCTGACCCAACCAAATTCCATCCAGAAGATAAGGTTGCCATTGTTGTGCAAAGGAACATGAAGGAGGCCAGAAGGAAGGCGGAGCAGATGCAGGTCTTCCTTGAGGATATGCAGAAGAGTTACGACGACATCATGGCGTTCTACGGCGAGGATCCAACTGACGACAGTGCGAGGAGGGATTTCTTCGCGAAGTTGGCCAACTTCGTTCAGGAATGGAAGGTCAGCCATTACCAGACCCTTATTTCAAATGTTTTGTTTGCTAACTCGGCTGTAGAAATCCAAAGAGAAGAATACCACACTCGAAGAACAACACCGCCGCAACGAGATTTCCATGCGTCGCAAACAAGCACAGACTGTGAACCCTCTCTCACCCAATGCCCTGTCTTCAGACTCCGACGCGCCCAAATCTCCAGCTTCCACCGGCGCCATGGACGACTTGCTCCAGAAGCTGCGTGCTGCAAAGCCCGAAGCAAGAGACCAACGCGATCGCCGTCGTCGCGCTCGCTTAAAGGACAGGCACCAGGTACGCGTGGCTAGTGGCCAGAAGATTCCGGAAATTGGCGTCAACATGGAGGACGGGGGAGAGGGTGCCGAAGGAGAAGATGAGAAGAGCAAGCTGCTCAGCCCCGCAAGTGAGACTGCGGAGAGCGAGGCCAGTAGCACTGTTGGCCCTGCTGCTGGCGCTGTCGGTACCGCTGAAGCAGACATCGCAGATCGTGCAGCTGCCATGTTGGAAGGTCTACAGTCAGGCACTGGCTTGAACAAAGACGGTTCGCTTTCCGTTAGGCGAAGAAGAGAGAGCGCCGACACTGAAAGACAACGGAGGAGGAATCGACGCAATCAAGCTACTTCGGCCAAGAGCGAAGACGGGGGCATTCTAAGTCCCACGGCCATACCCGAAGAAGGCGATAGCATCGTCGACCAAGAAGGCGAGGAGTCAAGGGATCCGACAACACCAGTCACTGTCGTCCACCCACCAAGTCCAGAACAAAAGGGAAGGGACCTACCCACGCCACCGCCGGAGGAAGGTTAAGCAGTCCATGTTGATAGCAAAACACTGTCACCCTATGTTCAGTGGCTTGTGCTGCTACTACTGCCGTTGTGGAGAGAAAGAAAGGGGAAGAGACCAGTTGGTGATAATTTCGCGATAGTACATTTTCGACTTCGATACCCGATCGCCTTTTCTTTTTTACACGTCATGGTATTTATAAAGTTTTTAACTTTACTTTTGGCTTTACCTTGCCAATCGTTTCTCATTTGTTTGTATTGTACCACAATCTGGAGGGTCTTAATGCATCGCTTGCGCAGTGTGATGTCGCTGGCGTCTTTTTCGTTGTGTTGGATGGTGAATAGGCATGTTTGGATGAGAGTACGGAAGGCCGGATGGATGGGGTTATGGGTTAGATATCCTTAGGGGAGAAACGGTAAGGTATAAGAATTATGTCGACAGATTACATGCTCATTCATCTTTACGTTTTTGTTCTTGCGTCAGTTGCAAAGACTTATTGCATTGATCTTATTTTTCCAGTGCCAATGAAGTGATAAATTCGTGTAGAGTTTTTCCATTATTACTAACACAAAAGTCATGGAGCGTACTACCAGACACCTTTCCCTTCGCTTAAGATAAGATATGACATAAACAAGAAAACATGACTAGCATGTGCCATCAATGAGAGTCGTGAAGTTCCAGCAGGAGATGATGGATAAAGAGATATCGTAACGCCCGAAAATGCCCAGACCATGCATGACGCCCACTCTACCATTTGAGGCGGTCGAAGAGGTTGCTGCTCTTCACATCCCTCTTCTTGCTGCCACCAGGTAGTGCACTGGTGCAGTCGATCAAGTTCGTGTCCTCAACACCGAGCATGCTCATCTTGACCATTGCACCTACGAAGGCCGAATCCCACATGCCCTTGCTGGCGGCAAAGGTGGAGAAGGGGATGGCGGTGAGAGGGTTCTGTGCAATGTTCTTGTCAGACTCGAGCGTGAAGGGAGCCGAGCCACGTTTGGTCTCGGAGTAGTATTTGTTATCCCAGGTACCGACAGTAGAGTCGAGCGCGGCACCGGCTTTGGAAGGGTCTGTGACACGTTGTTTGGCAGCAGTGTGAGCACCGATGAGGGCAGCAAGGTCATAAGGGGAGAAGCCTTTTGATGCTAGAAACGGTGTTAGCTACGTGGATATGACAAGCTGGAAGATGAAGGCTTACCGAAGAGCTTGACTAAGTCTCCTCCTTTAGCGAAGCCGCTGGGTAGAACGCCGAGCGCGTTTGCCTCGCTGGAGTCCTTGCGACCAACTTTGACGGGAATGGTAGGTCCACCAGGGCATGTTTTGACTGCGTGTGCGGCAGCAAACTGGATGAGATCGGCAACACCGACTTTAGTTTGGGAGGCAACATTGGCGAGGTTGCCGCAAAGGCGTTCTAGGCCACGGTTCTCAGTGTTCGAGCACTCTTGTGCGAGGATGAGAGACCCATCACAAGCTCCGTTAAAGCAGTCGTGGAAAGAAGATCGGATAGCAGCACGGGCAGCATCTGTGCACTGCCCGTCTCCGAGGAATTGCTGAGTGAGGGTGGAAGAGATTTGAGTCCAGATGGCAGGACATTCCTGCGCAGGCTCCTTGTTACCACCGAAGAGGCCGCCAAACAGACCAAGGATCCTTCCTATGGTGCGCTTCTCCTGTACCGGTGCTGGCGGTGCTACGATCCACTCCTCTTCTCGGATGGTGTAATTGGAGTAGGCCTGGACTGTGCTGGCAGCCGCAAGACCAGAGATGAGAACGTTACGAATATACATTATGTATGTGAAGAGAAGATAGTAAACCTATCGAATGGAGGACTGATAGGATTATGAGAAGATAGGGCAGGCAAGATGTGCTAAGAAGCGAAAGAGCGAATGACTGTGTCGACCTGAGATGATAGTAGTAAGAGAGCGATGAACTTCTGTCTTTATACATTGCTACATGTTTCTGAAGACTGGTAAGAATAGTAGCCACGACTCATGCTTACGCTTAGCACGGCGTGAGCAGATGCCTCTCGAACCCTGATTCCCATGGGTAAGCGTTGGAGAGAGCGCTGGAATAGACGTGACAGGCCGCTAAGGCGATGGTGAGAAAGACCCACCGCTACTGTTTGGGAAGGACGGATAAACGCCACGACGTGACCGGTAGAATAGATCGTACTTGAAGCATGACAGGTAGTAGTGAACTTGCCAATGACCTTCGAACTTGGAGTGTAGCTTCAAGCAATCTAGCTCACGCGATACGCTGCATATACTCGGGCTCAGCCATTTACATTCCCACTAGTTAATGCAGTGTGGCATTCGCGTGGTGAATTAGCCTTAGAACGATGACAGTCGTGCAAGGATACCGGCACTGTATTTTCCCGAATCAAGTCGATAATGCTTTTCAATGGCGAATTTTCCGATGCGTTCTTAGTGGTATCGCATTAACAAACAGACCGTTGGTTTGGAAAGTGATACCCCCTTACGTCGAAACGAAAGTTTTCTAAAGAAAGATGTGGGGATGCTGTTTATTGTTTCAAGACGGCTTCAGACTAGCGAGCGTGGAGGAGCTGCAGTGCCGATAAACGAGGATCAACACGGCCCCGCAGTTTGGACCATGGACGCCGTACGTTTGAGGCGCATGGCAAGGCTTGAGCCTTACCGGGCGAGGGTTAGAGTATGGAAATGGTTTATCGTGGGCTAACCTTAGCGACTCGAAACCAGGCATCTGCAAAGCTAGTATGTGTCGCGCATGCTCGCTTCGCCTTCCCCACGCAAGTGTGCAACCAAATACTAACATGGCAGCAAACCCTACTGCAAGACCTCAAAAGAGGTATGCGGAAGATCGCGGCCACCGGGCGAGGCAGATGGCGAAATCTGTTGGTGTGCGCTCTACTGGGCTTCTTATGGAAGAGGGTCTTCGGTACTTCTCCGAAGCTCTAGTGCAGGGTCCTTTTCGTATCTTGTCAACTGTTACAGATGTGATTTGAATGCCCTAGCCAATGATCGTGAACGCAATCATCGGCTTCATGTTTGACGACGCAATAGCGCTGATAGTGTTGCGGACATGTATGTCGGAGACCCGAAAGTGGAAATCCCTATAAGCATAGTCCAAGAGGGCGGTCCCTTTAGCGAAACCTTTCTCGCCGAGTTGAACCCTTGCAATTTCATGACCCACCAACCTCGCGAACTCTACTGCGGATGCGACTGAAGCTCTCTGGACCGGTGCTGGATATCGTGGATGGAACGAAAAGCTTAGAGCCGTTGACCGAGATGGCGCAACCGACGTACCGCATATCCATTCGTTCGCGCTAATGGCAGCAGTGGGAATGTTGCCAGCACTATTGCCACGAGGTCGCGGACACAGAACGCGGTGTTTGAACGCCACTCAAGAATCCGCCCTCGTCGCACACAAGGCGAGACCGGCATCCACGCGCAATCTTCCATCACTGAGACGAATGCCACATCCTGTGCTTGGCTGTGCATTCCTCCCCGAGCCCTTTTGTATCACACTGCCGAATTGCTCAATCAGAATTCGGAACGAGCGAACAGGTGTCGTGACGGAGTTGGATGATATTGTCGGACAGCATAATCGTGATGCATTGCGACGCGCCTACGATACCGATGGGGTGGCATGTGTCTGTTATCGCAAGAAAGAGCGATGAGATGAGGGACGCAGCAAAAGCAGCAGCATCTCTGTGACGGCATTAGTGCTGACAATGCAAGCTATCGCAACACTCTTTCGTGGATGTCGACAAGCATGTAAGATTGCACAGTCAGACGAGGAAATTCCAACAAAATGTTTAGATCGCATCTCAACATCCTCCAAAGCCCTAGAGGTTCTCGCTACGCGAAGTCGCGTGACTTCGTGTCAACTGTGTAGGTGCGGCCCTCAATCATACCACAACACATCCAGGACCATCAATAGATACTACGAGCAATCAGACGCAGCGTCGTGCAAAAGGTAACGATACTGGATCAACTATGAGGGGGACTGTCGAACTGCAGGCACAACACGGCACTAGTGCTTTATGATGCACCTCCGTACATAAACTTGGGATTCAGTAGTAAGCAAACGGTATGACTATGGCCAGATTACCGATGAGCCGGCTTGGAAGCATCGTGACTGCCGCCCGTTGCCGGTGGTGTGCTAGGATGCTCCTGCAGGATCAAATTACTTACGAGCTGAAATCAATGTCCGTTCGGCGCCCGTGGGTCGCGTGACTTCGTTGGAAGAAACGTCCGTAAGGAGGAAGATAACAAGATGGCAAAGAGCGGGATTGAGACTGAACGGACAGCAAACGTAAGGAACGAGTGATATAGGGAGCGTTTCATAGAGATCTCATAACGACTGCCCCGCCTGGGACGAAGGTCTACCTGGCTTTCCTAAACAATCATGCAAAAGTCCATCCAAAACACCCTCGCAATGCACAGATACCATGCCTTGTACCAAAGAAAGCTGTCAAAACGCAAGTAACGCCAATCAAACCATGCCTGACTACATCCACTTCCCACCAAAAACACGTTTAATGTCCGCGAACTTGACCGGCTTAACGAGATACATGTCCACACCCGCCTCCTGTGCATCCTTTTGGTCCTGCGCACTTGCAAGCCCAGTGAGTGCCACGATATTCGACCTTGGTAATCCGTTTTTGCTCTCAAATTGACGAATGTGGCGTGTACTCGTCAGCCCGTCCATAACGGGCATACTCAAATCCATCAATATGAAGTCAAAAGGACGAGCTGGTGGGGAAGAGGATGTGGCTTCTGATTTGAACGTCTCGAATGCTTCGAAGCCGTTGGTCGCTTCGACGTAACGCAGATTTTGTCGCTTGGCGAAAACGACGAGCAGCTTCAAGTTGATGGCGTTATCGTCTACAAGGAGGACTCGTGGATTGAAGTATTCACCACCATCGCTTGGGGTGGGACTCAAAGGAGTCGTGGTGGTTGGGAAAGGGCGCGGTGGCGGTGGGGACGGGCCTCCAATTACATTGCTGGCTTGTCGCGTCGTGATATCTTGTGGAAACATGTCGCTGAGACTCCGCTGAGATAGAACGCGAGGCGGGGCGAGGGACTGGAATTCAGGCTGTACTAGAGAGGAGCTCATTGATCGACTAATAGATGGCTCATTGTTGTGTTGTGAGGCACGCTTCTGACAAGATAGAAGTGATCGGGCAAGCTTTCGAGGTCCACATCTATCGAAACTGTTAGTAAAGCGGCGCAAAGGGTTACTGCAAGAAACTTACGGCTGCGTAACTATTTCTATGAGCCAGCCAAGTGCCTCGACCTGCCTCGCGAGCTGGGTCTCCACGGCGGCCTTCTCCGACGTATCTGTGCAGACGCAAACCACTCCCAATGGTGACTTGTTAGCACGACTAGAGTTCGAGTTCTGCATTAACTGATAGAGAGAGGGGGAGTCAATGAGCAGGAAGTCGATATTGTTGACCGATATGTCAGTGCTCGAGCGCTTCGATGCAACAATCTTCATGTCAAAGTTCTTGCAAGCGTTTTCCATGGACTCTTTGGTCTTGAGTCCCCGTTCGCCACCTTGTGTGTCAGTCATGTCGCACACAATGGAGACAGACGTGCTCTTTAACTCCTGAGGTGCTCTAACGAGGGCAAGATCTTGCTGTGCGTTCTCCTTGGATCCAATTGGCAGACGTATGCCAATCTTGATGACAGTGCCGACGTTGTGGGTACTCCTCACTTCAATCTCGCCCTTCAAGGATTCTATGATTTGCTTGACGATTGAAAGACCCAATCCGGTACCAGAGCTGAAGGGATCCTCTTGGCTGAATGGGGAAAACAATTTCGTTCGCTGGTATTCCTGTGACATTCCTCTGCCGGAGTCTTCAACACTAAGAGACAAGTCTATGAAGTTGGCGGAGCTTTTGTGTTGTAGCATCTTGATCGCGATATAACCAGAATCCGTATACTTCAGCGCGTTTCCCAGCAAGTTCATAACGATACGTCGAAGGGCGCCGGGTTGTGATCGCACAATCCAGCTAACGTAGGGGGCTACGATCAAAGAGACGGCAACGGACCCATGGGTATCTCTACCTTCCACGTCGTTGTTGCCATTTTCGCCTTGCATTGAGCCATTCACAGCTTTGCTCTCAGCCTGATCATAGATGGCTGATCCTCGGACGTGATGAGTCTTCCTGAATGTATGACCGGCGCACACAGTGTCGCAGACCTCCTCGACCAATTGCGCTAGATCGAAGTCAGAGGTAACGCCAAGGATCGAATTGTCAGCAGGCTGTCTCTTGTTTCGCCCCAGGCTTCGCTTGTTCTGGCCAGTGGCCTTTTGCAGCTTGTTGATTTTTGCGTAATCAAGCACGTGGTCGATTGTGTCAAGCAGCGTTTTGCCACATGTCTCGATGGAAGAAACCAGAGACTCCTGATATGCCGATGCCACTGTTTCGCGTAGAAACTCTACAGAGCCGAGAATGCCATGAAGTGGCGAACGCAGCTCATGCGATATGGAAGCAATGAAGGTAGTCTTGGCACGGTCCGCCTTCTGCGCATTTAATCGAGCTACTTCACTGGTCACCGAATTGCCGAACGCTTGCAGATATGGCAGCTCGTTGTCTGGGCTCATCAGTCGTCCAGCTTGGGTCGTCCAGATGAAGCCACCAGCAATCCATCGTTCCGTGGCTGGGCACCAAAGTGGCAGGAATATTAGGCTTCTCACCTTGGGCAAGACTTTGAGGAATTCGGTCGGGATGAATCTTTCTCGCTTTTTGCGCGGCTTCTTAGTGTTAGCGGTAGATCCGTCCATTGTGCGGTCCGACTGCTCAGTCTCGGAGCGTTCTGACTTCTCGTCGGAAGAATTGACGCCGATACCATCCTCGTTGTAGTTGAAAAATTTTCCGTACGGGTACCGATGGATATAGCGTTCCATGGCAGCTTCGTTGAAGCTGAAGTCTGTGTGTACTAAGGCCGCGTTTCCTTCACGCAACGATAACCCTACAACAGGACAAGCCTTGCTATCAGCTCCACTTGCTTCGGGCGCTCCATCGGCAGTGATGGCAGTTTGTTTCTTAGGCCTCCTTGAAGCAGTCGAGTCGCCAGTGTCGGTATTGTGTGTCGCACTCTCGTCGCTACTAGCGGAGCTGCGGTTGTAGTCGTAGAGATGGGTTCTTATCCCAGCGGCCGAAGTGTCGAAGAAGACGACGCCGTCGGCCTCAGTGCTCTGACGAATTATGCGCGCGGCTCTATGGAAGATGCGGGCTGCGTCAGATTCAGCATCGCGCTTGCGCTGGGCCTGTCTAACAGGAAGAGACGTGTTGGAGCCTTCTTGCTCCTCTCCTTCGTCAAGGGCTACCAAGCGCGCGTTCTCAGTCTGTTTCTCCATGGTGGTAGGGCGGTTCCCATCCTCGCGGATATCTTGGACAGAGGAGCACTCGATGAACTGCGTCAAGCCGCGTACCATGCGCTCACCCTTGTTGCGGTCCACACTGTCTTTGGCCAGCTCGAGGTGTTCCATGACGGCAGCGGAAACATCCTGCATGAAGCGCAATTCGCCAGCACTGATGCCCTCCCGGGGCTTCTCGTCAGACACGGCATAGACGCCAATGCGATGACCGGCCTTGGTGACGATGGGTACGCCAGCATAGAACCTCACGCCCGGCTCGCCCTTGACATAGTCCTTGTCGGCAAACCTAGGGTCCAATCTGCAGTCAGGTATGACCATGCATTCGCCTGTGAGCGTGCTCCCATCTTCCTCTTTTGCAGTATACGTCGAGGTGAAGGTGTGGTAGCAGACAGCGTCGGTCTTGGTCAAGATGGCGTTGCCCAGCCACACCTCGTCCTCGGGCTCTTCGGCAACAGGCTTGAACAGCGAGAGAGTGCGTGTAGCCTCGGCAAGAATGTACTGGTGGTGCGAGTCGATCAGCGAGACCACTGAACATGGTGTACGGAGTTAGTGTATGTCTCACATGCAGTTCACACATGGACACTTACTGCAACGGCGAGTGTCTAGACGCAGTGTCGCCAACTGCGCAAAGGCAGTCAGGGAGCGGTCGCGCGACGTCTGAGGCTGGTAGCCCGAGTAGGTCAGGCCTTTGCCAGAACCGTCGGCCGCATCAACCAGGCTCTGTGCATCGAGCCATGGACGATAATATCTAGTGGATCCTTAGCTGCAGTCGAGGAGTGTGTATCGCTCGAGCCAAACCTGTGGAGATCGCGCTCACGTGCTGCTTCGGGCCACGAGTAGCCCATTGTTATCGTATAGTTGCAGGCAGGCTCAACATGTCCTTGCAGAGAGGCACGGCAAAGAATCTATGCCAGGGCAGAGGCACAACGGTGGGGTGTCTTTGACTGGCGGCGGCGACGGGGGCATGTCACGCTCCTCGTGGCTGCCGCTGTCTTCCCTTTTGAGTGCCTTGGTTAACTGCATCGGTGCTAGACGCCTCATATCCTGGCGCCGCGGACCACAGGCAAGTAACGCGTTCCTTTTTGGCCCGTGGCGCCCTGGGCATGGGAATGTGAGGACTATGCGATCGAGATGAGCCTGCGTTTATCAAAGCATGACGTGGGCATCGCTTCATTCGCTAGCCGACCTCCTAGCCACATGCTGGACAATTGCCGATCTCCCGCCCTGCAGCCGATGCCCAGCGCAACAAATCTTCGAGACAACAACTTCTTCGACAATTCCACGACGACGCCATGTTTGAAGTGCCGGATGCGAAGCGGTGGGTCGACTCGCTAGTGTCCCTGTTGTCCGCATACTGACCTTTAGGGTTAGGGTTCGCCGCGACGAGCTGCACTCTCCCACATCATCGCCGCGCTCCTCGCCGGATCCAGACCTCGAACAGCTCCTGCGGTCCAGAATACAAAACGAATTCACCTACACCATCGCCACCACCGACGATCATGTCGATGATACCAACGATATCGCGCAAAGCGACCAGGATGAGACAGAGTTGCGTCTCTTCGCTGCGCCCGCAAATGCCGCTCCACAGTCGCATAAGATCCGAATTTCATCTCCAGACGCCGATAGCGGAGAGCCAGGACTGGTTTTGAAGAAACCACGGAGCTATTATTTCGCCGACGAACCCACAAGCGAGGCCGAGGAAGAGTTCAGAGCGGCGGCCATAGAGGGAAGGAGCGTCCTGGAGCTGTCGCAGCAGCCATGGCCTGGTTGCGCCTTGCCGTGGAAGGTACGCAAGATATCACCGGCTGGCATGAGTAGAGAGGTGCTGGTTGGCCATCCTCCCATGCTGGTCCTTGTCCAAGACAAGGCAAACAAGCGCATAAGAAAGGGCAAGAAGTCCCGCATAGCCATTAGAAAGAAGTTACAGGAAGCAAAGGAGAAGGAAAGCGAAGCAGCACGTCTTGCACGGGAGAAGGAGGAAGCCAAGCGCGAGAAGAACACACGGAGGAATCGAGAGAAGAAGCTCAAGCAGAAGGCAAAGCAGCAGGCCAAGAGGGCAGCAGATGGCGCTCCTGAAAGCGCCGCAGATGGGATGGATGGTGTGGAAACTACGGCGACTGAGAGCCAACCTGTCGGTGGGGAGTCGACATGAGGCGCGTCAAGGACACCATCACTGTTTCGCCAGCCCCACAGTCAAAGCAGCATCAGATGCAATAGCACGCTGGTCGCAAGCAATAGCCACTCGATTGGACGGGTACCAGGATGGTGCGAGTGATGCACGTATTTCACTCGTAGCCACAAGGCTACCTTTACCTCTGTCTAATTCACGCTAGCAAACTACTGCAATCGTCGACTATATCTACTCTGTTTCTCACCGTTTCTACTTACTTGCCCTTCACGGCTTACTTGGACTGCCAAAATGGATCACAACCACGTCCGAGACAACATGAACTCCGACATGCCTTCAGGCTTCGATCAGCAGTACGTTCCCATAGATCCCAATCTTGAGGACAGGTTCGCTCCGTCCGCTCGAAACCACATGTACCAAGAATCAGCTCAGCATTACAACTATCAAGAACATCAACCGACTGGCTACAATGCGGTCATGCCCGATGCTGTGCCGTGTGATGCCTATTGTACAGGCTACGAAGGGCCGATGACACCTGCTAGTACAGCAGACCATCTTGAACCGCATGATGATCAGTTGCATAGCGTTTTCGAAGTCCCGGATGAACATGCCACCAACACCCAACAACAAGAAGGGACTGAGTATTCATCAGAGTTCTGGCGGACTTTGGTCAGTTTTGAGGTACCTGATTTCAGACAAACTTCTGTCGACAATATACCTGGCCTCCAAGCCCTACGCACGGCCTACCTCAGTCTCTATGGCCCCCAATCAACAGCCACAAACGCCACTCGCATGCAGTACGCCAAGGCCTTTGGTTTTGCCCTGCTCACGCACTATCACCCGGCTTCGCAAGGCTACACTGTGGTGCCGACTTCACCCGGACCCATGTCAAAAACAGGGATGAACTTTTTCCTGGCTGCCGACGACGAGTCAGACATCTGGAAGGATATGGGCAAGAAGAAGGCCAGCAGCACCAACAAGGCCAATCGACGGCGAGCGCCGACAAAAAGAGATCTTGAAAGGGCCAAAAGGGCAGAACAAGTTGCCAAGGTAGCAGAGTACAACCATGGATTTGCATACATGGCGAATCTGCAATGGGACTATATCCCGCCTCAGGACATCGCCGCTTTCGTGGTCATGTGTAAATTAGAAGTCAGAAATGAGAACGCTGGCATAGTGACATACGAACAGCACCCACACACCTACCTCATCATTATGGTTGACAACTTCGATCAAGTCCCACGCGTCTCAAGGGAAAACACAGTCCATCGCAGTGACATTCTAGCGGACGCGCTATGCCGAGGCGGCAAGGTCCGGAACGGTCACGGCATGCTTCTCTATGGGCCCCGGCTTGAGTGCTACACCTTCGACCGTGGAAACGAGTGGGTTTGCCCTGATAGCGATGACGAAGAAGATGAGCAAGAACCTCAGGATATTGAACCTAAGATGGAGGTGCTACAATCTGGCGGTCAAAATATCGATTTCGATATGCGTGCCACGAGCTTGGAAATAGTCGACGTGGCCTTTAGGGACATGGCTGTGAGGCAGGTGGTGTACATGTCTGAACCAATCCTCGATGCAGAAGAGGCTGTAGGTTTTGTAAAGATTGATGAAGAGATGGACGAGCAAGGACACTGCAGTGGCTTGAGAGGCGAAAAATTCATCTAGCTGACTAACCCTGGCGATTGCTCTCCCAAGGTAAACAAAACGTTGCCCTATATCACGATCAATGATCCTTCTCCTACATACCATCTTCATGCTGATGGGAGAGTCGCGCTTGGATGATTGTAAGCGCCCAATAGCCGACAAGCCATATCTTGCTCGCGGACAGTACTCCGATACCTGCCACAACGCGGGCTACGGGACCGTCCGTTCGCTAACCAGCATACCGGTCGATCGGGCTCAAATAAGAAAGGGCCGAAAGGGTGAAATGCAAGGAGGTAGTTATTGTAACTTTGCAGTTTATGGGATGCTGAAACCTGATCATACTTTGCTGCTGGATTTGGTAGTCCCATACCGAAATGTAAAGTAAGCGTAAATTTCGCTTCGTAACTACTTCGACCCACTATCAATCCTGTTCATAGCCTCATAAGCCTCTTTCGCAATGCCTTTCACTTCCTCCGTTAAACCTTCCAATTCAGCAAGTTCTCCGAACCTCTTCTTCCAAAGCGCCCATCGTTTCTTACTAAACTCTGGTTTTCCGTGCCACAGCGGTCCACCGCTACCAGGATTGCCCTGCGTTGCTCTTTTGGGGGTGAGATCGTATTCCCTTTCATAAACCTGCCTCCCCGCGGCGAAGATCCACACTGCGGCAGAAGGGATCGTAGCGTTGTATTTCTGTATCGCTGTACCTGGGTGATGAGCTCCATTCGGCACATCATCCTCATGTGGGGTCTCGAGTGCACTACGCATCTCCCAGATACAGTAGATCCAGAAGTTACTAACTTTCTCAACCGTCAGGAGAGCGTAGAAATAGAGCATGTTGGCGTAGGCATGTACTTCGGGAAGAAGGTATCCGGAGCCACAGCCGGGGGAGTCGTTCATGGTCTCGCGGGCATCCCAGCCAAAGCCGCGTAGACATGTGTATATTTCTGGGTCTTTGGCTGTTGGAGGTGGAAAGCTGGATTTTATAGCCTTCATAAGAACGACGAGTTTGTTGAGACCGACAGTGTCTCGGAAAGGGAGCCGTTTTGCTGAGTGGATTATTGAGATCCAGAGATTCCCGAAGTTCAGGTCTTTCCTGTTCTGTAGAATAGCGTCGTTGATGGGTGTAAGGAGTTTCTTTGCGACGTATTCTGCCTTTGTATTGCTGCTCATGTAGTCTTGCACGATTGGATAGGATTTACCATCTCCGTCCAAGGCTGGTGCAAAGCATCTTCGATTTTTCATAATGATGTCGATCTGGGTAGCTTCATCTTGCACGTTGGTGATAGCGTTGATAATCTCGCGCTCTCGAGCTTCCTCTTTCTGCTCTCGGGCCTGTCTTTGTTCTTCTGGTGACATCCTTATTCGAGATCTTTTTTGGGAGGGAATCGGGGTTTTCTATATGTCGGAAGCGGCGATATCATTCAGGAGACATATAATTTAGAAGTTGAAGTACGCCCTTCAGCCCTTCAGGATGCCGTTTCCAGGTGCTAGCTTGTGGCGATATGCACATACGTGCGTATGCAGTGGAGATCTGCCATGAGATTTTTCGAATACTGCCCCGCCGTGTTCAAGGTTAGTGGAGGTGAGTAAGCTATATTAGTTTCGGCCCAGGGTGTTGTTATTGCTTGTATGGCAGCCCAGAAGCTACACACAAATGATGAGAAAGTCTTACTTCAACCCGTATTTCATAATTGAGTAGAAGTATAGTTTCACGATGTTTCAAGATGCAGGACGACGCTCGGGTACATTGCTTTACATGAAGCGGTCGGTCAGCGTGCATAATTTCCCCTGTCGAAACTCGGCCTGCAAATGTCTAGTGCACGAGTGAGAGCCCGTTGGTAGACGCGTCTGTAGTTTTGACAAATATTGCGCATGTTAACATGAAGACAAAGCATCACGTATAGTAGAGGAGCGTATCGGGTGTGGTGAAGAAACGTTCGTGGGTTTGGGTGGTTGGTAACTCCAGGGTCCTCGCTCCCAAACGCCGAGTAAATTGGAAACAGCGACCCGACCGCGACCCGACTGCCTCGCACCACCACTAATCACCAACACCCATACGCCTGCATAAAGGCCTTGAACACTCACACCGGTCGCCAAAACATACGATTTGGGACAACGACATAACTATGTCGTCCTATCTTAATAATCTCCTCACAAATACAACATCGCGCTACAACAACCTCCGACGGCAGATCCTATCCGACGAAGCAGACGGCGATACAGAAGACGACTCGCATCTTTCCAGAGTTCTTCGCGCGTATTACACGGAGAAAGGAAGACCGTTTCCACAATGGCTTCCACCGGACCCAAAGGCGCCGCAGCCTGCGCCCGCCCAGTTTGCATCTTCTCAGTTCGCGTCTTCTAGACAGCAGGCACAGGCACAGCCAGCGGGCAGAGGAGGAGGACTGAGCGATCTATGGGACAACCCTGCGCCGCAACAACCACCGCAAGAGCCTCAGTCACTTCGACGAGGAGCAGGAGGACGGGGTGGAGCAGCGCGCCCACTACAAAGTCGGCCCATGGGCAATTCGTTGACACCAGAGCCTCAAATACAAGGGAGGCCACTACCCAGTCAGAGAGCAGGGAGCTATCAAAGCTCGTTGGGAGGGCGTCCACAGACAGAAGCCTCACCACCACCAAGTGCAGGGGCAGGATCAGGTACATCGGCACAGGAAAGGCTCAAGGCCAGGTTATGGGGACGATCACATAGTCCTGCCCCACGTGGCCTGTCTTCAGAGTCCGCCAACTCACAGTCGGCACAGGGTGGACGCCCATCCTATCCTGACGATCGAAGCAACAGCTATGGAAGCACTGGCAGTGCTGGTGGGAGACAGCAGGGCTCCTTTGGCGGCATGTCTTCGAATTCTCCATGGAGCGGGAACGACGACCCTTACGCGCCACAGAATGGAGGATACGGCGGTGGCGCACCTCCACCGCAACGCGGGCCACAAGGTGGACGTATGGGCCTGCCGAGCGGACCGCGCATGCGTTGATCATGTTCTTATTGCATTCAGCACGGCGCAACGGAGTTGTGTCTTGGTCGTTACTGGGTAGGCAGCATCGGTTTTGTAGACTTGACAGCATGGCGCCCGTCACATAACAGATGAGCCCTTAATATAAATACAACCCACTCACAGTTGCCTCGAAATCTCATGTATGTCCAGAGTTGCTTTACCCACATGTCGCAGCTAGAGCACATTACTTGATTCGATAGAGGGGCGACGCGTTCCCCGCGTGGCGTGTTGCACCGCCACAGCGCGTCATCATCGAGCATCAATCACCTGGGCACTCGCACCTACAACATCTGAAGCGCCAAACACCTACGCGCATGTTTTCTGCCCTATACCTATATTGCTCGTGAATATTCTCTGCATATGATATCTGACTGTCTTGCTTTGACCTCATCATTAAACCTCAACACCGCGTCTGTAGGACGCCGCCTAGCCCCGCATGACTTCCTCGGCCCCTGGACCGCCATCGCCGTCGGCCAGCTTCTACGACTTGAGTGACGATGAAGAGGGCGAATACAACACGATCCGACATACTAGCAGTGGGAAGGGTGTGAAGCTGTTATACACAAAGAGCAAAGTATGTATAACCTACTTTGACGCGACACCATGCAGTCAACCTAACATGTGCAGGTATACGTACATCCCTCGCCTTCCTCAAAGGACAACATCCCAGGCTTTGTCGCTCTAGTGCAGCAGAAGTCCAACCGAACCGCCGGTGATGCGCGTCCAACCTCATCCTCGTCCGCTCGAAGCGTGAACGCGTCATCGCTGCTCCTCGCTTGGATACCAGAGTCAAACCTCGGCGATGCATACGATACATACGTAAAAGTTGACCTGTCCGACTCGTCGTCACCACCAAGGCAGTCATACCTTGTGCCTCCGCCTCCCACACCATCCACTCACGCCGGAACTCCCGGCTATGCATTCGCGCTGCCTGTCAGCGAGATATACTCCGTCCTCATACGGCCACCGAGCATCGGGTGGTGGTTTGGAAGCGTCGTCATCAACACTCGGGCTGGTGACAGCTTTCCTGCGCTCTTCTTCCACGATAGCGAGTGTCAGTCTACCATCATGCAGCGGAAGAAGTTGGCCAAGGAAAGCTTCGATCCGTTTGGCGATGGCGGAGGCATGTTCTGGGGCGGCGACGAGGTACTGAGATGGCTGAAGAGATACGTCACAGTTGAACGTTCTGGAGCCGATCCGAGCATATACCTTATCGACCCTTCAGAAGACGACAAGAAATCCTTTGGCAAAGACGTCGCACCAAGGAAGAGCACCGAAGGCAAGACAGACGCGTCGTCTTCACAGCAGACTGGCAAACGAGACGGTGGAATGGATCCGGTCACAAAGGCACTCAAGGAAGCTAGATGGAACTTCCTCGAAAAGCTCAGCCAAGTCACAACGTTCACGCGGAGGACTGCCCAGGCCGTGGCAGACAACCCCAAGATCCCTCCTCAGGTTAGGCGCCTGATACAGAACCCCGAGGTACAGACGTTGCAAGAGGAGTTTGACAGCGCACGGCTATATCTCGCAAGATGGGCTATGGGCATTGCGGAACAAAGCGAGCGTGAGCGAAACCAGCGAATCTGGACAGCGAAAGATGTTCTGGCCATGGAAGAAAGTGATGTTGGTGACTTTGAGATTCTTGATATGGACAAGATGACCATGGCCGACAGAAGACAACCAGTCACTTTGACCGAGTGGAAAGGCTTCTTCGATCCCAAGGGACGGCTCCAACTGACGCCAGACGAGGTCAAAGACCGAATCTTCCACGGAGGCCTAGATCCTGATGACGGCGTAAGAAAGGAGGCATGGCTGTTCCTTCTCGGAGTATACGAATGGGATAGCTCAGATGAAGAGCGACGCGCGAACGTCAACAGTCGGCGAGATGAATACATTCGACTCAAGGGTGCTTGGTGGGAGCGCATGGTTGAGGGAAACCAGAACGAAGAGCAAGAAGAGTGGTGGAGAGAACAGAAGAACAGGATAGGTATGTCCCCTTGCGCGTTACACGCTTGCCTGGAAGTTGGCTGACTTGTCCCATTCTATGGGGTCCGTTGTGTAGAGAAAGATGTACATCGCACAGACCGCAATATCCCAATCTTCGCCGGCGAGGACATTCCTCATCCCGATCCCGACTCGCCTTTCGCGGACGTGGGCACCAATGTTCATCTGGAGCAGATGAAGGATATGTTACTGACATACAACGAGTACAATAAGGACCTTGGCTACGTTCAGGGTATGAGCGACCTGCTTGCGCCCATCTACGCAGTCATGCAGGATGACGCCGTCGCATTCTGGGGCTTTGTTGGATTCATGGAGCGTATGGTATGTTCCAAGATGGACGAAATTTCAGTCTAGACATAGCAGTTAACATGCATACAGGAGCGCAACTTTCTACGAGACCAGTCGGGCATGCGCAAGCAGCTCATGACTCTCGATCACCTCGTACAGCTCATGGACCCCAAGTTGTATCTTCATCTTCAGTCTGCCGAGTCAACAAACTTCTTTTTCTTCTTCCGCATGTTGCTTGTATGGTACAAGCGCGAGTTTGAATGGGCAGATGTACTGCGGTTGTGGGAATCGCTCTGGACCGATTACCAGAGCAGCAATTTCCACATCTTCATTGCACTAGCTATTCTGGAAAAGCACCGAGATGTCATCATGGCACATCTACAGCACTTTGACGAGGTGCTCAAGTATGGTAAGCTACGAAATCAAACGATCTATATTGGCTGTGAATGATGCTAACACCAATGTAGTCAACGAACTATCTGGTACTATGGATCTCGAATCAACGCTCGTTCGCGCAGAGTCACTTTTCAAAAGATTTCAACGAACGGTAGAGACGATCGACAAGAAGGGTAACTTCCCTTCTGCACCACAAGCGCGACAACGCAAGTTGGCTGCTGCAGTCGTGGCCGGTCCGGGACCCAATACGGTGGCAAATGCATCGAAATCGAAAGACCAGGCGGTGGCCTCGGGCACAGACAAAGGAAAACAGGTCGGCGAAGAGGAGCAGGAGGCGAGAGTCATCAGCCCTGAGCTACGCGCACTACTGAGTAGGAAAGTAGAGAAGCTCGACAAGCAGACCATCTTGGAGCATGGTGGTGGCGTTGGCAAGTAAACCCACTCCGGATACTCTTATGGAATTATTGAATGGCGTTACGGTCTGGTAGGATACATTGGCGAGGTTTTTAGGGTTGCTTACGTTCAACGAGGCACTGGCAAGATTAGATACAACTGCGATCGGCAACATCGCATCTCCACGTTCATCATTCACGTCGTTTTTCCCCCTCAAACGTTGGCTACACACGATATGCTCTATGCTGCTTCACCGTCAGCAATACTGGCGACGCATGCTTCATAGAACCCGCTGCTATGTTTGTTTTCCCATACAATGAACGATTGCAATTGTAAGTCCTTGCACTCACATGTCTAGTTCGCATATTGCACTTCACACAGAGTTCGACCGCTTCACACCGACGATCGCCAACACTACGTCCACACGGTAGAAGCAAACCACGATTCGTCACCTATTAGAACCTACAGGACGACAAATACGGTAGTACCAGACCTTCAATGAACTATATCAACCACTTCATCAATCGTTACTCTCCAATTCGTCCGCACAACGATTTGCGTCCTACCCAGTCTTCCAACGGCCCTGCTACCTCTCCTCGTCATTGTAGCTCTTGTTCGCAATCTCAACATCGGCGCAAGCACCGTCACCGCGAGAAGATGGCGTCCTTCAACGGCCCCTGGTCCAGCGACCTCGACACCTTCAAGAAGTCAGTGCAGTCGATGCCAGATCAGTACAAGTCCTCTTTTGCCAATGCGTCCAAGTCTACCCTGGAAAAGGTCTGTGACCCGAAAGTTCTCCACATTTGGGAATCCAATTCCGATGCCGATGGTCTTCTGCAACTTACTTCGGTCATTGCTAAATTGTGCGACCTGGGGGTGCGCAAGCACAAAGGCGCCAATGACGGTGATGGTAGTATGCTGATCATTGCCGAAGAAAGCCGGTCTCGGAACGGCTTTGGTCGAATTTGCCAATTGGTGGAGTATCTGACTGGGGCTGACGGCGAGAGACATCTCGAAGGTACAGTGGTGGTGTTTAGCAAGGTAGTGGTAGCGAGGGGATGGGATAACAGCATTTTATCCGGACAGGAAGAGGCGCTTGTTAAGACAGTGAAGAGAGTTAATACGGCAGTTGAGCGCGTGTTGAAAATGAGTGGGTTGAAGAAGATTGTTTGGCATCACGGTGCTGTGCTACACTTCTTGCTCCAGTGGATCAACATCACGACATCCTCTTTACGATCTGCTTTATCTGCCATCACCATTACAGGATCTCTCAATCTCACGGAATGTATCGCGCCTTCCGCTGCTGGGCGCGCGAATACACTGCCAGATCTGGAGCGCTTAGAGCAATACGCGAAGAAATTAGACATACCAGTTGTCTTCCTCGATGCACCTAGCCAACTACTTAACTTCGAATATCTGGGCACCTATATTTACTACTACGGTTACTACATCAACACTTTTTTGCCTAACTCGTTGGCCCGCTCCCATCTTCACAAAGCGCAAGATGAACTTATCACGTTCGCTTTTAGGCTACGAAGTGCGAGTGAAGGCCGATACGGTAGTGATGTAGTCAAGATGGTGCAGAAGCATCTCGATGCGAACAAGGCGAGACACTGGGCCAAAATGTGCGTTAGCAAAGAAAGCTACGAGAAGAGCAAATGCAGAGCAGCTGGCAAAGATGAAACGATTCATCATGCTGTTCAGTTAGCTGATAGCCCTTTCGCTCTTCTAGCCTCTGGTGCTGGGGTACCAGCATTTGCACGACTTTCGGTTGGTCCTGCATGCGCATCTACACAAGACTACTACACCGCAGCGCCTGTCAAAATTGCTTTTGCTAAGGTCAGGATTCGGCCTACTAGTCCTGCCACTTTTCACGTCCTCATTCCACAATCCTCTCAAGATCTCGAGAGAGTCACAAATCGCATACAAGGACTCATGATGGCCGTCCTAGAACGCGTAAGGCAGGAGAAAGGCAACCCAGTACTCAGTGACACAGAGAAGGGAATGTGGGATGCTGTTGTCAAGGCATGTGAATGGGCGATTGGGGGTTGTGACGAAAGCAATATGCCCAAGGGTGTGGCGAAGAAAGTCGGATTCGTCAAGGGAAAGTTGAGAGAGGGAACTTGGGGCTTTGCGCTAAATCCACCCAAAAATCGAGGTGTCGCTGCGACGACCAACACCAATGCAGGAACGGCGATGCTGGAGCCGAATCGTACGTATGGGTTTGGGCAGAGCACGCAGCAGACTAGGGGATCGCATTCGACATATACTGGAACCCAGCAACAGCAGATACCACAACATGGTTGTGGGGCCGGACTACCACAGGGTCTTTTGCCTAGTCCTGTCCAGGGTATATCGTATGCTCAGCAGGTGCCTTCCCAGATGCCAACACAAGGTATGTATGCTGGTGGTCAGGGGCAGGCTCGAGGTCAACAGTATGGCAATCATTGCTTTGGAGGCGGTCAAGCTGCAGTTATACCATCGCGTCATGGATTTGGACACGGTGGAAGCGGTGGTGGAGGACATCCACAGAGTATGGGCGGACCTTGGTGATACTGTCATACAGGGTTTATGAAGTCCGATCAGTTTCTTGCTACCGTAAGGCGATGCTCTATAGGAGGAGTTTCAATATTTGTTTGGCTCTACCAGAATAGAATGAGTCGATTGGACAGAAGGCTGACCGATGACGTGGAGTGACCACCTATTAGTAGGTCGACGGGCGGCGATGCGTCTTCCAAGGTTTACCCGCCTGCGCATTGCTTAATGTGAACACGTCGCGACCTCTTTGAAGCAATTCAGTTTAATATTTCTGTTACTTCAACCATCAACGCACGATATTCTTTTGTGGACGTTTGCTCCTGTGCAAACAGAAGAGGAGTACGTTCCGATGTGCCGCAATCACACGTCTCCCCATCCTCGCAACGTCACCAATAGCGCATCATGGCTACCACCTTGGATCGGTCTCCAGAGCTATCCAAAGACCGCGAGGGAACATCAACGTATTCAGCGTTTAGCGTATGTGTCAAATTTAGTAAGGATCTCATTTACATTCTCAAGGATTCGTTGAGCCTCAACAACGTAAACCATAGACTGTAGAGAGCGAAACGCAAGAGCACTCTGATTGCCGAGCTATACCACACTTCTTAGATCCTGAGTTTTTCAGTCAATGCCAGCACATTCAATTGCATACGCAGGCCCTTCGGCCGAAACCATATCATTTTCAGGGCTGGGATCATTGATACTCTGGCGACTATACGTGTTAGAAAAGTAAAGAACTGGATATTTTCGGTCTCAGTAATTTCTAAAGTGTTCATCTCTTGTTGATGCGCGACAAATGTGTTATATGGGCTGGGAACTACTGGCAGACTATCTGCAGCACCACTGGGCTAAAACGGATTTGGAGAAAGTACCTGGTAGTACAGTTATGCGACAGCAATCAGGGCGACATGTCAAGCGTAACTATGAACGGTAATATGCTTGAAAGACGCTTGCTACGCTTAAAGTTGGCCTGATGAGAGTTATCTGCATGTGATCTCTTCTTACGATGCGTAGCAATCATGGTCATGTTATAATGTGCTCTCTGCAAGCAACATATATCACCACTATATTCGAAGCGTTCTTCTAGCATGCCTCCAAAGAACATCAGCACCGGCGCATACTGGAAAGAAGACCCTACCGACGCGCCACACAGAGACGTGGAAACGGATTTCGAAACAGGCGAGTCTTCCGAATCCGAACCCCCTACCAGTCACAAGAAATTCACCACTTCCGATAATCTAGAAGATAATCTTGTCACAGTAAGTCACGATAGTACGCCCAGCTCTATCGCCAGCGATGTTGCACTGAAGGCTCCTTTTGAAGATACCATGGAAGCGCAAAATCTTGACCGTCAAGGACGGGAACAAGGTCTAAGTAACCAAGAAAAAAAGGAAAGACTGGTAAATATGCTGGGCAACGGTACTAGCGATGGAGATGCGAAGGAGACAAGCAAGGATAATGAGGATGATGGTGAGAACCGAAGTGAGGGAAAAGGCAAGGGCAAGAAGGTTTAGAAACATGAGGGTACTTGCACCTGACATCCAGGAGCATAGCTATTCGAACGACCTGAATATCTCCTAATTGCGGTCTTAAGTACCAAAAGCGACCAATCAGTCGCAATCTTGCTGTTCTTTGATGGGAAAACCAGGGCTAGTCTCTTTGTTGCTGAGAGCATTTATCTCACGTTCTGCGCAAAAGTTTGCCTAGAATTGATACCTGTATGACTGACTGAGATACAATCGAAATGAAGAAACTCAAATTGCTTGAGCTTCCAGGACGCGTTCTAAAACTATGTGTGTCTTCGCCGAAGGGAACAATGGGCAGGCATCTCGTTCTCTTCGCTTTGAGTTTGCATTGTCTACGTGTAAGAACAATGCATAGGCCGCTTCTTGTCTCTCTCTTTGACCTGCTGTTCTCTGCACATCTTAAACAAATGCATAGAAGACTGGCAAGAACAATGAAACGAAAACCTCATGGCATGATGCCACGGCGAACGTATTTTAAGAGAATATCGTCTACTCTCGGTCTCTTATACAAGTTAACTATTCGATCTATCTGCTTCATCACATACGACTAAAATATCATTACGATACCTAGGTACACTTATGCAATGGCGCCTCGACAAGGCCCGGATCAAGCGCGACGTCGAAGAGTTGCCAACGCCATAAGCAAGAAATGGAAGATCGAGCGCCAAAGCAAACGCCCTAGAGGCCTTGTTAATATGGGAAACAACTGTTACCGCCATGGAGCCCTACAACCTCTACTTCATCTCCCTAGATTTGTTAATTGGATCAAGAAACATAACAGAGGAAATCACTGGCCTTGCCACGCGAATGACCCAAACCGCGTGCTCCCCTCTGACCCCTTAACGCTACAATTGCTTGAAGATGAGATCAGCAAGTCTAAAAAGAAGAAGGGGAGAAATAAGGACGATGAAGAAGACCTTGAATATAGAGGATGCACTCCGTGTCTATTGAAGAGATTGATGATAGACTATTGGAGTGATATTGATATAGGTGGTCAACCAACCTTCGCACCCAATCCTTTCCCGCACCAACACAAGGCTATACTTCCGTTACATACGTTAGCTGAACGTTGGTACTGTGTGAATCCACCAGGACTCAATGACACAGTCGAGCTCTTAGCTACACAGGCAGAGCAGGAAAGCATAACTCGTGTAGCAAGACTATCCTACATGACAGCTCAGCAAGATTCAGACGAATTTTTACTGAGGATATTTGACGGCATCCAGAATAGTTACGATCCTCAGTGAGTGCATCTTCGTTCCAAGTTCCAATCTCTTGGGTTATCACATATTGACTTTGAACAGTACTATTCATGGAGCAGCGCGTCAAGCTGAATATGATTCACTTTTCCACGTCAGGACTCGTGAAGTCCACACTTGCGATGGTTGTGATGCCACTCGATCCGACAACGTGAATGAGATGCTGGGAATTAGAATCATTCCAGATGCTAATATCATGGACGACACAGTCGAAAATGCCCTTTCCCGGTACTTTAGTGATCCCACAGCCATCTCAGCATCCTCCAGTTGTTCCTGCAAGAAGTACTCGACTCAGTCGATCAGGAGAACGATTATAGCTGCACCTGAGTACCTTCGTGTTCAAATCAATCTTGTTCAACAAGTTTCAGAGGAAAGAAAGGATAAATACGGCAACGTCAAGGTGGACAAAAAAACTGGCGATCCCATAATGGTTGTGAACGTGGTCAAGAATACTAACCCCATATCAATACCTGACACCATTGACTTGACAGCGCACATGGACATCCCAGCAACAATCCAGAACCCTTATCCAGTACAATATAAGCTCGTATCTGCCACCTATCATAGCGGTGCCAGTTTCAATGCAGGTCACTACACAGCCGGCGTCACTGGCCCGGCGCTTCCATTCCGAGCCGAAAGAGCGCAATTCTTCTGCAATGATGCGGCCATTACCGATCTGCCGCCGACTGATGCTCATCCGAATGCAATTACGGAAAATCCTATGCAAGAAGACTTCAATGCTACTACTCTCTACTATGAGAGAATCACGCCTAAGAGTATACCTATGAAACGCAGCTAAAGAGCGGAAGACGGCAAATCAGACAGTTATAAATGAGAGGAGGGCTAGTAGAAAAGTCACTAGTGATTCTAGAAAAGAGACATAATCAGGAGACAAAAGTGGTTCCATGGGGAGATCAGCTGTAAGATGTTGTATCAATCGTCTTAATATAGTTCAGAAAGAGCTCTTACATTACTGGTCGTCAAATCTTTGTTTAGTTGCTATATTCCTATCACCACGTATTTCAGACTTCCTCTTTACTTTTGCGGACTGGAAGAATTCTCCGTTCATACTTGATGCGTGAAACTTTTCTGAACTAAGAAGACAAACGCCTACGCAAAGTACTCCTCATGCCCTTGCCTCTCGACTAACATCCGGTAGCTCAATAGCGACTTCCTGCACTGGATCAAATATACTGCTAATTTGCTCCAAAGAAAGACCCTTCGTCTCTGGCACATAGAAGAAGATGAAGTTAATAACGACGACCAGAACACCAATATAGACCAAGTAGTACTTCCAAGCAATCTTATCAATGGCAACCGGATTTACAAACTGATTGAAGGTAATTGATACCGCTTGGGATACCCAAAAGACACTGGTGCCTTTTGTTCGGAGATGACTTGGCCAGATTTCATTGACGTAGAGGATCGGTATGGGCGTCAGACCAATAACGTAACCGCCGAAGAAAAGAAAGAGGAATACGATCACTGCATAGCCAGCAGAAGTGGAGCCTGTGGCTGAGTATAAAGCCGAACAGATCGTTATCAGCACCATGAAGACTAGCATCAGGCCAGTGGATGTCAGAAAAAGGCGGCGTCGACCAGCCTTCTCGCATAGGAGTGCGGCACCGCAAGCTAAGAACCAGACGTATATCTGAAGCCCACCATTGATGCCTTGTTGGTGGAGAGAGTTGGTGATTCCGACTGTTCGTAGTACCGGTGCCAGGTAGAAGCTGTGAAATTATGAGTAGGTTATCCTTTTGTACATGCATTTGTACACACCTGATGATTCCGTTTCCAACCCACTGTGTGGCCACGGCTATGACAACAGACAGAACAAGGCGTTTGCGGTTGCCTGGGGTCGAAAGTAACGCCAACCATCCAGTTGTATTATTATGGGCCTCAGCCGCAGTCGATGCACACATCCTCGCAAACTCAGATGATACCAGCTCATCTCCGTCGTGACCGTTGGCATGATATCTTATCATGATAGATCTGGCCTTCTCCTGCTTTCCATGTCGTACAAGCCACCTGGGTGACTCTGGACAGAATATTATCAAACTCAGCTGTGCCAGTGACCAGAACAGCTGGATAGCAACGGGTAACTTCCACGACCATGAGCCCCGTATTCTCAAAGCTCCGTAAGATACCCAAGCGGCAGTGATCGAGCCGATGAAATAACAGGTGTTGAAGAGCGCACCAGCAACAGCTCTTTGGCGTGGATGCGCAAGTT